GCCGCCAAGTACAACCAGGAGTATGTCAAGGCCAGCGCGATGTCATTGAGGCAAAGCGTGCCGCCAAGCGCGACAATGCTCTCTTTGTCCCCGCTGAGTCCAGACTCGCTTTCGTTGTCCGTATCAAGGGGTATGTAATTTTCGTCCGAGATGGTTTGATGTATGCTAATTTGCGCAGTATCAACAAGATCGACCCCAAGAAGCGCAAGACTCTCCAGCTCCTTCGCCTCCTCCAGATCAACAACGGTGTCTTCGTCAAGCTCACCAAGGCTACCAGCGAGATGCTCAAGATCGTCGAGCCCTTTGTTGCTTACGGATACCCCAACTTGAAGACCGTCCGCGAGCTCATCTACAAGCGTGGCTACGGAAAGGTCAACAAGCAGCGTCTGCCCATCACAGACAACGAGCTCATCGAGAACAGCCTCGGCAAGTTCGGTATCACCTGCATTGAGGATGTCATCCACGAGATCTACACCGTCGGCCCCAACTTCAAGGCCGTCTCCAACTTCCTCTGGCCATTCAAGCTCTCTTCGCCCAACGGTGGTTTCCGTACCCGCAAGTTCAAGCACTTCATCGAGGGTGGTGACCTTGGTAACCGCGAGGAGTTCATCAACCAGCTCGTCAGGCAAATGAACTAAGTTAGGGTAGCTTTTGTTCATTGGGTGGAGTAACGGTTAGCTTCAAAAAAACGATACCATGAAGATCACGACTACTGGTCGCCCACGTCTCTGATTGAGATTGGAGGGCAGGCCGAGCCACATGCTCTGGTTAGCTTAGACAAGTCTTCTGCATAAACAGCGGAAGGGAGAAATGAAAAAATTTCAATCCATTCGTGGTCATCTTATATAAGGAAGCTTGACTTGATTTTCAATGGGTCGCTGATTGTGGTTCATGATATCTGACGATTGGAGTTCAGTTCAGCTCTGCTCAACCATTTTTACTCTGTGACTGAAATTTAACAGAAAAATGTTGAAGTCTCATTTCTGTCGATCTTTTCTCTCCATTCTATGTTAAAGTTCGTGGTAAAAAGGTCGATAAGATTATTCAGAGAGTCATGTAGAAGATACAGAAAGGTAGTCATACAATTAAACTCGCTCTACATCAACCATCCTACCCCAATCATGAGAAGAAGAAGAAACTATAAAAACCTCTAAAACTACAAAAGTCTCGTAAGACATGAAAACCCTATTCATACATGTACACGGCATCTCTACACCCACTAAAGCCCCTCCACACGTACCACACACGTTCCATCATTACTCCATCAGTCCAAGGTATCCGCTCACAATCACTCAAGCCGATACCGTGACCTTAAAAAGCCCGCCTATGAATTTTCCTTCTCCTTGTCACCGGGCTTTGTCGCCACGCTCTTCCCGCTCTTGACACTCTTTGAGCTCTTCATGCTCTTCAGACTCTTTTTACTGGCACTACGCTTGAGTTTGGCCTTGAGCTTAGTCCATTTCTCGCGGAGGCCGCCGGAGTCATCTTCTTCGTCGTTGTAGCCTCTGGGTCTGTCGACGCTGTCTAGACTGCCGCGTGGGTATTCGATATCGCTGCCAATGTCGACGGAATCCGTGTTTCTGGTGTGGGATTTACGCGGTGTTTGCTTGCTAGGGGTGGAAAAGACGTCTTTTTGCCTGTGACTGCTGCCGAGGAGCATGTATTCGAGGGTTTGCCAGGCGGCCATGTTTGCAACGGGTCCGTCGGGGGGGTTTCCTTGCATCTGGACGTTTTTCCAGGGGCAGTGTTCGCGGTGGGATTCTAGGAGGTTGAGGCGGAGGGATTCAAGGGGCACGTCGAGCTTCTTGCTCATTTCTTTGAGGCGCGTGTCGGTGGAGAGCCATAGACCGAGACGCTGGAAGCAGTGGTTGCATACGGCGAGGGAGATGCGGGATTCTTTGACGCCGGTCCAGCCGAAGATGGCAAAGGCAAAGGCGACAATGTCAGTAGGTGATCTGGGTTGTGGGGTATCGGGCGTGGAGGTGAAGAACGACGATGGTAGGCGCGAGATGATGTGGTGGATAGATGGATCGGGGTATGTGATGTGCTCGAGGAGAGGAAGATCGGCTGCTATGGCTCTAAGACAGCGGTATCGATCGAGCAACTCGGCCATGCTCTTCGTTCGTGATGCGATAGCGATGTGGTAGATGTCTTCTGCTCGTGTGTTAGTAGTGCACTCATCGTGTCTGCAAGTTCTTCTTACCTTGACAGCCTCGTTTCTTCCACAGACAATCATCTGCATGTCCCTCGACGATGAGTTCTTTGTACTTTGCCACCAACGCTTCATCAATATCGAATGCCAGATCCTCGCTCATCTCAAGGTCTCTGCCGTTCTTATCCTTTCGCTTTGGCCTCAGCTTGACTGCAACACGGTTCTCACATCCGTCCTTGCAAGCCACCGTGTTCCAGATATCGCAGCTCCATCCTCTCATGGCCCACTCAACCTCGCTGATAGCATCAGGTTTGGTGGTCCACTTCCTTACGTCTGCGAATGTCTTGAGCCTCTCGAGGAAATGCTCCTGGCTGTAAGGTTGGAAGTTTGGGGCTTTACGCGGCGTCTGGGCTTTGGGTGTTGTCGAGACTTTGGGGGTGTTGGCAGTCTTGCCTACGACCCTCACTGTGCCTTCCCGTCGTGGGGTGAGGAGCTGTTCTTTCAGCAGGCGTATGCGCTCTTGGCCCTCTGAAATGTTCCTCTGGCGCTCCATGCTCACGTTTGGGCTGAGTCCTGCGCTGCTGCGAGGGCGCTTGTTCGGCTGGTCAGGGCTGCCGTGTTGCGAAAGCGATTCTGATGATGCATTCGACTCATGCAGCGAGCTCGCAAGCGATGTTGTGGATGCGCTCGCGCTGGCGGTAAGATTGTCGAGCAGGCGGTTAAACTTGCGCTTCGTCGTCGCGAGCGCGGGCTGTTGCTCCGTCGTAGTCATGGTGTCGGGGTGCAAACACTGCACTGATATGAATGTGTAAGAATAATGCTTTGGAGCCGAGCTTCTCGGGGATTGTTCGCGTTGTGTCGTGGTTGGTGAACAGACGGGTCCTTTGTGCCGATCTTTGTTTACTTCCAGTCAGGCCAAGTGTGATAGCGGGGGATATGCGTCGGGTGTAAAGTGAATTGTGCAACGATTTGCATCAAGCAACTCCCGTAAAGATAGCAGATGATGATCGCAGCGTCCGTGTCCGCAAGTACCGAATCCTTGGCTGAAAGGGACTGTTGGTGTTGTTCCAAGGTTGCCATGGGGGCCCTGGACCAAAGCAGTAACCTCCGCCCGCCGCGCCAAGACGTCGCCCTACGTCAACCCAATCCACTCGATTGCAGCACCCCACCAAGGCGAGGGGCAGAAGATCTTTAGCTAATGCCTGTCCAAATTGCGCCATCTAGATTCTTTCTACTAGCTTTCTTCATCCTGGCTTTTTCAATCCTCAATCCGTCTTTGCTCTCTCGTAGCCTCACTCGTCTGTCGCAAGTGAAGCAACATATCCGTCCAAATCACATATACACAAACCCAAGTCGAAGCATATACACCATGGCCTACGAAAAGGAATTGGAGATTGCTCTCCTCGCCGTGCAGCGCGCCTCCATCCTCACAAAGTCCGTCTACTCGAGCCATTCCAAGGGCACCCTCTCCAAGAGCGACTCGTCGCCCGTCACAATTGGCGACTTTGGCGCCCAAGCCCTCATCATCGCATCGATAAAGCACGCCTTCCCCGAGGACGAGATAGTCGGCGAAGAGGATGCCGATGACTTGCGCAAAAACGACTCACTCCGCGACCTAGTCTGGGATCTGGTACAAGCAGCGAAGCTGGACGACAGTTCAGCAGAGGACAAGATTGGTGGACCCATTAAGAGCGCAGACGCCATGCTGTCAGCAATTGATGCCGGCAACAGCCAGGGAGGCAGGAAGGGCAGAATCTGGGCACTCGACCCCATCGACGGCACAAAGGGTTTCTTGCGAGGCGGGCAGTACGCCGTCTGCTTGGGCCTGCTAGTCGACGGCATACCCACCGTCGGCGTCATCGGGTGCCCCAACCTGCCCGTAGACGACCAAGCACCCTTGGACGCAACCACTGGCCAAGACGCAGACGACAAGGAAGGCAAGGGCGTTCTCTTCGGCGCCGTAAAAGGACAAGGCGCAACAAGCCGGCCCCTAAGCAAAGGCGGCCTCCAAACCCCCAAACCCATCAACATGAAGCCCCTCCCCGATGTCTCCCAAGCCACCTTTTTGCGAATCTGTAGAAGCAGGCCACTCCTCGCAAGGCGACAACGCCGCCATTGCTTCCAAACTCGGCATCACCAAGCCCTCTGTTCGCATGGATTCGCAGGCGAAATACGGTTCCATTGCCCGCGGAGCTGGCGACCTCTACCTCCGCCTCCCAGTCAGCAAGACATACCAAGAGAAGATTTGGGACCACGCCGCCGGTGTCGTCATCGTCCAAGAGGCAGGTGGTGAGGTCACAGATGCATATGGCAAGCCGCTTGACTTTGGCATTGGCAGGACGCTCAAGGAGAACAAGGGCGTGGTTGCAGCGCCAAAGGATGCGTTTGCACAGGTCATTGCTGTTGTCAAGGAGGTGTTGAGTGCAAAGGAGTAGGGGAAGAATGCAAAGGAGTAAGGGTAAAAGAATTAGTTCACAAAAGTGATGAATCAACTCTGGAAACCGGGTCAACCCCTTTTCTTCTTTTGAATTTCTGGACATTTATGAAAATCTATATGAAGGTTGATTTGGTCAAGGGGGGAAATCCATCTATTTCAACGCAGACGAGTGACTGACTGACAGGACTAGCCATGATGCTACCAAAAATCAAACTCGACTCAAAATGCAAAAAGAACGTATAAACTCCAAGATGCCTTTCGCAACGATGTGACACACTTTCACTTGAGATTTAAAAAAAAACACGCAACGCTTACTATAAAAAAACCCCCACCAGGTTTGCCCACGTCCCAAGATAACGGAACAAAACTCCCATACTACACTTTATTCCAAAGTTGGTACGGTACGGTACATACATGTACGTATACAGTAGTAAGTGGTAGTAAGTAAGTTAGTGTATGACTTTGGATATTTTCCTCCCACTCCGCTTACGCCGCCATTCCCTCGACCGACCTAGGAAAGAGAAGAAAAAAAAAGAGCTGATGCTGTTTTTTATCATGACGATGATCCTTGCTCCACCTGGGTATACCACTTCCGCTAACTAGAACTACCAGTTCTGTTTTCGCCCACATAGTTTGCGCTGTGCAATCTTCAACCTGGATGAAACGTTTACGCTAATAAACTGTCTCTTTCCTTGACTTTTTCTTGAAGTATCCCATTTCAGGCTGTAATGGTAGTCGTAGGCGTGAGTACACCACCACCACCGCCCACGACATCGTCGCCGAATTCGTCGACAAACGTCGTTTCGGCACCGGCATCGAAACCGTCAGTATCGATATCCGCTTCCTCGCCTGTGTCGTTGACATGGTCAATCTCTTCGTCCTCGCCCTCTGCTTCAGTTTGCACTTGCTCGGGCGGCGCGGAATGGACCAGCAGATGAGGACCATATATGCCCATGGCGTGTACATGCGTAACAGGAGATACATGCATATGTGCCAGCTCTTGGTGAAGTGTCTCTATGTTTTCTTGCAGATGCTCAGTCATCTCGACGTTGTTATCATCGTCGTCGGAATGGTCGTAAGCCGTGTGAAAAGACGAGGGTCCAGAAGAAGTAATGGTTGTCAAGTTGGCTGGCTCTTCATGGACTCCAAATTCCGTCGTTACAGTGATGGAGTCTGGGCTCGGAATAGGCAAGTCGGGCGTCAATGAGTCTGAAGGAGCGTTGAGGGTTGTCATGTCATCCACAATGGCGTCGTCATCATATACTGCTGCGAAGAATTCGTACATGGCGCCGGCCAGCTCGTCTGCTTGTCCACGCTCTTCCTGGTCCCTCTGCAGTTTCTCCATCTTGCGCCGCTCAGCATCTTTCTTGGCTTGGATCTCGGCTTCTAATCTGCATTTAGCACGGACGTTGGGCTTGCGTGAGCATGTCGGACAGTGGTAATTGACGGTACAAAATGTGCACGTGCAGGTCGGATTTGATGCGGCACATTGCTGATAACATATTAGTATTGGATGTGACAAACTTAGGATTGCTGTTACACTTACATCGCAAACAAGGACTGCACACTCGGAGCACTCTTTGAGAATCGCCGGACATTGCGGTCTATTGTCTCCTACAGGTCTTGGATATTGGCAAAAGTATGCACCACATCCTTCCCATTGGACTGGATGCCGGGCATTGCAAGGTAGCGGAAGCGGATTTGTGACGGGATGATTTACAGGCGCACGTGGTGCATTTGGAGACCAAACATTAGTGGGTCGTCCACGAACACCGGATACGCTGAAGGATCGTGGTCGAGCGGAGCTTACGGGAACGAAAGACAATGACGTCGCAAGTTGGAAAGGATCTGAGCCCGGGATGACGTTGAATGAGTTGGAGGTCGACAATTCGATGGAGGAGTTATGAGGAGCTGCAGCTAGAATATGTGACTGTGACATTGGCGTCTCAGAAGACTCTGATTCGTTGTCGCCCGTGGAGTAAAAGTCCATGTGTGTCGAAGAGCAGTAGTGTGCGTTCTGGATCTGGAGTATTCGTCCTTGTTCGAGTTGTATTCCGGATTACTAGACGCTGGGTGGCTCGTGTGTGCTCTCACATGCTCCACGTCTGTGTGCAGTCGCGATAGCGCACTTGCGGACCTTGAGCGCCCTAAAGTCGTGCTCTTTGCATATTGGGTTCTTGCAAGCTCGACATGATACCTTCCACCTGAAGCTTCGATAGCAGTCGTTGCATAAACCCCTCGGACATGTCTGTTGTTGGAGATCAAGCGAGTCCTGCTTCAGATATGACAGAATGTCAACATCTTCACCAAGTACGTACTCGTAGAGGCCGTTGTTTTTCAATTCTCGGATGTAGTCGACGGGTCGGAGTGTATTGCTGAAATCCGGATCTTCGTATTCTTTCAGGCGTGGCAGGGGTGCTGCACGTATCTTATCCGCCCCTCTGCCACCTAGTCCAGGGCCCAAGACAGCAATACCACCACCGCCCGAGAATATGGGCTCCAAGCAACACCAGTGCATGTTGAGCTTTGGAGGCTCCCGATTGGCAGGCGGTACAGGCATGCCGTTGTGCATATTTCCGCCGTCTTCTGAATCGGACGAATCGTCCTCGTGTGCACTCTCATTCATCAGGTTTGGGGATCGAGTTGCGCCCGGGGCCCACCAGAAGCGATTCCGATCAATCTTGTCGTCTTGACTTCTGTCTTCCAGGGGTACCGAGGATCCTGATGCTTGGCCGAGTGCGCCTCCCAAAGTGTTGCTGCTGCCGAAAGCCAGATTCGCAAAGTGCCGTGTCTTTACTCGTTTCCTCGGTATCGGTCTGTTGAAAGCGCAGCTGGCACAGAGCGTCTTCCGGCAGCCCATGCAATGCATACGGACACTGCATGACTCACACCTCTCCAAGATGCTATCGCTGCATTGAGCACATTTGATCTCTTCAACAAAGGCAGTGTGGCTTCGTCGCTCATGCACTGGGACATGTTTGCCTTCTCCTGCAAAGTTTCCATCCCCCGGCCCCAGTGGTTCGCCATCTTGTCCCGTCTCAGCAATCTCCCACAGCCTGCCGTCGTGATCACCCAGCTTTTTTGTGCCTTCGACTGGCCCTATGCGGTTGCTTGATCGCCACAGCCTGTCAAAAGGCACCCAAACCTCCATGTTCTGGGGACCAGCCCTTCCTGCATGGTAGTCTTTTCTTCGGAAGCACCTGCCGCCTGGGGTTGGACACCATGCGGTATCCGTCCAAATGCCCAGCTGGTGACATATCTCAATAAGCTGGTGGGTGGGGTCCGAGTCGGAGTCTCTCCGGATGAGAGAGGAGGGGAGATAGGGTCGCCGGCGGTGGTGTCGGCAGCGGTAGGTATAGAGGCTCTTGAGTGCGAGGTCTTTCCTCATCCACGGCCCTCCAAGTGTATATACCTCGAGAAAGGGGACAATGTGGTATTTGATCGACACATTCTTGCACCCTCGTACGGACAGATGCTGGAGGGTGTGAACGCGTGGGCCGAGCACACTCCCGCTCAGGGCCATGCCAGTCACGGCAGTATTACATAAGTCGATACTGGTTAGCCGTGTCCCGTTTGGCGATATGATTTGCTTCAGTAGGGCATCGAACGAGTAGGCTTTGGACTGCCGGTCCCGGTTCTCTGGCGTCTCATTGCCTGGCGACCCAACTGTGACGGCGGGTTGGGGCAGGCGGAAGGAAAGCGTCTTCCAGGCTAGAGGGTACTTGCGTAGGAAGTCGCGCAGGTGTCGTGACGTGTGGTACAGTTGGAGGAGCGTAACGGTGGAGATCTGAGCGAGGAGCGATTCGAGAATGGGCGGATACGCGGTGATGATGGATTCGAACAGGCTGAGGGTCGCGGCTTCCGTAGCTGTGGTTGTGGCCGTCTGGATACCGCCATGGCTCGCGGGCATGGCGTGCGTAAGTGTCGTGGTCGCGGCCCAGAAGTCCATCTTCTGGCTGTGCGGGTGCTGCTGCTGCTGCATAGCCATGCTTCCTGGCGGCGGCACGCTGAACATGTCGACGCAGACACTCGCAGGAGGCGGGCGGAATGTGTCGTGTTGGCGTGTCTTCGTGTCGTGTCGCGCAAGCGAAAGTGGTCGTGTGAGAGGCCTTGTCGGTCGCAAGCCAGGGTTCACCTGTAGGCCAAGGATGAAGGCGATCCGCTTGCCGTCGCCGGACGATCTCTTTGCCTCACCGGTACCCAGGTGCGACCGCGGCCAACTTCACCTGAACTTGGACTTTCATTCCGCTTGCGCTGCTAATATCGACTTCCAAAACGACAATCGCCATGTGCCAAGCCGAATTCCTACCCGTGAATACGCTTTCGGCCCTCCTTGTGCTGGCTGTTGGAATGCGTCGTCTTGCAGCCTATCAGCCAAGTGCACATAGCAGCGCTACACCTCAGCCTTGCCGCCGCAGCCTTTGCCAGCTCAACATCGTGCATCACGCGTATCACGGCTATCGGCGTGGCGGGAGAATTGGGACTAGTGCATACGGTATATCCAATCTTTACTTTTTGGTGCGTCTTCACCATTTCAGCTGAATGCACCCAACCGATGCATTCATCACGCTGCCCCACTGCGCTGTACAATAAGTCATCATATTATTCTGTTCTAATTGCTAATTGCTGGATATCATCTCAAAACAATCCAAAGTTAAAGAGAAAGAAAAAAAATATATACTTAAGAAACGCTCAATGCAACACAAACAATGCTCGCCCATCAGGGGTTACAAAAAGAACCTTGCGCCAAGTGACGCCATGTACAGCATTATCCGACGAGTTTCGAAATTTGAAAAATACCGAAAAAAGTGTCATCGAAGCTCTTCGCACACATAATGTCTCTGCCTGGGTGGGGCTCATAGCATAATCAGAACACCCAATTGCCTTCCACATCTCGGTCTTCTAGACCATCAAACAGTATAATGTCCCAGTCAAAATCGCAATCTTCCGCGCTCTCTACCCGCGGCCACAGCGAGTTACGCGTGAATGCAAACACTGGTAGGTGGTCTCCGGTTGCCGTCGTCTTCATCAGCTTGCCAACGTCCGAGTCGACATTGAACAATGGTCGAGTGGGCACCTTCTTAGCCTCCAGCTCGACAGTCCCGAAGAACGGTATGACGTGGCGAACCTTACCGGCCGGCGGTTTGCTCGGATCCAGCGACGAGAGTATTTTCTTGAGCACGATAGCGGTACGCGCTGCAATCTTCTCCCGTGAGCTTGTGTTGGCGAGCTTCTCCATCTCCGTAATGAGGCGGCAAAGCATAGCAAAGTCGGTTCCTTTGGTATTCTGCACTTCGTTCTTGTCTTTTGTGCCCAACTCGATAACAATGTCAAGCGTGAGGGTGACAGCAGCCATGAACACTGCGAATTCTGCGAACCTACAGCATGCCTGCGTGATCTGCGCGTTTCGCAGTGCGAACCATCTCATCAGTACGTTGCGACTAGCTTGTAGCGCAGTGACCTTTGAGTATTCATACCGCTTGTCTTGATGCGCCCTCAGTAAGTAGGGCAAGTGAATGAAGATTCTTGTCTCAAAGTGCCATGCTTGTACCATGAGTCTTTCCAGCACTGCATGACATTCGGGTGATCTTGCTGTAGGTGGTAGATTGGGCACCTCCCAAAACTCCTTCGGTAACTCCTTTGTCGACGTCTCTAGCTGCTCGTCCAATGCAAGCGCTGCAGAATATGACTGCGGCGATACGTCGCGATGGAGGTCCGCCGCTTGCTTGGTTATCTGATTGATCTTCGCACGATGAAGGAGATACTCATCAGCGCCTTCCGGGAGTGGATAGTCTTCCGCACCAAAAGGAAGCCGAAGGTGCAACCCCAGATACCGATCAAGGTCAACAAAGCTACACCAAATCCTCTTTGCATTCGATACACCTTGAATAGGTGGCGTAAGATTTTTTACCGTAATGATTCGTTGGAAACCCATGAGATGCGCCAGACTGAGGCCACGCCGGACAATCAGCCATGCCTGTCGAAGTGAGGCACTGTTCATATGGTAGATGGCAAGCAGCAGGAGCGTCTCAAGTCCATGGAGCGTCATCATCTGCTCGTCTGAGGATATGATCAGTGAGGACACTGTCTTTACATAATTCTCCATCGTTGCGTCCAGGTTCGATATGTTCGATAGCCGCGTGCAGTCAAAGCCCGGTGGAAGTGAATTGACGCAGACGGCCAAGTGCAGGAGTGTGCGGCCGACGATGATGGATCTTTCTTTGGAAACAGCCTGCATGTCTAAAGCATATGACTGCATGTCTTTGTGGACATAGATGTCTTGGGAAGCCCTGTAGATGCCATCTAGGATCATCCACCCGTTGGAAGATTCGAAGATGATATCCGCATCATGCTGAGAAGGCAGCAACGCAGTCAGAGTTCGATGAGTGCCTTCGCCGCGTGTGTATGGCCCCTTGGATTCCGTTCTATCATCCAGTGTACGGATGGGAGGCGCCGAAGTCCACGCGTGTGTGCCAAGCTGCAAGATTTAGTAAAGGTAACATGCCAAGAGTAGATGAACCTACACTTCCATCCCCTAAAGAGCGAGCGTTTTGCGCGTCACTTGAAATCTCCCGTACAGAAACTTTGCTTTCCTTGGCGCTGGAGCACAGGGAAGTCAAGGTAGGGCTTTGCGGCACAGCAGTCGAGGTCCCGATGACAGAGCTTTTGCGGCACACGAATCTCTCAAAGACCTGTTCTAGTTTGGATAGCCTCTCCGCGATATGCTTTGAACATGTGCCTTGCTCCTCTGCCCGGTCCGGTACAAGGCTATCCGTGTTGGCCTGTGAGCTTGCATTTGTTTGCATACCATGTCCGTGAACCTTGCGCTTCTTGCCTAGGGACATGTTAGCATGCGGTTCGAGACATGTGCAATCTAGGATAGTGGATCTTACATTCCCAGCAAGCCCGACGGAGGCCTCTGTAAGGTCGCTTTCTAGTGAATTCATTACTGGCGTTGCTTGTCGACTCCATGGTATCAGTCAGGCGCGACAATATGATGTATGTCGATGTCTATTACAGTAATCTGATTCTGCTGGTGCAAACTGATGCATGCTTTACAGTGGCAGCCATCTTACTTTCATGTAGCGGGGTGCAGGCGTTGCGATGGCAATTACTGATGTGGAGCTGATCGTTGGGGCACCAGCCGGGATTCGTCCGTAGTCCTCTCGGATGAAGATTCAAGGCCGAGGATTACTCCATCTAGCAGGCCACTTATGCCCGCCCGGCACTTTGTAAGACCTCTCTCGGACGCATGCTTGATTCAGTCTAGATGCTTCCTATGACTCTTTCAGAAGCTACTCGTCTAAGATTCTCGTGTAGCCTTCTTTCCATTGTCAATTTTGCGAGCTCCGGTCATGTCTCAAGGTCGCTTTGTCATGGAGATGCTGCGTCGTACCAATAGACACGGGCAATCCAGGAGCCGACTGTCCTATCTCCGCCGGCGAGCATACATAGCGAAGCCACGCATAGCATTACAAAGCGCGAAAGGTCTGCCTCTTAGTTGAGCTCGGTTCAGTGTCCGGAGGTACTGGGAACTTGTAATCTCGGTTGCCACTGGCTGCACCGGGCTGCACGTTCCGCATCGTGTTTGCTAAGCCCAGTGATCGCATTTCGATCTACATACTGGAAGACACGGACAAGTAATGGTAGTACAAGATGACTTCCCGCGCCACCCGAATAAAGTGTTGGAGAAGCTGTCGAAGCTGACAGATACATCTGCGGGTGACCGGCTTCGTAATTCGTCCTATAATCATCCATGTGTTTGTCACCGACTACAGCCATGCATTATTTGAATTTGCGCACATGATAGCTTCCACAAAAAGTGCCATGTCATCAGTGGCGGTCAGTGATTTTTTTGCCGCGTCGCATGTTCTTAGTCATCAGGTGCAGCAGTCGAGTTTGACAGGCTTTGCGAATATAAGCCAGAATGCGATCAATCACGATGTGCCATTACGTCGTGAACTCGCTTGTGTCGTGCACTTTGCAAGATACGATTCAGGAAGATGAGTTTAACCTCAGGAATGGCGGCAGGTAGTCGGCGGTGCGACGAAGCACGCTTGTTGCTCTCCAAGCTTCTTTTTGTACACCGAAAGTCTATGGACGATCAACAGATCACTAGCAACAAATAAGAGCGTTACAAGGACGAGGGTTTTATATGATGCATTCGGTCCGTGAGGACGCGACGAGGACGCGTACAACTGAGACACTACACGATACCTTCGTATGGCCAAGGTAAATCACGAAGATGCTCCGTGTCTGCGGCCGATTCGTCAAAGAAATCCGTTCCCATATTGGGCCATCTGATGCTACACCCAAACTCCGACGCTATGCAACACTGCTTCTGGAGACGACTTCAGGCGTACATGTCATCATATTCCTCTTCGTCGTCATCAGCTGGCGGTGGCGGTGGTTGTTTTTTCTTCAAAAGTTCCTTGCGATCCAGAGGACAGGTTGAGTTGAGTTTCAGCCACGGTCCTATGCAGTCCAGGTCGAACCGATGATCAGTATGACACGGCAATTGAACTACGAGTGGATATTTGTCTGTTCGTTCCCAAGTTAGCCCAACTCTTCGTAACGGCTGTGATGCGCATACCTTCAAGGAACGGGTTGACACATATAGGACATGTGTCGGTCTCCTTGAGCGCCTTTTTGGGCACTCTTTCCAACTCATCCAAAAAGCTATCTGGGACGCCCTTGAGCTCTGTAGGCGGATCATCGGCATTCTCTCGCAATACTTGAATCATGTTCGCGAGTAAATCTCCATCTCCGTTGCTATCGTCCGACGGACGTCCGCGCATAGTTTCGAAGGCATTGGCAAGTAGTCGAAACGCCGCTGCCATATTCTCGGGCTGCGGCAGAGCATTGGGATTGGTATGCGCACTTGGATCTGATGTGTCTACTAGCTCGAGCTGTGAGAAGAAGGTAGAGAGATCTGGCCTACGCGCGGGCTGCTGCGGCTGCTCATCTTTGATGTTGTGTTCGACTGCTCATAGTCAGTTGCTGACCTGCATGTACACTTTCGCATCTTTACCTTCGTAGCCAGACATTGGGGCGATAGCGTCAAATCTAACTTGTCAATAACCGTTATGCGGACGATCGCGCTGAAATTGTGAAGTTGCGCAAACCAACGCGTCACTATTGGAGCCTAAGTCACTTACTTCCCAGTGGAGCGGGGCGGCCGAGAGGACCCCGCCTGTGGCGCAGTGTCAAAGTGTGGCAAATTAGTGGCGCATACGTGGCGGAAATGTGCCACAGCTTTGGTTGGGCAGCACCCTTTGGAGAGCCGCAAGCGTCGCCCAGAACACACAAGCAAATCAACCTTGGAACTCATGCTATTGTCACATGCATCGCAACATTTGTCCGTCTTGATTTCATGCTCTGACCTAGGTATTCTCTTGTCACCACTATGCTCAACAAGCGTCGCGGCGTGTGCTTGCCTGTCTCATATGCTCTCCTAGCCACGGCACACTGACAAAAAGGTCGGTGACTGCGTGACGACAACATGACAGGCCCACGCTACCGCTAACTATCCACTATCTAACACGATTCGTTGCAGAGAAACTTCGCTGTACAGTACCCCGTACACGTCCCATAGTGTCCATGCGCAGCCTTCCCGCTTCGGAGGAGCTACGGGGCTTTGGGTTTGATTACCAGATCTCCTGCACGGTATGCCGTCTTGTGTCTTCACCACAGACCATGTGGAAGACCGGGGTAAAAGAAAATCATAATCAGGTACAGCTTAACTAAGCCAAGCAGCGAGTCCAGAGTCCATGGCTGGAAACCGCTCGGTTGAATGGCGAAGCAAATAATCGGGGCATTGTGGAGCCCGGTGATCCAGATCATGCACAGCCTCCTAGTGCCCGCATTCGTCACACAGACACACCCCCTCCCTCAGACACACGTTACAACATGATTGACCAAGGAGGCGCAGCGTCCCGCAGGCGCAAACACTGATAAGGGTCTCGCACTCAAAAAGACAAGGCAGTCACTGTCATACTCGATACTGTGACTCTACGCTGCCAACACAATTCACCCACAGGACCTTACCGCTTCGACTCACGACAAATTCATCACTATAATTTCTGGACTCGCTCAATGTCATTACTTGTAATGCAACCCGACACACCCTCCACCATGGATCCGTGGTTACAACCTTTTAGTCGCCCATTTTCCCGACGGTCCACGTCGCCCAGAAAGGACTCGAGACCGGCATCACCCAGAGACTCAACACCTACATCACCTATCGACTCAAAACAAACATCACCTCAAAAAGAATCACGAACGATGAATGGTCTCCTTTCGCCAGAGTTTATACCAGTATCGAGGAGCAACAGCGATGCCTCTCCACGCTCAAGCACATCTGGTCGCCGTGAGTCTATTCTGGAAGTCGTCAAGAATAGGCTGCGCTCTTCTTCAAATGCCAGTATGGCAAGCAATAAGTCACAGGCCGTAGATTTCTCCGACGTTGAAAACTGGTTCAATGGTTTCCGACAATATAACCGTTTGATCAGTATTTCCACATCAACGCAACCAGTTCCAACCAAGGAGATCGAGAAGGCCTCAAAAGTGCTATCAAAGAACTGCGGTGGCCAATTCATCCACGGAATACCAGAGTCAGTGTTTGATATTGCACTACTTTGGTGTCCCGCAGGCATATTGGAGAGGTCCAATCCTGAGGAACCATCCTGGAGTTGGTCTGGATACACTGGAACCGTCAACTTCCCATTTGACCCCACAAGCTGCCCAGATATCTATAAGCTCCCACGGGGCGAGGGATCATGGTTTCGATCAGAAATCAAGCACTTTACAGTTGGACCTTCAGACCATAAACAGAGATACACGGTCCGACGGGACAGGAAGAGCAGTGCCCTACGAGTCGACTACCAAACTCCGTTCGATACACCACATGGATCATACCCAAGCATCGAATCAGACACATTACATTTCTCCGCATCAACGATATCCGCCGAACGATTCGACGTTAAGCAAATAGAACACAACGGCAAAGCAATCCCATGCTCCCATCTCATCAACGACAAGGACCAGGCTTGCGGCGTCATCATGGACTACGAGTCCTCCCTACTAACCACACATCACGAGGGGGATTGGGAGTACGTACTGCTATCCCGCAATCTCTGGCGCGAACCTTCGCCAGACAACCGCAGACCCAGCCTCAACACCATGCACCCATCCGGCACGCCCATCTGGGACGGTGAACGCTTCCTCTGGGATGCACATGTGGGCGAATGCGACGAAGAGCATTTTGCGGTCGGCGACTGGAAGATGCTAAATGTCATGTTGATCAAGTGGGTCGACAACGGGAAGAATGCCGAACGTGTGGCTATTGCACGCATCCATGAAGATGCGTGGAATGCGCGGAGTCCGAGGCAGAAGGAAATTGTGTTGAAATGAATCACCTATTTTGCTGTTCGATAATAGACGCGCGGTCACGGAAGATGTGACTCTTCTTTTTTATAATGTGCTTGGCATATAGCACGGTCCCGAGGTGTTTTTTCCTTCTCATATCAGCAAACAAAAGACTGATTTTTCTAGTTGTACTAGTAAGCGAGAAAGTTGGGTTCGGTGTACTACTCTCCCATGATACCACACTATCCTGCGTAGTCAGGATTAGAAATATATTGATTTGCTGTTCTTGTACGCACTGTGACCGTCATACTTGCATTTCCTCGTTATCAGAATACATGAGCACTTTCAATGTCGAAAGAGTGGCGAAAGAAAAAACACAATGTGGAGACTTCGATTAGTCAAGTGCACAGCTATACCTAGGGCAATGAACACCTTGCTACAACCACATGATACGCTCAGGGCGTGCTGTGATTCATCTTGATAATCTAGAGTTTCTTCTAGTACATGCTTTCTCTGGGGACTCCTCATGCCATCGACCCATCTATAACCCCATTCCCAGTGACCCACTTCAAGATCAAGCTCCATCCACTTTACCACCCTCGACCTTCTCCTTTGTTCTCCTCTCCAACTTCTCCACCTCCTCATCAATCCGCTTGAAACTCCAAGTCATACTCTGCATCTCGCCCTGGGCATCCCTAGCCATCTGCGCAGGGTACAAGAACGGACGAAGATCAAAGCGATGATCATCAGGCGAGTAGGCCTCTGCGTGGTAAGCCGGGGTAGCCACCGTCATCTTGTGGCGATTGATAGCGTAAAAGTGGTGGAAACGTTTGACTTTTTCCGCCACTTCGCGGGGCGAGTATTGTTCTCTCCAGTCGTGGCAGAGACGCTGCCACATGCCAAAGGGGCCTAGTTTCTGTACCTTGCGGAGGCGGCCGAAGACGCCGATTTCGGCATATGTCATGCCCATGTCTGCTTCGTCGGATTGGACGTACGAGGAGGTGATTGGTTCGAGCTCGGCGGTGGGGGTGGCGTCTATGAAGCCTTGGAGGCAGTCGAGGGAGAAGGCGGTTTTGGCCCAGGAGATGAAGCCTTTTAGGTCGCCTTTGCTGATGGAGCCGATGGGGTTTAGGTCGGCTGATGAACAGTCGTATTTGGTTAGGTAGCCGCGGAGGCACTCGTCGACGTTTGAGGAGCCCAGCACGAGAAGACCGCCGCCGCCTTTGCGTTGTCGTACCATGGGTATGGTTTGCGCGTAGTAGTAGGTGATGACTTGGCGGGGTCGGCTTTGGATGTTTTGAAGGGCGATGTTTTCGGCAAAGGAACCTCCATGGACTTTGAAGCGGGGTGTGAAACCTGTTGCATCGGTCAAGGTTGCTTTGATCGATTCGAACACCGCGTCAATGTTGATGTCCAAGTGGTAGCTGCCGATGCGTTCGGAGAGTTCCTTCGCACGGCCTCTAGTCTCGGTCGATGACTGCTTTTCCATTCCCATGAATGCTGTAGTCAACAGATCGCGCGTGAGTTCTTGTGGGCTCGCAGGTAGCCAATCCTCGTTCTCGTGGTAAGGGCCCGCTATCCTCTTGACATCTGCAATGACGGCTTCGTTACCTTTTTGAACTTCCTGGTAGATTTGCCGTGCCATGCTAAAGACGATAACGGCTGTTGCACAACTGTCAATGCCTCCACTCAAAGGCAGCATGAAGCCTGAAGCCCCAGATCGACGCAAGTAGTCCCAGAGCCATAGAGCCGGTCCAAGACTAATCTCCTCGGCAGGGGTATGAGTAATCAGATCACGTGGTCGGGTAGGGCATATATCTGGGTTGAAGTCATCTTCTGGAGAGCCCAATGCAAAGGAGGTCTCAATTCGCTGATAAGCCAGGGTTGAAAGTGACTGGAGTCCTCGACTGGGGGCGAAACGGTATGCTCTGACCTCTTCAAGGTCGACCGTTGCAGTGATGACCTCGACGTCGTTTAGGGAGAACTGGCTGCCCTGGGCCAGGATCTCGCCATTGCAGAATATCATCGATGAGCCATCATAGTACATGCGATCTCCGTCGCAACCCTGCTGGTTTGAATACAAGTAGATTCCGCCGTTCTTTCTGGTTGCTTCCTTGATGAGCGATATGCGCGTTTCTAGTTTACGCAGGGAATGATGACTGCCCGAGCTGTTTGAGAAAATCTCGACACCATTCAAGCCCATTGCATTGTGCGGCGAGTTTGGTGTAAAGAGCTCTTCGCAAGTCTCGAACCCAATACATGTATCTGGAGTAGACAGAACGCAATCACCGATGGGTATCTTGGTACAGCCGTTAAGCTTCTGTATACTCTGGGGTAGATAGTATTCCTCGACATGGCCAGGCCTGAGCCATGGTATAAAGTGGCGTTGCTCCCGGTAGATTCCATCATTTGCCAGGAACAGCTTTGGACGGAGCATGATGAGCTTGCCATTGAGGATGATGGCCCGGCAATTGAACCTGTTGTTTCGGTGCACGATTGGGAGTCCAATGTCGATGATGATATCATGGAGGGTAGGGTCTTGCATGATGATGGAGATTTGCTCCCATGAGTGAAGGTAGACATCTGATTCCAGAAAGTGGTCCAGACAGCCGTAGCCAGTGATCTCGAGCTCAGGACCAACACGCATGGTAGCGCCTTTGGCTTTCGCTATGCGAATGCTCTCCACGATTCTCTTGCGGTTCCCTTCAAAGTCCAGGGCCCATTGAGTCAGCTGGCAGGTAGCCAGGGTCACGAGTCTACCCATGTTGCAGAGATGCGAAGTTGACAAAAGGTGCGGCGGAGTACAAGTCAATACTGGCTGGCAGTATAACGACGACTGTACGTCGACCGAAAGCGTCGAGGCACAGAAGCGATGAAGAGGCTCGGCGGTTATCCGGACATGGCGGGGCAGTAGTGGGGGTAGGCGAGGCCGGGATTTGCATGCCAAGACAATGTTTGTGGCCAGGTGAGACATGGACAAATCACTCATTCACTCAGGGTGAAGACGCTAGACACAGGCTACAGACTGCGGCTGAAGATCGTGGACGAGGAAGCGCAAACGCGTCGGTTAACCCTGAATCGCGTTTACACACTCTCGTTGCCCAATTCCAACAGGGCGTCAACGGGCCTCACCCGTCACCCGTTAGCCACTCCCCCCCGTACCTCGTACTTGTGTGCACGCCATCTCACGCTCCAAGGCCTGATCTTTGCTGTGGTGGCATTGAGCAAGGCTGCTGGGTACTTCCCTTCAGCTTCCGGTCACACGGGCTGTATAATTCCCCGCTAGATAGAGGCGGTTCCTGACCAGCGACCCTTGGTGATCGGCTGTATCGGGCTGGTCATATCTCGTCCACCGCCCAAAATACGGCCGTTGTTCTAGCCCGACTTAGTGGTTGGCGCGCGCGAGGGCATGGTAAAGTGTCGTCCGCAGTCCGCAAAGGAACTTTGGTCTTAATCCACTCACACATGCGCAAATGTCGGAATATCACGATCATGCCATTGCGCGCTCCCAGGCTCGCAGACGCAGGAGGATGGAGCATGCAGACTTGGCGAAGGAGCGAGAGAAGACCTTCTATCGGTTTGTACCCTCTCCAAAGCCTACCATAGTCAACCTTTGCTCACGCCATGCCCAGGTATTACCCCCGACCGGGCTTCCACCGCCCACAGACAGACGGTGCTGCCAGCCGACAGTCGTCGCCATCGCCAGTCCCAAAGGCACAGACTCCTCCAAACACCCCGCCGCCCTCACTCGACTATGCCCCGCGAGCCTCCGACGATAAGGCTTTGACGGCCTTTGCCCAGCTGGGTGCCCTGCGTCTGAATGCGCGCCGATGTCTGATATCCTTCTTCGACCGCAAGGACTGCTTCCTCCTCGCAGAGGCCACCCGTACCCTGTCCCTGCAGACCGGAGAACCAGAGTTCGAAGACGACCGTCTGTGTTTTGGAACCACCATTTTCCCCAAGGAGCAGAGTCTCTGTAACTACACCGTCAACCTGGCCCCAAAGTACACCGTCCTGCCTCTCGATGACCCGAGCGATCTCCCTTCGCTGGTCGTCAATGACCTCAGCAAGGACAAACGCTTCGCAAACTTTCCCTTTGTAAAGGGTGCGCCATTCTCTCGTTTTTACGCCGGAGTGCCTATCCGGAGCCCTAGTGGGCACAGCATCGGCACCTACTGTGTTCTGGACGAGAAGCCGCGCGACGGTCTAACGCCACACCAGCTAGCTTTTCTGAAAAGCATGGCCGGTACTGTGATGCGCCACCTTGAGAGGACCAGGGCGGCTGAAGATCACCGTAGAGCAAAGATTATGGTGAAGAGTTTAGGTTCCTTTGCCGAAGGGAAGAGTGGCCTGGAGAATTGGGCACATGACCCATGGGATGTTGATCAACTTCAAGTCCCCGGACTGCCAGAAGGCATTACGCCCCACCGCCAGCGACCAGCTGCCAATTCAGATGCTTCACAGCACTCACCACAACTTCCCATACTCAACGGATATAACCATACAGGCCTGAACCCTCCAAGTACCGTGAATAACATGGCAGGCCCGTACACACCACCGGTAAGCGGACCATCCAGCACGGTAGCATCAAGTGCCGCCGCACCAATGGCTAGCCAAGGGGAAGAGGGCGGGCCCCCGGACATAGCCACCACAGCGTCGTCCAGCTCTACCAAGGGGTTCGCAAAGGCCGGCGAGAAGGACCGAGTGGCCCCGGAACTTAGGGCTCATTTTACCCGGGCAGCGAACATGATTGTCGATTCCACCGAGGCCGAAGGCGTGGCATTCTTTGACGCCAAGGTCAGCACTTTCGGAGGTCTCGTGGACGATGACTTTGACCCTGATCAGCTCCCCGAACCGGACAAGCCCTGTGACATCCTTGGTGCGGCCTTGTGTAAAACCGACCGCGATATCAAGCCCTTGCCCAACACTGGTGAATGCATCTCAGAGAGCGTTCTGAGACATCTTCTACGACTCTATCCGCATGGCCAAATTTTCCACCTCGATGATGACCCCACGTCCCCTTCTATCAATTCCCCGTCAACGGGTTGCGAGGACATCGAGTCGTCAGATGGGTTTCCATTCGTTACGCCACGCAAGGCCGAGTCTACGCGGAGCTTGGACGACGAGGCTTACCTGAGAAGGGTGTTTCCCACTGCTCGTAGCTTGATACTGTATCCCTTGTGGGATCCGCATCGTGAGCGATGGTTTGCGACCGCCGTCATCTGGAGCTCTGAGCCGAAGAGGATTTTCACAACCGAGCAAGAGCTCAGCTATCTGGCAGCGTTTAGCAATTTTGTCATGGCCGAAGTCGCTCGTTTGGACACAAAGCTGGCAGATGCTGCAAAGGCTGACTTCATTTCTTCCATCAGCCATGAGCTGCGATCTCCTTTGCACGGTATACTTGGAATGACCGATTTGCTAAAGGACTCTTCGCTCGATAACCAGCAAACTTCGCATCTAGCAACAATCGAAACGTGCGGCAAGACCTTGCTGGAAACCATCAATCATGTACGTTCGGAATCTCGTTGCATTATTGACCATCGCTAACAATGTAGGTTCTTGACTTTGCCAAAATCAACAATCTGACACGCGGAGTTTCGAAACGTCACAAGAAGCGCACACAAAGTGCGAAGCACATGATTAGCCCTGGCCATGCTCACACGAACGATATAATGACACTGATCAACGATGTCGATATGAGCATACTCACTGAGGATGTTGTAGAAAGTGTCTTTGCTGGTTATACATACGCGAAAACCTCTGCCCAGACATACGAGCTCACCACAACCAAGTCGAACAAGCCGCCAATCTCGATTGTTTTGGACATCAACCACAGCGACAACTACGTTTTCCGTACACAGCCCGGTGCCTGGCGACGCGTAATCATGAACTTGTTTGGAAACAGTCTAAAGTACACACCCAGCGGCTACATCAAGGTGAAGCTTGAGGCAAAGCGAAAACCTGAACTGGATGATGAGACTTGTGAGTTCCGTTTTTCAGTGACCGATTCCGGTATCGGAATGTCGGAGGACTACATCAACAACAGGCTCTTCCACTCTTTCGCCCAAGAAAACCCCTTGAGTCAGGGTACCGGCCTAGGTCTCTCAATTGTCAAGCAGATTGTGGAATCACTAGGAGGCGACGTGGAAGTGCGAAGTGAAAAGGATCGTGGCACTAAGTTCATAGTCACCTGTCCATTGAAAGAGTCCCGGATGTCGCCAAATTTCTGTGCAACTGGGCCAGAGGGCGAGAAAGATTTGCGACTACAAGCAGTCACCAAGCGCACCAAAGGCATGAAGGTACGCTATCTGGGCTTCAACGAAGAAGAAGAGTACTTTGTCAGAGACCTCAAGAACAAGACAGCCTCAAAGTTGTCACTAAAGGCACTTCACAGTCTTTGTACGGAATGGTTTGGCATGCAAAGGTGCGACGAGGGCTCTGCCTGTGACCCAGACATGGTCATCGCTACCGAGGCTTGTGCAAAAGTATTGCGAACCACTTACAGTCAGAATCCTGGCAAGGTGGCACCAGCGCCAGTCATTGTTGTCTGTCAGGGTGCAGCAGCAGCGCAATCGACTACAGCCATCACCGTTCCGGGAATTATATTCGAATGCATTGGTCAGCCAGTGGGGCCACACAAGCTGGCAAAGGCCCTCTCTTCTTGTATCGATCGACACGCGAACAGGTCACTGGAACAGACAGTCAACACACTTGTGCCTAAAATAACGGAACTGAATCTCAAGGAGGATGCAGCGACCGATCAACGCACTGACTCTTTGCACGTAATAGAACCTCATCGACCACAGCTCACAAGCGTCAGCAGTGCTCCTGAAATACGGTCGATAGCCGCCAGTCCTGTTAAGCCATCGAGATACCAAAAGCCGACTCGTGCGCTAAGATGTCTCTGTGTCGACGACAACCCCATCAACCTCCGCCTTTTACGCACCTTTGTCGACAAGCTGGGTCATAAACACATTCTCGCAGCTGATGGCTTGGAGGCGTTGGAAATCTACAAGGACTCGGATAGCGACGACACACGCATCGATGTTGTGCTCATGGATATCAACATGCCCGTCATGGACGGCCTCGAAGCAACGCGCCAAATCCGCGCCCATGAAATCCGCTCCAATCTCCCCAAGGTAACCATCATCGCGCTCACAGGCGTGGCCGACACCGATATCCAACAAGAAGCAAACTCGAGCGGCATCAATCTTTTCCTCATCAAGCCCGTCCGCCTCGCTGATCTAGAAGTGATTCTCAGGGGCGTAGTTACCGGGCAGGATAAGGCCAACCTGGAACTCGAAGCCGAGCGCGAGAAGCTAAAGCAAGCGGAGCTCAAAGCCATCCTCAACGTGGAGAGTACCAACGAGAAGACACGGAGTGTCAACGTAGGCGTTGCCGTGGTGCAAGGCGAAGAGGAAGTACACCGGACGATCAAAGTGATTGAGCATAAGAAAAGCGCGTCGGCGGTGATATGACTATGAAAGAAGGAGAACAAAGCAACAACGAAATATTCTGGTATAACAAATGGACGGACACTCGGGCTATCTCAGCAACAACAACATCAAAGGAACAAAACTGGGCAGGAGTAGGCAGGAACTTGGGACATATTGGTTATTCACACACAAAGGGGGTGTTTCTTTTTCACATGGCGGCGGCCACACACATACAGTCCAGTCCCTGACAACAAATTGAAACAAACAAAAACGGAGTACGCGCATTCTAGTCGGCGTACTGAACAGGCGTATCGTTTTTTGAGAGAGAAAGAGAGTAGGGGGATGAAAAAGCGAAAGCGAAAGTGAAAACGCATTTTCGAGCTTTTTATGTTTCTTGTCTTTCAAAATCATGGCGTTTATACCCTTGTCTATCTGGTTGATTTTCTTTCTTTCTCTCTCTCACTTTTTCAACTTTCTCTCTTTCTCGCTCTGTTTCGTCTCGCTCTCATGTGGCTAAGGGAGTCTTCAAGGGGGGGGGAGCTAGCTGCTTGTTTTCTCTTCTCTTCTTCCCGCTTCTCTCCTCTTCATCAGCTTCTTTCTTCTTTTTATCGGGGCAGTTTAGTTAGTTAGTTAGTTCAAGGACATGCATGGCATTAGCGTGGCGTCCTTTTCTTCTCCTTTTTTCCGTTTCTACGTTGGTTCGGTATGATTATTCGAAGTTTAAGTTTTTTTTTGGGTTTTCAGTCTAGGAGCGACTTGAAGGCAGTTTATGAATATGATAGGATGGCGTGGGCGTAGGCGTGGGCGCGGGCGCGTTAGGGTAGGGAGTGGCAAGGAGAAATGGATATTGGAATAGAAAGATCAAGTGCACATGTGTTCTCTAATGGGGTGAGAGTGATGTGATATGACGTGAATCAAGATTGCTGACGAGATGTCTTGTGATTGTGTGGCATTGTCCAAGAAAGATGATACACCTAGATGTCATAAAATTACTTGACAGTGTGGGTAAGCAAGTATCTAATAGGCATGTTTGGCGACTACAGTGGCCTTGATACACTAGTACATACGTCAAGTATTTTATGACACTCAGGTGGATAAGCAAAGGTGCGCAAAGTCATGATGAACACAGGTACAGCTTAGTCACGTTCTTCTCTCGACATATCATGGTTGCCAGCACATGATTTCATTTTTCTGATTATGGGTATGTCTACGTGATGTCAACGAGTGAGTAAAAAAAGATACAATAAAAACTAATACAATATGCTCTTCTATCCATGCCGACGCCCAACGACCCAAGACTAACAACACTGGTATACAATCTCTAGCAACACAGAAAATCGACCGTCATAGCGACGGCGTCTAAGCGCCGTTCATCATGGCCTGATCTTCCTTGATCGACGCCATGAAGGCACCGACAGCAGGACCCATGATAGCAAACACCTCGAAGAGAACAACGTGCGCCAGAACGACGACAATGGCCATCATGATGAAAAAGGTCTTTGCGAAGAGCTTGATGAGACGGCGACGAGCCTCCCAGTTGAAGGACCTCCAGGCATCCAAGAAGCCAACGACGCCGGTACCGCCCATCATTTGGCTGACGACCTTGCCACCGAAAGTTCGGTCAAAAGGAATGATGGTGTCCTGGTCCTCTGGGAGGATGGAAGCTTCGATGCGGACGAGGGTCACCATGGCGGGGAGGCAGAGGAAGATGGTGCAGGTGACGGCGAAGATGGCGATGGCGGCGAAACGGACGATGAGACCCATCCATTGCGAGCACGTGGTGATGTTCTCGTTCTCCAAGTTGTGAAGGCCGAGGAGCATACCAACGCCAGCGGTAAGGTACAGACTAACGTATGGCATGACGGATGCGATGGCAGCGGGAACAGCGAGTGTCTTCCAGTGGGCCTTTGAGGGGATACGCTGCCACAAGCTCTGGGTGTTGGGCATGCCAACAACCTTGTGTGTCCATGCTGCGTGTACATTTGCGAGGACGGCACCAGTGAGACCGGCGCTGACGACAATCATGCCGGGCACTTGGGGGAGAGCACCGCCGAAGAAGGTGGCGACAAGGCTGGCGAGGATAGAGTACAAGGCATGGATGCGGAATCCACGGAAGCGTGCCCAGCGCCCAGCGTTGGCCACGAGGTGGCGGAGTGTGCCGCGGATAGTCGAGGTGATGGGCTTCTGGTGGACGAGGGTAATGGTAGGGCCAGTCTCAAGAAGACCCTCCTTCTCGCCGTCTTTGTCGGATGGTTCATACTCGGAAGGGGAGACGGTGATGGCGGCGACGGGGGACTCGACCATGCACAGAGTGGTGACGACTTGGTTGAGCATGTATGAGATCTAATACAGTCTTGTTAGCGCAAAGCTCATATTGATCATATTGATACAGCCTGAAGGAGGCGACAGGATAGGCAGCAAAGGGTACTTACAAGGCTCACAGCTACGCTGGCAACCAATATGGTCACATAGACCACAACGACACCCCAAGTCGGCACCTGGATCTTGTCTCCTGTGTCATTCTGAACAATTACAGCGCGCTTGACAAACGTCGCTGTATGCGGGTGCGACACGGCGCGGCGAGCGAGCTCGAAGGGCAAAGACATGGGTCGCGTGGATTATGTCAGACTACAAGTGATTTCTAATAAGTCGTAGATGGAAAAGGCGGGGTTTAGTTTGGTGGAAAGGAAGGGAAGAAGGTAGGAAAGAGAAACGGGAGAAGGCTGACAGTAGGAGGTGGGAGGCTTGGTGGTCTTGAAGGTTCCACTGTCACAGCCGGCCGCCTAACAAGGAGGAGGCGAAGCCGCCGGTTGATTGACGCAACTACGCCTGCCTAGCGCCTCGGCCAGGGTTGGCTTAGCTGCTGATCTATAATTGGTCTCGTCTCAACTTGGATGCCTAGAGGAGAAGGATACATGTGCTGGATAACTATGCGTGCAATTTCTTTCTATTCATGCCTGTAATGTATCTTGTGGTTTTCGAAATGATGTTGCGCAACATAGATACGGAACTACGCGCGTCCTCACTCATTTGTCCCCACTGCGGATACGTATCTGAGGTAATGTCAGCATCCCATGCGAGGCACAGCAATTCAGCAATACCTTGGCTGAAATCCAATACATTCATGGCTTTTGTTTCGAAACAGGGCGACGGGTATGGCACGTTCATGCGGCAGCATCACAAAGACGGCGTAGTGCATGATACACCAAATCAGGCAATTATAAAAGACAATATTCCATTACAAATCCCGTAACCCATCTGAAGGGAAACACAACTCCTAAGTTACCGTGATAGCCGGACCGAAACCCCGCCCATAACAGACAACGCTGTTTTGAAAAAGGTGGTGAATGCAGAGGGAACACATGAAGGCGCTAGAATAGAACAAGAAGACGCTTTTAAGGAAAAGTGGGAAACAAGCGTAGGGGGGATTTTCCAATTTCTGTCTCGGTGAAATTAGCCCTGGAACTGAGCCTAAGTCGTCATCCGTAGTCATGGTGAGGATGTGTACTTGTTAAAGTTTGGTCGCAGAATGTTCGAGTGCTTGAGAGTGCAGGAGCCGCCGAGGTCGGACTAAGCGGAAGGGCTCCGCATCAGCTTCGCCAGAGGGTGCAGTTTAGATGGCAGGCTGCGCGACTGGCACGGCCTCGTCCTCTTCCTCATCCGACGACTCAGCAGCAGCGGGTGCGTGGCTAGGGGCAGCAGGGAAGTCTGCCTTCTTGACTTCCGGTGACGTGGAACGACCACGGTACTGGTTGACAGTCTCTTGGGCCTTTGCCGTGGCTTGTTGCGTGTAGCCCTGCACTGTCTTCATGGCGTTTCCAGCATGCTGGTTGGCAAGACCCTTGACCTGCTGGGCCTGCTGGTTGGCAATGTTGTAACCCTTCTCCAACTGTGCGTCGATGACATCCTTGTTCTTGATGTAGATCAGGGGGCCGAGGAAGGTGATGACGGTCGAGATCAAGGCCAAGCCCCAGAGGGGAACAAACTTGATCAGGAAGTAGGACAGAAGGGAAGCAAAGAAGGCCTAAAAAGCAATATAGTCAGTCATCAGAACCTAGCCGGTTGGTAGAGCTGACTTACAGTAACGGTGACGTAGACGTTCTCAGCGAATACAATGCGCTGAGATTCAATCACGAAGAAGTTGACGAGCTGCTCAAAGTCGTCTGTCATACGCTCGAGCGAGGCCTTGGGAATGGTAAAGTACTGTCGCGGTCTGAACTGCGAGGTAAGGCCACGTCCGATGGTGGCCTGCCCGGCCACTTCCGCAGCGGCGGTAAGACCAAGGATCATGTACGAGGCCTTGAAGATGTACCGGATAAGGTTCAAGTATCGGGCGGCGAAGATGAAGACGACGGTACCGGCAAAGGCGATACCGGTGGCACGGGGGTTCTTCCAGCTCAACAGACGGTAGAACATGCTGTGGTAGTCTGTCGAATGTTAGCCATGTGCTATCTAGTACAGCAGAGTGCTCGTGGGGAGCTTACGCGTGAGGTTCTGGCCAGTGGCAGCCTTGTGGTCAGGGACTGTCTTTGAGTTTGCGAGATCGGCGAACTCATCGCGAGTCTTTGCGCCCTCTGCCATGACATTCTGGGCAACGGGTCCTATCAAGTTTAGCAATGCGTCGTGTGTAGGCCAAATTGGGCATCTATGTCGTGGCACCACCGTTAGCAGCTGTCCCGAGAGCACAGAGCAGGTTCCAACTACATACCTTACCGTTCATGACGGTGTTCTTGGCGTTCTGCACACTGGGGTGGTTACTTGCGGCGTTGATCGCGTGGGAAGCTGCTTTGTGGGTGTAAGTTCAGGGAATCGGGAGTTGTGCGGACGCAGATAAGACGACTGTGATGTATTGCGTTAGCTTGCGTCTCGGCTAGAACCGAATACGTGTGGTCCGACTCACCTTACTCTCTAGAATACCGTCCTTTGCCTTGATTGCACTGTTCTGCAAGTCGTTGGTGGAGTTGCCGTTTGAGTGTGAAGACATGTCGGCATCCATTTCGGACACGTTTGTTGAACCGTTTGTGTTGAGGTGGTCGAAATCGGTATCAGTGTTGGGCAGCTCAACTCGGGGAGCCTCTGACATGGCTTCTGTAAGTGCAGTTGAGCAGGTGCGATTGGATGGGCAGGTAGGGGCGAGCAAATACAGTGGGAAGGAGCAGGGGTATGTGGGAGATCGGGAGAGGGAAGGCGATGTCGTGGTTTTGTTCTGGTAGTGTCGTGTGCGCACCAGTTTGTTGGGTATTTACCCAAACGTCATTGCTCCACACTGGTCTGGCCATGATTTGTTTGCGCTGCACGACGACGCGCTTCTGCAGCATACAGGTTTCACTATGACTGAATCGTCATTGCCATGGACAAATAACCAGATGCCGCCCCATCACTGAGACAGAATTGCTGCCCACCGACGTGCTTGTTGCGTGGGTATGAATCGATGTACGGGCGGGTGTCAGACCCTAGCTCGGCGTGGTTTCACATGTGAAGATGGCAGCCGCCCCTCTCTCTCATGACGCCATAGCATGGCTAATACCATACCTCGCAATCGGCCGACAGCCTCAGGCATCACACCCACGACACCTGTGGCTTACGCACTCGTTTGTTTTATACGCTTTGTATCTGGATTGACTGTACTAAATCTACACTGACCATGTCAGGTCCCAATACCACTCCCCCTGCGCAGATCACCCTTTCGTCCGGTCTTCGGAGAGCATGTGGATGTGTATAGTAAGTAGTGCAGTTCTCACAAAGTGCACGGTGCTTGAGCCTGCTCCGGAGCACCCCGCATCCCCACTCCCACCGCCATCAAGGACGAGCTGAGGCAATTCTGGATAAAGACAGAAGCACTGGCTGAATGGCTGTTGGCTTTCCAAGCTTGTTTCATCATTTCCGAATTGCCATGGAGGACTGGGCGGCGGACTTGAGCCCGTCTTTGTTCACGGATGATATGCCATGTGACCAGCCCTGCTTGCACGCTTGTGAATGTGAAAGTCAAGTGAAGACGCCGACTATGAAAGTCTCGAATGCACACATTGGCTCGTGATGCACCATCGTGGATGCTGTACGGGAGGTCCTCGGTCCCTTTGCGCTATACATATATGCCTCAACCGGCGAAAGAGGCTCCCAACTCATCCGCGCGCGGGAGCATGAGTCGATAAGGTTGCAGACTGCAGGCGACAGACTGTAGGCTGTGCAGTCCTGTGCATTGTGCAATGTTCAAGTTGTCGTTTCCAATCTCCGCTGATAGTCGGTGGTGCTATCTTGGGCGTGGGAAGGAGCGCCCTCGCAAGGAGCAGGTGCGAAACAGAAAGGCGGGGGTCAAGGGTCTCACATGCTGCATGCAAGAAAGAGAGACGCACAGGACACTCAACCACGCGACAAGTGACCAGTTCACCGGTGGGGGTCATGGCCCTCCCGTCCTGGCCGCTGCGATGCTTTGCGAAGATGCGCAAAACTCGCTCGCTGGCCTAGACGCAGACCAGGACTGCAATGCTGCGCACTTGTCCTCCGACTAACTGCGCAAAGCGCCTAACCGGCCAGCCTTGAACCCGGCACTCGGGTCTAGTCGTGCACACGACCCAGTCGCGACCAGTCTTTGTTCAATGTTATTCGACCTGTGGCCTTGTCCGTTGGCGTGCCGGAGCTGCCAATACCACCCAAGCGGTCAGCGCCGGTGCCATCAATGAGGTCTGAGGGGCGTTTGACATGCCGCCTCCACGCCCGCATGCCCCAATCGTCCTCTGGTGTAGAGATGGAGGCAACAAGCCCCATTGTGGCCGGAGCGACGTTTGAATCAACACCGGCACGCCCTCGTGCGAGCAAGCAAACTGTGATTGTGACTGTAAAATCAATTGCAGCTATCAAGCTTCACAGCCTTGGCCATACATATACTTCAATCCACATTCAATGTTATGCATGTCGCCGCGCCGTCAAAGAAACGCCTATCAGTGAGTGCCAGGCGTCGGCTCCAAGGGCGCTGGGGTGTTGGCAGCGCGTGGCATCACCCAGTCCGCGCGCCTGTTGATGATCGAGGCGGCCTACAACGAATTTGTGGCGTACCTCCGAATCCTGGACAAGGGCTGCCGTTGCGATAACGACCCACTCACTTCGCACTGCCGCTTGGGTTATCACTCCTCCCAGCCCGTGACCGGCCTCTTTTCCTCTTCATCCTCACTTGACCGCCTTGTCACGTCGTCCCCGACACGACCGACAAACTTTACCTGCAGTTGCGGCCATAGTCATCGCGGATATCCACAAACGCCTCCCGGCTCTTCGGTTCGACAGCAACGTCACCCAACGAGCATATAGCGACATGGTCAAAGCGCCCAACTATCGGAACCTGGCTTTCGTCACCACAATCGCTACGCCCCCAAATTGTTGCTGAGCACGCCACTTCCAAACAGCTCCCCCCTCTACGGAGGCGAGAGTCTGTGAGGACTGCTCATACAGCAGCATGATAATACCGCGCCATCTATACAACACTGCTCCCCCAGACCGCCGGACTCGCCTCGCCAACAACCCGACTCTCCTGTACAGCTGGTGGTGCACTGTATTCTCCGCTGGCATTATAGCTGTCCGCCTGACGGGTCGCTACATGCGCAATGAACGCCTCTTCCGTGAAGACAAGATCATGGCCCTGAGCATTATTCCCCTCTTTGCTCGTATGGGTTTTGTTCATGTCGTTCTCATATACGGCACAAACAATGTCGACATTTCAGATTTGACTGACCCAATCGTCATCGAGCATCGCGAAATCGGCTCCCGTATGGTCCTGGGAGCGAGGATATTTTACGCAATGTTGTACGTAGCCTGGGCAGCTTCCTCTTTGAGCTTGACTAATGTACCACTAGCATCTGGATGGCCAAGTTTACCGTTTCCGAATTCTTGAAGCGCCTGACAGAACGCTTCTGGAAGAAAGGATACGAATGGGGACTACGCGGCATTCGCATCTTCCTTGCCGTCACCTTCGTCATGGTGATTATTTCGACGTTGGCAGAGTGTCGCCCCATCTCTCATTACTGGCAGGTCAAGCCGGATCCAGGACCGCAATGCCGACAAGGTTACGCACAACTGCTTACCATGGGTATCACCGACATTGTTACCGACATTTTCCTCATCGCTTTTCCGATCCCCATCATCGTGCGTTCGAGCATGCCTTTAAAGCGGAAGATCTCACTCACTGCCCTCTTCTCCCTATCCATTATCCTCATCATTGTCACAGGAGCTCGCATGCCTCTGGTCATTGGACGACAAGGTCTACAACAGTTCCGCACCGTCTTCGCCTCATCAGAGATCCTAGCTGCAGCTATCGTTGCCAACGCCATCATACTAGGATCGTTCCTGCGCGACCGCGGTGTCAAGAAACCAAAGTTCAAGGCACCATCCACCACAGACAGCATGGAACGCAGAGGTTCAGCACGCCGGTTTACCGACCAGACTTGCAGCAGCGACGAGGACCTCGCGCGCTCGCTGGGGTATCGCACCAAGCCGGAACTTGTTGAAACCCCTTCAAGTGTGCCAAGGCCAGCACCCGTTGCAGACCTTGACCTCCTTTCCTCAAGCAGACAACCGAACGCGTTCATCAACAACAACTGGAACTTTCCTGACGAAGAGTCGAGTACGCTGCAAGATCATGAACGCTCCAGCATAACCGGCGAAGACATTCGAGATCCGATGCCCAGCCCGCGCTGTGGGAGACGTGTATCGTGGTTCGATGTCGGGGGTCTGCTAGAGAATCAGACACTGTCCTCGTCGCCTACAGACTCAGTCATTGCGCATGACTTTGCGGCCCGACCGCGGCGAGGCTCCCGGGCCTCTACTACCATCATGTCAAATGGTCGCGCATTTCTTCCACAGGTACGGCGAAACTCTCGGCTTTCGCAACAGTCAGAAGACTATGAAATGTCCGTTCGACCGACCCACCAATTGCAAGATTTAGGTGGCCTGCTCTCCGAAGATCGCGAGCAAGAAGAAGCTCAATCTAATCCGTCTCCATGCTCGGGTTCTTTGGCCGGTCATTCCTTTCGCCATGACCGGACAGCGACTATACATCGCACCTCGACACGTTCAACACGAGCGAGCTACGATGTACCATCTCTGCAAGATCCTGGGGGCTTGCTATCCGGCCCCCCACCTACATCTATCCGACGCACCACTACACGTCAGAGCCGTGACATGCCATCCCTGCAGGATGCCGGCGGTCTTCTTAGTTGACGACATGTTCCTACTCTCTATTCTTATGCGTGATACCCCGGCCTTCGCGGCCCATTTGCATTTGCATGGCCTGCCTATTGCTTCTGCTATGTTATGTCCTTTTTACTACTTTTAGTTACTTTTCACGACATCTTCCAGCTCACTGGTCTACGATATAATGCAACACAATGACGGAATACCTAGATCTGCTATGGAGAATGAGCTGGCTATGTAAAGTTGGGCAGCGACACACACACATGTACAATATCACTATATCCGTGGTTGACGTCGTCATGGCGCACGTCAAGCCCACAAAATACAGATCCATAAATGAAATTAATATGCATCCTCGGCTCCTTCGCTCTGGGAATCCGGGACATTGTACCGTGCCATAAAAAGCACATGGATCCACGCCAAGTAATCTTACCGAACAGGTGGTTCGGCGTTAGACAGCGGCTTGTATAGCGTTCGCGTACCATTTACTTTGTCTTGGCTCATCAACGGCGCGGGAAGGAAGAAGCAACGGGGTCATAGCTCGCACTTACCAACAACATCCCCTGCTTCGGAATCGTTCGCCAACACCAACAACGCCACGAGTTGGACGCACTCCGCAATGAACGAGGATTCGCCTACGCTTGAAGAAATCATCGAACTAACCCGCCAAGAACTCACCACAGCACAGGCACCCGACCCAATTCGTGAATGCGGCCGCGCCGCACTGCTACTCCTTCCCAACGATCCCGATGTTTGCTTGAAGCTCGCATACCAAAAGCTACACGATGTACCATACAAGGATGTGAAGACGTGTTGGCGGAGACTGTACATAGATGCGAGCCTGTATCAAGTGCTGAAACTAGCCGAGCATGCATGTGAAAGGGACGAGTAAGTCTTGGAGGGCAGAACAAAAGCCCATTGAGAAAGCTTAGTGAGAAGTATTAGGGTCGATCAGGTTGTACGGCTGTTGGATATGGCCCTCATACTGACAGGAGCGCCTGGCCGGGAGGAGCTCGTGGAGTTGTGGTTTACAGCCCTGAAAGCAGCCTTGACTACTACAATGCAAGAAATCGACATCAATGACTCTGGAAGGCCGTTGAAGCGACAGAAGCTTTCTTCATCAAGTCAATCCTCGCGCATCCCAACCGGCTTCCCCATTGATTTTCCCGAACCTGCACCTACCCTTCAGTATCCCATCCAGCGAACGAAAGAGCTTAGTCTATCGGCCTTTCAGAAGATAGTTTCCAATACGGAAGGGCATACACCGCTGATTATTGAAGGTGCAATACAGCACTGGCCTGCGCTCGAAGAGCGACCGTGGAACAACCCAGGCTACTTGCTAGAGCAGACGCTAGGAGGCAGAAGGCTGATACCAGTCGAGGTTGGAAAGAGCTACACAGACGAAGGATGGGGCCAACGCATAATTACATTCCGTGAATTCATGGAGACGTATATGCTGGACGGGTTTGCCGAACCCGCAGAGCCTACAGAAGAAACCCACGCCACCTACAACAGCAACAGCGACACCGCGCCACCGACCCCAAAAGCACAAAAAACACCCACCGGCTATCTCGCCCAACATGACCTCTTCGCGCAAATCCCCTCTTTACGCGCAGACATCAGCACCCCCGACTACTGCTACTCGGAACCAGCGCACTCCCCCCACCTTACACACATCAAACCCGTCGCCAAACTCGACGAGCCGCTGCTAAACGCCTGGTTCGGCCCTGCAGGTACAATATCCCCGCTACATACAGACCCCTACCACAACATCCTCGCCCAGGTCGCAGGCTACAAGTACGTGCGTCTATATGCTCCACACGAAACGCGGAATTTGCACCCCAGAAGCGTAGGCGAGAGTGGTGTTGATATGAGCAATACGAGTCAAGTTGATTTGGATGAGGCTATGGCGGTGTATCCTGATATCTCGTGTTGGGAGAGTAAGAGGAGTGATGACGGGCGGGAAGAGGTCTTGGATGAAGCAAGGAGTGTGTTTGAAGAGCAGTTTCCTGGCTTCAAAGATGCAGAGTATGTAGATGCGATACTTGGCCCCGGGGAGTGCTTGTATCTCCCAGTAGGTTGGTGGCATTATATTCGTAGTTTGACGCCGAGTTTTAGCGTGAGTTTTTGGTTCAACTAGATAGTCATATATTGACAAGTTTGTGTTGGTTCAAGATTGAGTATTCACATCTACATCAATATTATGAATTCACATGTGCAACACAGTCAGCAAGTCTAAACATATTCAAACAAAACTCCCATCGGAAAATACATTATACACCCATTTATATAATACAAACGCGTGCCATGATCACTTGTCCTATCCTATCCTGTCCTATGTTGTCTCCTTCATGGCCCCAGCGAAGGGCGTGTGTCCTAAATCTCACGAACGACCTATGTTCACCGACGACAAAAAAATGACCAAATAACCCATACATGAATGAAAACATAAGAAAAGAAAAATGAAGGTAAGTAAAAGTAGTTGTTGTTGTTCGCATATTGATCATCCCCATTAAATCCATGCATGCACACGTACGTACCACCCATCCTTATTCCCAACCCCATGGTTCGCCCAGTGCATTCCTTGTATCTCATCTCGTCTCATTTTATGGCCACCACGCTCACTCGCTCGCACGCTCGACTACTATTCGGCACCACCAGCTTGTGCGTTACCGCCACCACCACGTCCACCACGGGCCCGCTTGCCACCTCTGGTAGCAGCGCCATCGCCCTCGTCCTCTGCACTACGCTTCTGGCCGCGACCACCCTGTTGCTGAGCACCACCCTGTCCAGGCACAGGAACGAAGCCAGGAGCATTCACGTTGAGGCTATTCCTAGGCGAATTGTTATTTTGGTTTTGCTGGCCGCCGCGACCTCCGCGACCACCGGCTCCACGACCACCTCCACGACCGATTTGCGAAGCAGCTTGGCCTTGGTTTTGGTTCTGGGGTTGCTGAGCCTGTGGTTGTTGTGCCTGCTGTTGCTGTTGCGGTTGAGGCTGGTTTTGCTGGCCTCGTCCACGACCACCGGGCATAGGGATGTTGCTTCCTCCGCGGGGAATGTTGGATTGCAGGGCACCTCGGGCGGGCTGTGGTAGGCCATTACCGCGACCGTATTGCTGCGGCTGTTGCTGACCTTGTGGTAGCTGCTGGCCTGGCATTTGGCCTGGGTAGGTGAAACCTGGCTGTGGTAGTCCCCGGCCCATCTGGTTATTGCCTTGGGGGTATGGGTTCGTAGGTATGCCATGGCCAGCAGATTGACTGAACTGGTTCATTTGGTTAAAAGGCATAGGCTGGGCTACCTGACCGGCGGGCATGTTGTTCGCATCGTTCGCTTGGGGGGTGTTGACAGCTATAGGTGTTGATTGTTGTTGCTGTGAGACTGTGGGCTGTGCACCAGGCTGAGATGGTGTTGATGTGTTCGTCTGGCTTTGACCTCCAGATTGTACCGCATCTTGTTTTGCGGGTGTGGCAGGTGTAGCAGGTGTGGCAGGTTGTGCGACGGCCTTGACTTCAGGCTTCTGAGTCATTGCAATCGCATACACCTTCGCAACCTCCTCTGTGGGCGTCTCTTTAGAAGCCTTCTCGACGTAGGCGAATCGGGCTCGGACAAGCGCAAGCTGCGAGTCTTTGACCTTGGACTTCATTTCAAACGTCTTGGTCAGGTTCACTTCCTTCTCTTTCACCTTTTGCTTCACTTTTTCCTCCCACGCGGCCGTAACTTCTGGGTCCTCGGCTGGTTTCACCTGTTCTGGCTCTTGCTTGACAGCAGTTATGCTATCAATGGCCTTCTGAGTGTTGAGCTGTTCGACCTCTTGACGAAGCTTGGTAATGAGCTCGTCCCTTCCGACACAAGCTTTCTTAACGTTGATGCCTATTTGCGTCTTGACCACATCAGCAGCGGCTGCGTTGGCCCTCAACCACAGTGCGAACTGATTGCTTGTGACGGTAGGCCGCGGTAGGTCGTCCGTCGGTATTACGCCATCGGATACAGGGGGGGCAGGTGCGTCGGATGTCTGCTTTTCTTGTTGTAGACGTTCGACCTCAGCTTGATGCGTCTCCTGTAGAGTAGCAATCTGTGACTCATAGTCCTTCTTGAGCTCAGCAATTCTCTTGTTTGCCTTGACTTTAAGGTCTTCGGATTTAACCTCCCTCTTAGCGACCAAGTCTTGACGAGTGTTCAGGTCCGCTTCACGGATGTTCAGGGACGCCTCGAGTGCCTTCAGCTCAGTCTCTCGTTGATCGAGTGAGGCTTTGATAGCCGCAACCGCTTCATTGCTTTGTGAGGTTTCCGGTTCTGTCGTGCGCTCGGCAGACTTTGCAGCGTTAAGCTGAGCCCGCAGATCGTCGACCTCTTTGGCTTTGCTAGCAAGCTCGTTCTTGAGCTTCTCTACCTCTGCCTGTATGGTGGAGTCAACAGCAGGAGCCGGGTTGACTGCAGGTTGTTGATCCTGAGCCTGGGGTTGTAAGAGTTGTTGTTGAAGCTCAGTGATAGTGGTGTCCTTCTCAGCCTGCAAAAATGAGTGATGGGCATGTTGCGAAGGGTGCGGGTGACTTACTGTTTCCTTTTGCAGACTCTGTAGACCATTCTTTTGTGCCGAAAGCTGGGCCTGCAGAGTGGTGAGTTGAGCGACTGCCTCAGACCGCTGTTGCTCTGCCTCTGCAGCCTTCCGTTGGGCTTCTGCCAGCTGCTTCTCCAACTCCGCAAGTCGCTGAGTAATAGCCTCATTGCCGCCCTCATTGATCTGACCTTCTTCACCTCCCTCTGCATCTTTCACAGATTGCGCTGATGTGGCTGCCTTGGCCAAGGCTTCATCACGAGCAGTGTTTGCGGACTTGAGATCTCGCTGGGCTGCCGCAAGTTGAGTGCGAGTCTGTTCCAACTCTTTCTGCAGTTTCGCCACCTGCTCTTGTGAGACCGCAGCGTCCGCGTGTGCCGTCTGTGAAGTTGCGAGCTCCGTTTGAACGGCATCAAGTTTCTTTTGCAATTCTGCCATCTCTGCTTTCTTCTCATTCATCTTTTCGGCGTGTCTTCTATTGAACTTGTCTCTCGCAATCTTCGTCTCGGCCTCCTTCGCAGCCTGTATCTCTTCAGCCTTCGTTGCCATTGCTTTCTCCAGCTTTTCGGTAGCATCTTTGAGTTGTTCATTGAGACTGTTGACTTGCTCCAGAGCCTGATCTCGCTCGCTCTTGTACTCTTCAATCTGCTTCTTCAGATCTTCAAGTTCCTTGGGGTCGATGCGGTCGTAACGCTGGAGTACATCCTGGTGACGCTTCTGCCAACGGTCGCGGTCCTCTTCGACAGCCTTGAGATGACCACTGTTGAGCTCAAGCTCGCCCTCGAGCTCGGTAACACGGACCTGTAAAGGTTCAAGTTCGCTCTGCAGATCCTCCAGTGCCTTGGCCTTTTCAGCGAACGAAGCCTGGAGACGCAGGTTTTCGCTTCGCAAAGTTGCATTGCTCTCCCGGTAGACGTTGAGCTCCTCGAGGTTCTTGTTGAGATGAGCAAGGCTTGAACCATTCTGTGACCCGGAATTCTTTGCTTGTTCTTCTAGCAACTTTTCACGCGTTTGGTCCAGTTGACCTTGGGCATGCGCCAACTGCTGCTCCAGACGCTTGGATTCTTGTACCTTGAGGTTCAGCTGGACTTCCAGAATCTCCTTTTCGCGGCGGAGATACGACTCAATATCCTGAAGATTACTTGAACCTGCTTCAGCAGTGCCTGCATCACCTGCCGCTGCTGACGCGCCACGGTCGTTCTTCAAGCTGTTGATTTGCTCTTTGTACTCGTCGAATTGCTTGAGCAAGGTCTGGTTGTACTGCTTCAGATCATCATGGCGACGCTTGGCTTCTGCTAGCTGCTCCTCATAGCGGCCTTCGGTTGACTTCCAATGCTCTTGGCTCTGTTCCAGCGTAGTGCGGGCAGCTTCGGCTTGTGTCTTGAATTCCGTGATCTGGGTCTGGAGTTCGTTGTACTGGTCCCGTACTTCTCGGAGCTTCTGCATACTCTCGGCGTGCTTTTGAAACTCATGCTCGTAGTCCTTCTGGGCGCGCTCAGCAATGTCGGCTTGCGTCTTGACATACTGGGTTTGGTTCTCGGCCTCGGCCTTGTAGTCAGCCACGTCGTTTTGAAGGCGAACAATCTCTGCCTCCAAAGTCTCTTTCTCTTGCTTGAGTACCAAGGTCTCTTGCTCATGCTGTCCTCGCAACTCGGTAAGCTCGGTGCTACTGGTAGCAAGTTCAGAAGATATGTCGTTGACACGTTGCTGGAGGTCGTTGATAGTAGCATCCTTCTCTTGCTCTGCTAAACTGAGCTGCTCTTGCAGGCGTTCGTGGGCCTCGACAAAGGTCTGTAACCGGTTCTCAGCCTCCTGGGCGATATCCTGGAAGCCTGCAATCTGAGCAGTGACAGCCTCGAGGTCCTCCTCCTTACGCTCAAGCTTGCGCTTAAGCTCCGAAACCTGTGCAATGAGCTCTTCTTCACGGCTGGCCGAATCTGCTTCCTCGGTCGATTCGGGGCGTGGTTGAAGAGCTGCTACACGCTCCTCGGCGGTCTGAAGTTGATTCTGCAGATCTTTGATGCGTTGTTCAAGCTGTTGACGGGTTGAGTCGGCAGTAGCAGCCTTTACTTCCGCACTGTTTCGCGCTGTGATGAGGTCGTCTATCCTTCGTTGCGCTTCCATACGCTCATAGTCCCGCTGTTGGGTTGCCCTCTTGTGTTCAGCGGCCTCATCTTCCAGTCTGCGTTCGGCAGACTGCAGGTCCATACGAAGCTTGTCAACACTGTTCTGTAGTTCTCGCCTACTCTCTGCAGTGGCTAGTTCGGCTTCGTTGCGTAGGCTCTGGATGGAGGACACCATGCTGCTCAGTCGATCTCGCTCCGTCATCAACTCTTGGTTGCGCTCCTTGAGACGTACCTCAATCGTTGCAGACATCTGTTGAGATGCTCTAAGCTGTACCATCTCGCCCTGCAAGCTCTGAAGGCGGGCCTCAGCTTCAGCCGCATTCTGAGTGGCCTTGACAAGGTTGTCGTCCTGCTGGGCCATGGTGGCTTGGACCTTGTTGTAGCGCTCTTGGAGAGAGTCCTTTTCGGACTGGAGCAGCTTGATGCTGCCCTCGAGGCGAGCATACCTATCTTGCTCTCGTCGCAGTTGCGACTCGCAACGGAGCTTGTCACTCTGAAGCTGAGTATTGTCCTTGGTAAGACCGTCGACTTGAGACTTCAGGGTAGCTCGATCGGTAGCACTCTCCTCCTTGAGTAGGTCGATGTGCGATTGGAGATCCTTGATAAGCTTGCTGTACTCTGGAATCTCACGGGACGCGTTTCCGTTTTCGAGCTGCAGGGGAGCGCCAGTGGCCGGTACTGACTGTGCAAAGGCAGATGTCGACTGAGCGTGCGATGGCATTTGGTTACGACCGCCGACGATGCGACTGTACATGTCGCGTTCCGTCTTCAGGGTTTGTGAGCGAACCAGGAGTGACTGAATTTCCTCATCCTTCTCGGCAACCACAGAGCGGAGATGACCAAGCTCCTCGATGTCCTTTTGATACTGCTCCGACTTCATACGAGACTCTTGCTTCTCCTGTTCATCACCGACTTGTCGGATTGTACGGAGAAGTTCAGAGTTTTGTTGCTGAAGCGTCTTGATGTCATTGTAGAGAGTAAGATACTGCGTGATCATGTTCTGTGTAGGCGAATCAGTTGGCAGGAACTCGTCGGCAACTTCGTTCTTCTCCACGGCTGTGATGAGGAACCGTTGCTGGTCTTCCGGCAGAGAGCCGAGACCGTTCTTCTCTGCTTCAATTCGCCACATTAGTGAACGCAACTGAATGGTCAGGTCCCCGAGCTGGCGTTGTAGCAGGTTATTCTCGCTCTGCATGCCTTCCAAATCACCCAGAGCCTTACGTGAATCCTTTTGAGCTGCCTCACGTTCAGAGATGGCATCATCAAGCAGACTGGAGATCTCGTTGTTTTGTTCGATGAGGGCGTCATTCTGGCGACGAATCTCTTCAAACTCGGGTTGGCGGCTTTCTAGCTCCTGGAGCATTTCGTTGAGTACTGCGTTCTGCTCTTCGTGTTTCTCCCGGACTCTACGGAGCTCCTTCTTGAGGTCGTTGTTTTCGATTAGCAACTGGGTCTTGGATGCATCAGCCTTGAGCTGCGAGCCACCAGGAGAGAAGACGGCAGGTGAACCTGCCCTGCCTGGGGTACTAAAGCCACCGTTCATGCCGTGTCGTGGTGTTCCGGGGACGCGTACGGAACTGCGAAGGTCAGAGTTGTCGCTCTTGAGGGACTCTACCAGTGTCTCGAGCTCAACGGTGCGGGCTTCAGCCTCTGCGGCCTTGGTACGCTCCATCTCATACTCGGCTTGGAGCTGTCCGATCTCGTTGGCAGCGTCTTCTTGTACCCGCTCAGTGTCGGCCTGCAATTGCTCCAGGCGCTTCTTGGTCATCTCGTGATTCTGCTGGTGCAGCGTGGCAAGTCGTCGTGCACTGTCAAGCTCCAGATGGAACTTGGTCTCTGATTGCGACACCTCATTCTCCAGCTCTTCAATGCGCAGACGATCCTCCTCGGCCTTGCTCTTGAGCTCCTCGATGTGTTGTCGTAGCAGCGTCTCGGAGCGGCGCAGAGTGTCGATGGTCTCGGCGGCATCGGCATTCTCACGCTGCAGCTGGGCAATCTGGGCGTTCTTTTCCTTTCGGTACTTGCTGTGGTCGTCGGCGCGGGTCTTGAGCTCGGTCGTGTACCAGTCGTTATTGTTGCGCAGCTGCTCAATCTCCTGCTGCAGATTGGCCTCACGGAACTTGACGTTGGTGGCAGCGCTCTCCAGCGACTGGGTCTTCTCTTCAAGGGCAGACACTTGCTTGCGCAGCTCAACTGACTTTTGGTGTTGCTCCGAGAGCTCCTTGGCTAGACGGTCGTGGGCAGCCGTCTTTGCCTCGTGCATGGCAATGGCATCGCGGTTATGGGACTCGAGAGTCTTGATGCGCGACTCAAGTGCCTGCGTCTCAGACGTTGAGCTGGTGGCCGTAGCCTGTAGCTTCTGCAGTGCTGTCTGTGCCTCCTGCCTGGCATTTTCTGGGATCCAGTTAGCATCTACACAGCAAGTCGGCTCATCTTGTCCCTTACCTTCCTGAATTAACTTCTTCTTTAGCTCTTCAGCCTCCTTCTGCGCCTTCTCTGCCGTGGCCTTTAAGCTTCGCGCGCGCTGCTCGCCGCCCTGCACAGCAGCCTCAAGCTCGACATCGGCGCGAATCTTCTCCGACTGCAGGTCATCGTATGCGCGGGCCTTGGCCTCAATCTGGGTGAGCAGTGACTGGACTAGCTCGACGGTGGGTTCGGATAGTAATGAACGAAGAGTCGTCTCTGGGACGGCATAGGACGCGGCCAGGTAGCCAACGTCGACTGCTGTCGCCGCCATAGTGGTGTAGTTGGTTTATCGCAAGTCCTCGCGCATTATCGAATGGTTGAATGTTATTACTCGACAAGGAAAGAAGACAAAGAAGGGTCGCGGCGGGGTGTGACGCGAACAATGAAATGCCCTTCTTCTCAATCACCAGTCGCGCCTGCAGTTGTTTGACGAGCAGGGGCCAGCCGCTAGACCTGCATGCGTTCATAGCGCCCGTCTACCACGGAACCGCCTTTCTTTCCGCGCCAACCTAAGCCTTTACCAGCTGCTTTGACTGCCTTGCCTTCACCTTCACCTCACCCATCTTCCGCCGCAGACTCCCCACGCTCACTACCAGCCCGCCCGTTTCCTCCCTATTCGCTGTGCGACTCTTTAGCTAGAAGCTGCACAACACACAAATATCCACACGCGCAATACAACCAAAGCCATCACCTGTTCTACCCATATCTCCATAACAGCAACCATGTCCTTTCTCAAAGCAAACTCCGCCACTGGCATGAACGCACCCTCGCCGACGCCTTCGACTTCTTCAGCCAGCGGTGCAAAGCGCAAGCGTCCAGCAGATGGAGTCCCTGTTGTCTACTCGCAGCCGCAAGACACAGGCACGGGTGAGCACGTCTTCACCCGTCTCACCTATGTCAACGACTTCCTGCGCGAGCGCAAGGAGAAATGGCACACATTCGACGACATAATGGAGTACCTCAACATCCCACCTGGCCACATCCAGCGCGAGCAGCTGCGCGCCCTCATGCGCGCCGACAACCAAGGCAACCGCATCTCATGGGACTCGCACAACGAAAAGTACCGCTACAAGCCCAAGCTCGACATCCGCAACCCCGCACAGCTCAAGGGCCATCTCCAGACGCAAAAGTCGGCCATGGGCCTGCAGATCAAGGACCTCAAGGACGGCTGGTCCACCGTGGCCGACGACATCACAAAGATGGAGGAGAAGAACGAGGTGCTGGTGCGACGCGCCAAGGATGGTGTGCCAAAGACTGTCTGGGGCAATGACCCCTCGCTCATGCTGCCCATGGACCCGGCTTTTGCAAAGACGTGGCATTCGGTCCATGTGCCTGAAGACTCGGAGGAACTGCGCAAGATGCTGCTAGCCAACAAGTTGACGGCTGCTACCCAGGCAAAGGTCATTGTTGCTGCTCCCTCGGGCAAGAAGAAGAAGGGCCCTCGTCGTGGTGGCAAGCAGACAAACACGCATATGATTGGTATCTTGAAGGATTTCTCGGGTATGAGGAAGTGAAGTTTGGTCTTTTTTGTTTGCATAGCGTCGGTGTTATGGGATTTCTGCTCTTTTATAACAGACTGGGAGAATTATGCATGGTGAATGGGCTCGGTCAGAATGCTACAAAATTTGTACAACAGTATGGAAGAAGAAGTGTTTTCAAACATGATTAATAGAGCAATGAGCAAATAGCCCTTTTTAAACTCGGAATTTGGCTATATCTTACTACAATAAGCTATTTCATTCGACCCTTCTCTTGCATCATATCTCATCTCCTCCCCAACCTCCATGCACCCCACATCCGTCCCCCATGCACCCAAACCCCCTCAAAACACCCCTTCATCAACATTCCTAACCCACCCCCACATCCACCTCACAGTATCCAAATGCGCCCTCACCCCTACCCTCTCATCAACCGTATGAATATTCCCCAAACCAACCTGTTCCCTATCCCAGCCCGGCCCGTACCTAAAGATATTCTCGCTCAAATCCCAATAGTACCGCGTATCCGTGTTTCCCGTCATAATGCCCGGGCTAACGAGGAGGTCATTGCCGTAGAGGGCGCGTGTAGTGCCGGAGAGGATGGCGTAGGGTGTTGTTTTGTTAGAGTCAGAGGAGTTGGAGGAGGAGGAGGAGAGGGGGAGGAGGGAAGTAGGTGTAACAGGAGCAGGTTCAAGCATAGTAGGGCCGTGGGATAACGTTATACTTGAAGGCGATTCCTCCTCCCCGTTAAACGCATGGAGCGTGAGATTATATTTTTGTGCAACTTGTGCAGCAAGAGCGGTGATATGTGTCTTGACAACATCAGAGCTCGAGCCAACGTTTATACGGTGATTCACCGTCATCAGCGTGCGTTCGGGAAGTGCGTTTGTTTTCACGCCGCCGTGGATGATGTCGACGGCCACGGAGGTTGTGAAGAGGTATTTCACCGCGGGACCAGCTTTTGCTGCTTCGAGCGCGAGGGCGTCTTTTTTACTACACGCCTTGTGGTGTGAAGAACGATTATGCAGGAGTTTGGCCAAGGGGCGCGGGAAATCCGGGGCGTGCGAGGCGCCGCATTGGAGGAGGCCTAAGTATGGGTTTGAGTCGTCGAGGTAAGGGTCGTAGGCGTTTGCTTCGATGAGCGTGATGAGTTCGCTGGCGACCCCGATGCCATTGTGGGCTGGGGGGATACTACTATGGCCGCCGGGCATGCGTACAACGATGTCCACATCGATGTAGCCTTTTTCTGCAACTCCTGGTATGGCGAAGTTTGCGCCCCAGGTCTCGATGTTGACGGCGCCTTCGTCTACAATGGCGGCGATGGAGTTGTGGCCGAGCTTCTTCAATAGGTAGTTCGCGAGATGTTGTGCGCCTTCTCTCCCGGAGATCTCTTCGTCGAATCCAAATGATAGGATCAGAGTGCGTTTGGGTGTGAAATCCGCAGCGATGAGCGCCTCGACAGCGTTCAAGATAGCCATTAGTTGATTCTTGCAATCGCTTGCGCCTCTCCCCCACACAAACTTCCCGTCATAATGGCCCGAAAAGGGCGGATACGACCATTGTTTAATAGTCGAATCAGGCACAGGCACAACATCCTGATGAGCCATGAGCAAATTCGGCTTCAAACTGGGATCAGAACCAGCCCATGTATACAACAAGCCATGGGTATTAACTTTTTCAAGTTGCAGCGTAGCATGCACCAGTGGGTAAGTCTTGCTGAGATAGTCTGCAAACGAGTAGAAGATGTCCCAGCGTGGATCCTCGCCAATTGTTCCCATGTCATCGTAGCTTTGCGTGGGTATCTTGACGGCGCCTGATAAGCGTTCAATGGCTACATCACGGAACGCGTCAGATGTCAGGTATGCTTCCATCTCTTCCATCCCCTTTGTCGTTCGAGCGGGAAATAAAGGTTCTACTTGAGAACATTGCTCTTTCGTCTCAACGCTGTTGAATCCAGTGGAGAGTGACCATCGTGACGATGATGTAGGTGCGATGATGTAATGCCTCAAGAAACCCAAGATTGCAAAACAAAACAGGCCACTTGTAATGAACTGACGCTTGTATGGATGCTTTGGTGGCTCAGGTAACTGCTTGGTTTGCTTCTCCAAAGTATTGCTCGCCATCTTGAGGGTTGAGGTTGAAGGTGGGAGTGTTGCTGATCGAATGGACTTTGGCCGGGCATAAGATGTGGTCATGATAGAACTAAGCTATATTAGGAAGGTATGCATTACTAGAGCCACTTTTTCGAAGCAACGAAACGCGTACGTCTGCTTGATAACATCGGAAAAGTGGTGGACTCGGATAAGTAAGAGAGGTTGGAAATGTAAGTTTAACCTGCACGACTGGCGTTGTTTAATAGTTAAGTAGATGATAAGATTAAATCACGAAGTAGGAGGAAAAAGAACGCATGATGCAAGAAGATGAGACATCCATACACACAATTTTTTTATAACAAAATAAATATGATCCGTAAACTAGACTTGCCCACCGTAGACGAGCAATTACCACTCCATGACTCCGAAATATGCTTTATCCAATACTGCCCTACTCATCATTTTCCTCATCATCGCTGCCGTCATGAACCATACCGTGCAACCCCTCTCTTTCTCCACCGATCAACGGAGCCCTCTCGCCTTCCTTGCGTGCGAAATGACCTCCGATACTGAGAGCAAGTGTACTGAAACCATGTACCATTGTACTTCCAAGCACAATGAAGCAGACCATAGGCCAAATCATGGTCACCGTCCTTTGTCTGTCCATGGGCAAGTCTTCAGGCGGACTTGGCAGAGGCAAAGAAGTACCCGTCTCGAGCTGCGCGCGAGCTTCGATGGCTAGGAAGATTGCACCAACACCTATTGGGCCGAAATGACCGACAAAGAGTGCCTCGGTCGTTGTCTTTACCAATGGCAGCATCTTCATCTTGTAAAGCGAAAATACAATTGGGATGCGGCGGAAGACCAGGATAAGTGCCAGCAAGGCGAAGAGGCGGGGAATTGTAATGCCATCTAGCGCGCCGAAGCTCTGCCAAGGAATCATCGCACCGAAGAAGACGAAGAAAGCCGAATTGATCAACAAATCAATGATAACCGGTAGAGAAGTCTCAGCCATAGGCGACGCTTGGTTGTGGGAGAAACCACGACCGGCGAAGAAGGCCACCAGGAAATCATCGACACCAAGTACTGATGCCAGACCAATGGAGAAGACAGCCAGCAGTAAGTAAAAAGCCAGGTAAGAGGCGCGGCCCATCCACTCGCGTCCGTGTGAGAACCTGTACAATGCGTTGAAGACGCGACCCAGGGCAATACCGAGAAGAACACCCACGACGCATTGGTAGAGTATAGTGATGAGGAACCACTTCTTAAACACACCAAAAGCAGTACTTTTCAGTAGAAGACTTAGGCCAATGTAGAGGAATGGGAATGATACACCGTCGTTACACCCGCTCTCTGCGCTCAAAAGGTCCCTGATCCGCCTCGGTACCCTGGTGCTGAACTGACTGTTAGAAAGTACCGAAGCTGCGAGGACGGGATCTGTAGGCGTAAGGCATGCAGCTATGGTCATGGCAGTCTGGAAGTCCGTCTGGAACAAGAGCATGATGAACATGGCACAAATAAGCCATCCAAACGTCATCACGGGGCCAAGCAGAACAAGCAGAGCGCGCCATCTCTTTTGCAAGTAGCCATTGGGAAGTTCCAAGCCGACAGCGAAACATTGGATTCCCACAATGAGACGCGTGGTTTCTTGTATTATGTCATCCTGTTGTATGTTAGCATAGTTTTGTTAACATGCAAGGGTACTCACAGAGAAGCCCCAGTCATAGGGTCTGAGAATGTTTAGTGCGCGTGGGCCGATGATCTATATCGAATATCAGTCAGGATGTGTTTCTAGTTCATACCAAACACCAGGTACTTACAATGCCAAACAAGGTGGCCAGCGGTGGTTCCGAAAGATGTAGCCGGTTCCGTATCATCAGCGAGAAGAGCGCGTACAAGATCAGGAAGAACGACAGGAATACATAGGTTACATGCGGGCCCGTAGGCTCGAGCTGTGACCAGACCATGATGTTTCCTTTGATTGCTGTAAAAGAGCGCGTCTGCTGAAACTTTGAGGTTGGGAAGACTCTGCGAAGCTTGGATGCTTGGGTAGACGCTCCAACCAGTGACGTCACCTGGGACAATGGCAGATGCAAAGACGAAAAGCGACTGGCACGCTGTGAGACAGAAACTATTTGTTTGAAGGGCAGTTCAGGCGACGAACATGGTGTTGATTTGCGGGGTGCAGCAAGAGAACAAGGAAAAAAGGCGCGATGGATGCAATGCATAGGTAGGAGTCCATGTGCATGGATAATCCGGCATGGCGATGACGAGGTTCGCCCAAAGAAGCATTGCGGATTGCACAGATCGCGCCTAGACGGCACTATCCGAATGCAGATCGAGAGCCTATCACCAGATAACCAAATTCATTCGGTGCAGACAGTGGTGTTGTTAACATGAGTGCAGGACAGTAGATTCTAGAGCTGGATGAGGCTTGCAGCTATCTCAGCCACAATCTTCACGTGAAGACGCCAAGTAATCAATTGCTACTTTTGTATCAACAGAGCGCCCCCCCTCGCATACCGATGTGACCCAAACGCCGCTCCCACGCGGTAATGCTACTCAATTTGTCCAGGACCCAGGGCTACTGGGATTAAAAATACATGCAAAATTACAGCCAAGCCAAGCGATGCAATTAGGAAAGTCGTCGACTATATGTCATCCGGGGGGTTGTTGAAGAAGGCGAATCGTATCCTGTGAAACTGGAGAGAGTTAGAGAGATACTGTGTGGATGGAGTGGGGATGCTCACCGAAGGTAGCTTGGGAATGACTACTGCTATCGTTGCAACGACGTTGATAAGAAAATACGTCAGATGGTAATTGGTGTAATGCGTACTAACAAGGAACAACACAATTGGCACGGTGAGAAGAAACTTCTTCGCCGGAGTGTATTGGTCCCCGTTGTCAATCTGCTCCCACATGTTGAGGTTGTCGTAGGCGCCCGAGTTGAAGTCAAAGGGCACACCGCGAACATAATGGAACATGAGGTATGATCCGGCCACGTACGAGAGGTTGACTAGGGTCCATGATGCTTCTTGCGACATGCCGGGGATGATATCGAATAAGATCTTGCCGAAGAAGATAAGGACAAAGTGGATAGCCCAGGCACCTGTGTTTGTTAGCATACTCAGTATGATGATTGCATGTCTGGCGAGCTCACCCTTTGCGTTGACCCATTCTGCATTCAAGTTGGGCAGGGCCGACTGGTCGCTCAGCTGCTCCAGCGACTCGGGAGGCTCCTTGTAGACAAGACTACTGCTACGTCGCCTCCGCGCGTCCTTTGCGGGATCCAGCGACATTTTGGCGTACGATGAGGGCGAGTCTGATGGGCGGGCCCGCGGGTCGCCTGCAAAACTCAGGCCGGAGGTGCGGTTGAGGAGTATGGGTGACAGTTTGGCGGTATTGATGGGCGTTTGGGAGGGCGGAGATGCGGAGAGGCGCTGGTATGAATGGGTTATGGAATATGGAATATACGTTGTCGTCACCAGCTATCACCAACAATGGCTGTCAGTGAGGTCCAGCAGCAGGTCCAGAAGCAGCAAGGCGGATCGGTGGGCCTTCAGGGTTCTTACAGTCTACGCTGCGCTTTTCCGCCGTGTCCGAGCTTGGGGGTTGTTTTGAGTGATGTCGACAGGAAGAGCAGTGCAAGATTACGACGTATTGATGTTGGGCTTGTCAATGGGCTGGTTGGCAGTGGAAACGCGTCTGGTCATGTATAAAGGAGGAAGGGGATCTGGAATCCACACAGGCCCAGGCGTGAAGACGGAAGCGTGGCAGGTCCACATGATGCCTCCAAAGACCGTGTTCCTCACAATCACCGAGGCCGTGCACAGGACACCAGCCATCATGCAACTCTAGAGCGCTCAACACCAAACCTCCCAAGACACCAAGCCGGCCCTCATCATCACAGCATTACACCGCACCCGGAACATGATGGCCTCGGAAGTGCCGCCCCCAATGGACACGCCAGCGCATGAGGCTGCACTCATTGCGCATCAAGATGCCGTTGGCGATGCGGCACAGAAGCCCGTCAAGCGGTCGTGGAGGTAGGACGCGCCGGCCTCGAAATGACGACAGCCAGCTAATATGCACAAAAGACGCAAGTACCGCAAGATGCGCATCAAGTTCGACGAGGCCATGACCGATAGCGACAACCTCATCAAGCAGGAGTGGAAGGCCATGGGCACTGCACGCCGCCTGCAGGAGAACAACGACCAGCTACTTGACATTTTGCTGGAGCTCAACGAGCAGTCACGCGTCAACCTCCGTCTGCGTTATGACCTGCGCCAGCTGTCTGCTGCTGATACAGCTGTGCCATCTCTGGAGCCAGTACCTGACCCGGACCTGATCAAGCAGCAGCTCCAGGCGCTGAGGGATGACGTTGCGAGCGGAAGGATCACAGCCGACGAGTACACGATACGGGCGGACCAACTCCACAGCTCGCAGGCCATACAGCAGACGCTCAAGTCCCTTGCCAGTCTCGAAGCAAAGGTGCCGCACACGACGCGCGCCGACCTGCCCGACCGCCCCATTCCAGGCCTGGACCTGAGCGAGCATGCGCCGGGTTACATGTCGCCCACGCACGAGGAAGAGTATCTCCTAGCCATGGACCAGATGCTCGATCAGCCCGGCTTCGACCAGTCTCTCCAACAAGGCCGCCCTGTCCGCCTCGCCTCTGCCCAACCGCCCCTCAGCGAAAAGGACCTCACTGTGCGCAACCCCGACAGCGTCTACAACTGGCTGCGTAAGCACCAGCCACAAGTCTTCCTACAGGACAAGGACACGGCACACCACGAAAACATCTCGGACAAGTCGGCCGCACCCAAGACGAGCAAGGCAAATGCGAACAAGGCCAAGCGCGAGTCTGCCGTTGGAGGTGGCACGCCCGCCCCACGCGACCACGACGACGATGACTCGGCTGCTCATGAGACGGGCAAAGGACGGCGGAAGACGGGTGGTGGCGACGACGACACAGCCTACCGACCCAAAGGCGGAAGTTCTCGACCCACAAAGCGCAAGCGCGAAGAGGGCGACACACCCACGGCCAAGGGCAGCAGGAAGAAGAATCGTCCAAGCACCGTGCAGGCTAGTTGAGGAACGGGCTTCATCTACACTACTCCATCACTTGCAAACCCACTCACCCAAAGTGGAAGCAAGAGTTTTTCCTTGTCAAATCATGTTTTCTTCTGTTTACAAACAAGCTATCCTCGGACGTAAAATGGCGTTTGGGAGTGCGCGTGGGCGCACGGCATCGGGTTAGATATACCCTTGGGCTACTACTATGTATTATTAGGCATTTGGAGATGAAACAAGGGGGGTGGGATGAACGGGCAGTTTGGCTATAATCAAAGCCCTGAACACACTACTAGATGAGCATATGTTTCAACCGTGTTATTCTCTTAGCCTTAGATTGACATCAGTACAGATGTGTGTATTTGCACATGCATCTGCCATTTCTCAAGATTTGCATTTCATATAACGTACCTCACGGGCGAGTGGGCCACACGGGCGAGTGGGCCACTCCGCTAAGACCCCACCAAAACATACTGTTACCTACAGTACTTTCACAATGAGCCAACAACAAAACAATCTACCAGCTTTAAAAGAGGCTCGATTACAGCTTGCTCTCAAGGCTATCGAACGCGACGCGACGCTGTCGCAGAGACGCGCTGCAGCTATCTACAACGTATCTCGAGTAACTCTTGGGCGCCGACGCGCTGGAATACCTCTTCGGAGCGATTGTACGCCTAACTCAATGAACCTCCTTAAGACAGAGGAGGATGTAATTGTCCAGCATATCCTTGACCTCGACGCGCGAGGATTTCCGCCCCGACTTGCTGCTGTGCAGGATATGGCTAATTCTTTGTTGGCTGAGCGCCACCGCGACCCTGTTGGTCAGAACTGGGCTGCAACCTTCGTCAAACGTCGCCCTGAGCTTAAGGTCAAATTCAATCGCAAGTATGACTACAAGCGAGCCCTCTGTGAGGATCCTGAGGTTATACAAGGCTGGTTCCGACTTGTGGAGAACACAAAGGCCAAGTACGGTATCCTTGATGAGGACACCCACAACTTTGACGAGTCTGGCTTCATGATGGGCATGATATCAACTGGAGCAGTAGTCACAGGCTCTGAGCGTCGAGGACGACCAAAGAGCGTTCAGCAGGGCAATCGCGAGTGGGCTACAGTGATCCAGGGTATCAACGCGACTGGGTGGGCAATCCCACCTTTTATCATCTTCAAAGGCAAGAACCACCTCTCTGCCTGGTACAAGGAAGATAACCTACCTCGCGACTGGGTTATTGCAGTCTCTGAGAACGGCTGGACAACAAACAAGCTTGGTCTAGAGTGGTTAAAGCACTTTGACGCTCACACAAAGAAGAGGACTGTAGGAAACTATCGTCTGCTTATTATCGACGGCCACGAGAGCCACGACTCGCTCGATTTCCAGCAGTACTGCAAGGATCACAACATTATTACTCTCTGCATGCCTCCTCACTCGTCGCACCTACTACAGCCTCTTGATGTGGGGTGTTTCTCGCCTTTGAAGACAGCGTATGGCCGCCAAGCCGAGGATCTAATGCGCAACAAGATCACCCATATCACTAAACTAGAGTTCCTACCGTGCTTTAAAGGCGCTTTTGACGCTGCGATTACAAAGGCCAATATACAAGGAAGCTTTCGAGGCGCTGGCTTAGTCCCATTTAATCCAGAGGCTGTGATATCGACGCTTGACGTGCGGCTGCGCACTCCACTGCTACCTACCGTCGAGGACGGTCCCTGGCAGTCGCAAACTCCAAGCAATACCCTAGAACTTGGGTCGCAATCAAAGCTGATTCAAGAGAGGATTCGAAGACATGTAGATAGCTCACCTACGTATATGGTTGAGGCGATCAAAAGCCTGTCAAAAGGTGCAGAGATGATAGCGCATTCTCTGGTGTTAATGACCAAGCGCAACGCTGAGCTCCAAGCCGCCAACGAGGCCTCAAGTAAGCGTAGATCATATAAAAGGAAGCGCTTACAGCAGCAAGGGACCTTAACAATTGATGAGGGCGTGCGACTGACGACTCTTAAGGAGTTTGGGGCATGTAGTGATAGGAAGAAGGCGAAGAAGAGAGTGCGCGTTGAGGCAGGCGAGCCTAGCCAACGACGCTGTGGACGCTGCGGCGAGGCAGGACATAATATGCGCACATGTAGGCAAGAAGCAGCGATAGATTCTGAGTAGAATAGCCTATTACGATTTCTATTTACTATCTTTGACGGTGCTATATAGTCGTGTACAGTCGTGGTTTTAATGGGGTCTTAGCGCAGGTGGCCCACTCGCCCGTGTGGCCCACTCGCCCGTTAGGTACGTTATAATCATACAGATAATCTGTACATCAACGCTTCCAACACAACTACCTCAACGGCTTCCCCCTCGCCCCTCCCGCCATGACCGTCTGCGGCTGCTGGCTCTCATTCATAAACGGCAAACTCGCATCCAGCACCCTCTTGCCATCGACCAACATACCATTGCCCTGTCGCTGATCCTCCAGATACTCCGTCTGCTTGCGCTTCTCCTCGAGATACATTTTCCTTTCCTTGCTCAAAACCCACTCCTTGGGAAACTCGGTCCTCTTCTTAGGCGTGTGATGGCGAAAGTCAAACGGCACGTCTTCAAACGTGTCAGTGGCGTCTTTGGCAGCTTCAATCAGGCCGGCGATTGTGTCTGCCAGGAAGCGTTTGTTGCGAGCTTGGGTATCGAATTTCTCACACGACATCTTGACGATGCGGGTTGTGGGGTTGTAGCGGGGCCCGGCGAGCTTGATCATCTTGTTGATTTGCGTGGGCGTTAGCTGGTCGGATTGCGAGAGGTCTTGAGGCGAGAATTCCACGACGACTTTGTTGGTGGCGGGGTGTGATTCGCCCAGGTATGACGTGTAGCGGAACCGGTAGGGTGTTGCTGCTGTAGGGGGTTCAAACGGGCGGGCGAGGTCTGCGGCGTTTTTGTTAGTATATACAACACATGATGGTATATATCATCTTTGTGTTCAACGTACGGCTCAAAAGCGGCAATTCCCACGCAATCAACCTCGCATATTCCCTCAACTCTCTGTGCTGCTCCAATTCACCGTGACCGTGACTCGTCAAGTCGTCGCCGTAGTAATCCTCATCTGGTCCCATTTCCTCCTCGCCTTCGGCCCAGAAACCAGCTTGGATCTTCCTCCTGTCGTCTTCCTCAATGTCAAAGTCCTCGTCGGTTTCTAGGCCAAAGTTCTCTGTCTGTGGGAGTCCGGCTTTTCCTTTGCGCTGGGCGTCGGCAACGACTGAGGGGTCGATTTCGGCCAGTGAGGCGCGCAGGTTGCTAAGCATGGCTTCATGACGCTCCTCTTCTGTCATCTTGTTGAAGGGAACCTCTTCCGTGGTGTTGGAGTAGGATAATTGCGGAGCTAGCTCATCAAGGGTTTGAGTCGGTGCCCGGGCATCTGCTGCGGTTGCGGAGCCCTCTTTCGTTGGCTCATTTGCGCATCGTCCGGGTGTTGTCGAGAGTGGGCGCTGCTGCCATTGTGCGGGGGTGCTGTGTCTTGATGGTGCGCGAGCTCGTATCCTTGGTGGGCATTGCCGTGACTGCAAGAGCAGTCTTCGTGTTATTGACGCCATTGATGTGCGCATTGGCGGGTACATGTTGTCGTCGACTTTTCCATGCAGCCGTGCTTGGCGCTGGGGAGCAAAGTGCGACCGCGCACCGGGCCAATTGAAGGGAAGACCGCCCGACCTCCGCTCTCATCGCCATCATCTTGGAAGACATTGGACGACACTTGTAAGCCACTTTTTGGAAGCACCGCTCGTTTGACTTTACTTTTGCACATATCTCAATAATAATCTGATAAGAATCTTGTCGTATAATGGCGGAATCGTGGAAATGGACGTCTGACTCGAAGCTCTGCTTTGTTACTACGGGAGCCACAGCACCATTTACCGCCCTTATCGAATCAGTCCTAAGACCCTCTTGTCTGAGTGCCCTGCAAGAAGGAGGCTTCACACATCTCCTAATCCAATATGGATCCGCCAAGGACGTTTACGATAAGCGTGTGAGCACTGCTCGCTCATATGTCAACAATGACGAGAATAAGCGGCATCTGATCATAGATGGTATCGACTTCAACCCAGACGGTCTACAAGCACAGTTGCAACTTGTCCAAAGGTCGAAAGGAGTGGTGATATCACATGCGGGTATGAGTGTCATACATTTGCACGGCAAATTATTGGCTAACATAGTCAGGATCTGGTTCTATCCTCGAGGCTCTCCGCTACCAAATACCACTCATAGTAGTTCCCAACACTGCACTACTCGACAACCACCAAGAAGAGCTTGCTGTAGCAATGGAACGAAACAACTATCTGATCCGTGGTGATGTTACGTATGTAGTTCCTTCTGGCGACACTATATCCTACTTTCGTTAACAATCTCACAGTGATCTTGCGCCAGCAATCAAGAAATCGGACGAGTTCCGAATCAGAATGTCACAGTTCCCGCCCATCACAAGTGGAAAGCATCGTGAGACCAAAAGCTTTGAGGCCATCATGGACGAAACAACCGGCTTCATGGACTGATGACACTAGGGACTAGATGTCAGTGTTGCTGGGTGTGTTGACTTATCCAGAACAGGGCTCTGGGTGCTACATCAGAACCGCGTGTCAAATGTATTTTGGGATGTGACAAGCCAGCACCCCCACGAGTTGAGTGATTATGGAACAGCACTTTGGGACAAAAGTACGACATACGGCGATGCAGCCCAAGCTCCATGCGGCATCAGCATTGCAATAACGAAGGAGCGAAAATGTTGTTGTTAGTCTGGAAGCTTAGCGCGGCGTGTTATTGCTTCATCAGCTCTTCCATATCAGCCACCCTTCCTCTTCCTCGGTACAGCGCTCCTCAACAATACCCGCCAATCGAAATATCATCGCCGTGTGGTTACGTAAATCTGGTTGTACTTGGAGAATCCAACTACAAACTGCCGAGGTGACTCGGCAACGGCAATGTCGTCCTTCAGAAGGGTACCACATATCAAAAACTAACGTACACCAAAATTTAAAGGGGTATCACACAAACGACAGGCTCGTCTCCGGTATGTCACTCCACCAAAGTTGGAGTACGAGAGTGCAACATGTCGGGTATTCTCGTACGGAGCGCACGTGAACGCATGAAGAGTAAGGGTTTGAGAATACGAGCTTACTCACGAACTGCCACCACTTCCACCATTGGCTTTGTGGACCCATGGGTTCCCATGAGAAATGTCACCGAATAAAGGGGACATGATGTACCGTAATGGAAACGAGAGGCGCAAGGCGCATCGTACGCTCTTCCTTCTCCGTCCATCACCATACGTAACAATGTTTATTTCAATAAATGCGTGCAGATTTCCACTTGATTTCAACCGTCATTTCCATTTTATAATTTTTGTCACCTTTGCGCGACTGCCCACTGTGTGTAGGACTAGGTAACACACACACTCGTTACTTCCTGCTTCTGTACTAGCGTAACGCGACTTCCACTCATTTTATATAATACAACAACCAACCAACTACATACACTCCTTGCCCCGCCCTTTGCGGTCTCGTTTTTATCAACTTCAAAATATAGACACCTGTGACTGTCTCTATTACACTCATTTCAGTATGCGACACTTCATTGCGGTCTTGGTTGCGGCAGCTTCCCTTGTGCATGCCGCGCCTGCTTGGTATGTATGTGTATCTGACTGGCTGTTGTCAATACTGATGAAGGATTCAGTCGTGCTAAGCTACAAAACAATAGCTCTGTCAAACAACAGAGCGTTGAGCCTGTCAGTCATGGAAGCACTGCCAATACCAACCAAGGAAGCGCTGGTACTGTCAAGCAAGGAGCCGATACCTCCGTCAAGACTCAAAGTGTCACCTTTGACTGGGGCGTCGATAAGGTCCGCGGCGTAAACATCGGTGGCTGGTTGGTCCTTGAACCGTAAGCATGACCACTGTCCTCTGCTTGCATCCTCTAATGATTGCAGGTTCATTACACCTTCGATCTTCGAGAAATACAGTTCAGACGAAAAGCCTGTTCACGATGAGTGGACGGTTTGCGAGAAGGTGGGGCAGAGCAAGTGTGCTGATGCGCTGAAACCCCATTGGGAAAGCTTCGTCTCCATCGATGACTTTAAGAAGATCAAAGGCGCTGGTTTCAACGTTGTGCGAATCCCTGTCGGATACTGGACGTAAGTTTCTCGTACTTACTCTGCGTGACATCGCTGACAGCGTATCTTGATAGCTTTGTGGATGCATGGGGTCCTTACACCCAAGGAGCCGCTCCCTACCTTGACCGTGCAATCGATTGGGCCAGAAAAACCGGCCTCAAGGTCGTCATCGATCTCCATGGCGCACCCAAGTCCCAAAACGGCTTCGACCACAGCGGCCATAAACAAGCTGCGCCAGGTTGGGGCGACCACGACAGTGTCAGCTATACGCTTGCCGCACTTGAGGTGCTCGAAAAGAAATATGCCACGCCTGAGATGCAAGATGTCGTCGTTGCTATCGAATTTCTCAACGAGCCTTATCTGAAGATGCTTGATATGGCGACGGTCAAACAGTTCTACCGCGACGCGTTTAATAACCTGAGAAAGATCAGCAACATGACTGCCATGATGCACGATGGCTTTTACGACCCACAATGGCTCAACGGGTTCTTGACCCCACAAGACAACAATGCTCATGGTGCCGTTGTCGATCATCACGAGTACCAAATCTTCGATAGTGGTTTACTCGCCATGTCGATTGACCAACACGTTGCTCTTGTTTGCCAATCTGTAGGTTGCACGCTTATCCGTATTCTATCGTAACGCTTGCTAATATGTATCTCTAGGTCAGCAATTATGACGGTTCCGATAAACCGACTGGTAAGTGATGAGCGGTATCATACATGACGCATACTAACCTGAATCTCCAGTCGTCGGCGAATGGTCCGGCGCCCTGACAGATTGCGCTCCTCACCTCAACGGCTTCAAGGCCGGCTCCCGCATGGAAGGCACATTCGCTGGCTCTTCCTACATTGGATCCTGCTCCGGAAAAGGCGGGCCCATTTCTTCATGGTCACAGGAATGGAAGGACGACGTACGCCGTTACATTGAAGCACAACTCGATGCTTTTAACACAAAGACGCGCGGCTATTTCTTCTGGAACTTCAAGACAGAGGGACATGCGGGCGAGTGGGACCTCTTCGAATTGCTCGACAATGGTGTATTCCCGCAGCCACTGGACAATAGGCGGTTCGGAAAGGCTTGCTCGAACTTTTAACCGGGCTTGAGGGGAAGGAATGTCGAGGGTGGAGGGTGGTGAGACAGGAGGCGGGTGTAATGTTACGGTCATGGATGGATGGCGTGGTAGAAGGTAGTACTCTGTGCATAGATATACCAACATCTTAATGGACGAAAGCATATTTGATTTTTGCTCCCCATGGATTGTGTACTCCATCTTGCCGATGTTCGAAACTGAGCTTTACACAAGTATGTTGTGCATGCATGACAACGGAAAGCGTGATGATTTGCTTTCCTCGTTTAATCAATTCAGATTCTCTTATGCACAGTATTTCCTCATTATTCTCCCAGCGCCTGATTCTCACACTATCCACGATGTTCCTCCTTCATAACTATGTTCAATGAGATTGAGCGTCGTGTCAACAACAATATGTATATCGCACGCTTGATACCAAAAATACCAACATGACGGCCTCAATGCATTATGTCTACACTATTTCAACCATGTAGATGATATGGGCAAAAAGATGTCGTTTTCCATGCAGAGGGAACACGCGTCGTTTATGCATCACGTGGATAAGTGTTCGTGCTTTACACACACACACACACACACACATTATTTGAGTTTTGCTAATGCTACTAGAGTACACAAAAACTCTCCATATGAACGCGTCGAACCAGACATCCGAGTCACAATCGACTCAACATCTGCGCCATCCTCTAACCAATATTCCAAACCCAGAAACACAGGTTCCCATCGCACCGTCGCTGCACGGTGATCACTTGCCAATCGAAATTCCAAGCTCATTTTCTCTTCCAAAGCTTTCGGCCTATGATCGCTGTCAACCTACTGTACAAGCCTCACGGAGTGTTGCGTCGACTGCAATGACTACTAGTAACAACGGGGCGTGCGAGCCCCGACGCTAAGTTACTGTACGGTGTCTACTCCGCAAAGAACAACTGCGGGGTTCAACCGCTACATTCACGATGGAGGTAGCCGGAGAGTCAACCATGCGCAAAGTTCGAGGTGCATGTGAGATACGAAATACGAAACCAAGGCTGTACAGCATTGTCCTTGTTTGTTGGGCCTTGGCACCGTGGATGCGACATGATGAGCAAAGAGGGGGGTGAGTGAGTGACAGCAGTCTGTGAGTTTGAATGGGCGAGGCCAACATACGGTTACCTACACACCGCTCCCCCTTCTCAAACAAACAACGCTGTATCTGGGAGGTTATGATTCGACAACGCCAGTACACTGCGACATATTGGCAACTCACCCAAGAAGTGATCAACATATAACACCCAAGCCAAGCATTCGAGTAATGCAACTGCCAGCTCATCTCCTTACACAGACCAGCGCCATGTAACTTCTGTTAAGGAAATAAAGTTTACAGAGGTGTGAAGTAGTTAGAGCTGTCATGCAACGTTCGCTTTGCTTGCTTGCTTGCTTGCTTAGAATTAATTGTTGAGCAGCTTTCGCGAGCGCTTTGACGTTCGGGGTTAGGAGTCTGATTGGAGATGGCGATGCGATGCGATGCTAACGGGTATCCGTATACGACAAGTACGCTGCTGCTGTCAGCACAGCAAACTATTGAATGGTTGTACGTGTCCAGAACGCGGTACGTATGCGAGGTCCACATCGCTGCTTCCAGGGATTGAATTCACTAATCAAGACTAGTGGACGGTTGCAACGGTGTTGGACTTCGACCTGGAGTTCCGACGAGGTCCTTCTGCTGTGCAACTTGCAATTTCCCATGCCATGTTTCACCTGCTTACTAGCAGGTTATTGTCCCGAGTGACATGGGTCGCTTACAAGGAGATAGCTGGGGACCGGGCTGAGTGTTGGTCGATTAACCCCTAGGATGCGACGTGGAGAATCCTCGTACGCACTACGAAAGCACATGCGATAATTTTATGCCAAGAGGGATCATCGATGAAAGTTGAAAGTTGAAACAGGGTTACATGGCTGCTGCAGAGAAAACGAAACGGCGAAGCGAAACGGGCTTCGATGAATAATCGATAGGTCGGCCGGGGGAAAAGATAAACCGACAAGAGTCCAGAACAGCGCACATCATTCTCTTACCATCTGTGACATAATACGACATGGATAGGGTCCTTTTTTACGCGGTCCGAATACGATCACCTGTCCATGTCTGCCGTCCTTCGTTCCGTCCTTGCTTGCTCGCCTCGCTGCCCGCTTCATATACCAGGGGGGTCACAAGCCGTGGAACGGGCCTTCCGGTGACCCTAAATGCCGCCTTGGGGAATGCAGTGGCAGTGCGAATACATGCCAATATGTACCATATGAGTTGTACCTTCGCAAGCAACAGGGAGCCCAAATGCCGCAAGTCCTTGGTTGAAGGATCAATTTCCAGCCGTGGCTGCCTTAGAATTCTGACATCTAGTAGTGGACGTCTCTTCCTTGCAACTTAGCGTCGTCTACCGGTGCCGCGATGTTTAGTGCTGGGAGCTGCAGCAACGGTTTCCAAGGTTGTTGCGGCCCAAGTGCCGGCACACCAAATTCGGGCACCCAAACTATCAAGTGTGTGTACCACGACTCTGTGAACGCGATACAACTTGGCAGCTTCTCCGTCTTGTTGTCCCCCTATATAATGCTTCACATAATGCCGACTATCGCATGTTGCTATTAATGGTGCTGGCGGACGGTGTTCGGCTTTACACTTACCCCCCAACGGCTTGGTCATGAACGCATCCTCTAGCCGCTTCGGGGGTGTGGCTACAACTTGGCATCTTGTCCGCTAGTGTGAATGGCACGTACCGAGCCACGGCTCAAGAGATTTTTTGGAAATTTCGCGTGCGACTCGATGCCGTTGGTACGAGTGTTCGGTCGTTATTACAGTGGTAATCCTCCGGATTGCACAAGGCCAACAGCTGGTCCCAGAGTGACACGCTGGATAACTGAGCAAACCATGCTGTCGCTTCATGATACATTTCAGAACGCATGGGTGGTGAACTTTGTTCACATGACGTCGATCCAGTTGCTCGACCCCACCCCGTTCATGCGTCGTTAGTCTAGCTCTGCGGAGGAGGCTGCGTAATTCATACCAAATGCTTGGGGCAATAGAAGCGAAAAGACAGTGAATACGACGAAGCCCGAATGTTGTGAAGAAATTGTTGATGGGAAATTACCAACAGAGTTTCGGACCAACGACTGCGGCTCATGATGTAAGCCGCAATGACAGCCCAAGAGGCCGCCTCATAGTGTGAACGGCCTTTGCGCAGGATAATTGGGACGTGCGATCGATCGATTTTGGGGTGAGCGTTCTGGACCTCTTGGTTAGTTACTCTCTCCACCTTTCTCTCCGACACATCCCAGCGATCATTTTTTTCGACACTCGTCACTGAGGAGTCGGCCTGCGACGAAGCTTGTTATCCCTGGGTATGTCGCAGTTGTGTCATCGTTGCTGTGACATTGTGAAAAGTTTAATAGTGCATAAAACTAATATCGCTAACGCATCTTGTGCATCGCGAAACTGGGGTTTGAGAAGCAGTAATCCGGACGAAGCATTCTCGTCCAGTGTGCGTGTATGTGTTATGTCAGCGTAAAATGACGAACCCCTGCCCCCAAACGAGGTTGAGCGAGGTTGAGGTGGCCGGCATAAAGTCCGAAACAAAATAATGCCCGTCGCCCTGTGGAACCGGACGACTCAAACAGCTATCGAGCCAATGGGCAGCGAACCGGCGGCCTTCCGGTCAGCTGCTGGGGTATCGACTGCGTGGTACTGCATGGCACTGCATGGATCAACCGTTTTTCTGGTTTTCTGGCGTCTTTAAGATTGCCCCGCCTTACTTTTGCAGCTCCTAGTGGAGCCGGGGGAGCCGTAGCGAAGGTTTCCCAGTTTCAATTCTATTTGTACCCTTTTCGCCCACCACAAACAACAACAAAAACAAAAAGAAAGTTAATGTGACCCCTATAACGACCAACATGCCCCCTTGAACAATAATCAACACCGCGACCTGCACCCAAACTTCTCCATCACCTCATAGCACGCAACCTTGACTTTTTCAACATGACGACTACCATCGGCCTACCATACGATGACCTCCGGCCCCATGTCGTGAGGCCCAAGAGGTCTTTCCTCCAGAGGCTCAACGAAACCCATGAACAGCTCATTTCTCACATGCGATCGTTGAAGGTGGAGGAACCGACATTATCAACCAAACACCATGGACCTTCCATGGAACGTATGCGCACAATGTCGACCGTATCGCTTACATCGACTTCGGGCTCAGAACGCGAATACTTCCAAAGCACCGATTCGGAGAGTGAAAGCCCCATGTCCAGCGGCTTCCTGTCCCCACCACTTTCACCAGCCGACGGTAGCTCCTTTCCAATTCACCAGTATCTCTCGCCAAAGGACCGGAAAAGCAGCCACGAGTACATCAAAGGCATGCAAAGCTACGTGAACCGGAAACAAGCCACATACGAATCAATGGTCCAGCGAAGTCTCCCCATCTCCCCGCCACAGACGCCTCCCCTGGACTCTGCGAGCTCGCTCAAGAGCGCAAAGAGTGAAATGTCCGACGAGCAGATTGACGACTGGCTCGACCGGCCCATGGACGCAGAGTTGCACCGATTCCAGAAGCTTTCAGCCTCTGGATCCGAATACTCGACTGATTCGGAAGATGATGAGAACAAGATTCACGTCATTGTGGAGCAACCAGACGAGGAAGACAATGCCGCACACGAAGAACGACTAGCGAATTCCGCTCGCTGGCGTGAGACGTGGTGCATGCAAAAGGCGCCTGAATGTGGAAGTACTGCAAGTCTGCCTTACAAAGTCAATGACGCGGTGTCAGGTGATGTTTGGGCCAAAGAAGCAGAGGCAGAGGCAGAGGCAGAGGCGGAAGAAGAGAGTGTCGAGTCCAAGTTGCTGTTGCTGCCGATCGGTATCCTAGAAACCGTTGCGTCTCATCTACAAAAAGAAGATGTACGCTCGGTCCGACTTAGCTGCACGAAGCTCAACAGCCTACTTGCAGCACCCCTGTCGACATGATCACCCTGGAATGGGAAACCGCAGCAAGCCCTCGGCTCCAACACGAGCCGCGGGGCGCTGACCAACAAGGCAACAAAAGAGATCGAATCGAGCACTACACCACAATGAAGACTGCGAACTATCGGCTGCAGATCTTTGGAAGAGGATCAGCAACACCATCGCGATTTTGAGAGGACCATCGCGCTTGCATGGCCTCTAAGAGCCCTAAGCCTTGCCCCACTACACAAGAAAGGCACAGACTAAAAAGGAGAGACAGAAGAGCTTGAAATGAGAGCCTTGAAGGAGTCCTTGGGGGAGTACCAAGTGTAAATTACACTTTCTGTTTTCAACACCAAACTGCCGCTTGCTATTTCGAGCTGGCATACTACATCACGACCTACTTAGATACCATTTTCCTTTGTCAAAGATAACCTTAACTTTTATTCTCTATTATCAAATAAACATTACATTACTCATACTTTGCGCTTTCAATCACTGATTCTGGTGCATGAGAGTACTATCTGGTATGTGGAAACCACTAGATCACGGCGGAACAACCAAAGAAAACAATCGATAACCATGACGTCGACGTCGCATTCCATGTGCGTGAGCCGGAAGCCGTACACAGATGTAAAAACGATAACGCCAAATCCATCACTGCCACATCCGAAGCATCAAACCCCGCCACCAGAGGAAAATCGAACGGAACCCGCACTACAGCACCACTAAACCGACAAGTCGTCAGAAAGAAAAAAGGATGAGCCATCGAAACTATTGGGGTCGGCGGGGAGGCTGAGCACGCCAGCCAACCAGCCAGCCAAAATCCCCCCAAACCATCCACCCAGCTAAGCTTTTTGTTCCCGCCGTGTAACCCCGGAACCGCAGCAGCAGAGCTGAAAAGCCCAAGAAAGAAAAAAGCGCCGCCGCCGCCGCGCAGGTCCCAACAAAAAGCAAACCCCCCCCCCCCCAGTAAATACGATCTACACCCACGAGCTGAAAGTCTGCGCGCCCAACACGCCAACACGCCCAGGAGGGCGAGAACGATATGGACCTCTCACCCATCGATGGGAAAAACGCTATACTGGAAGGAGACCCTGGAGTGGGTGGATGTATCGCTAGCAACCCATTTTTTTACCAAAGGTTAGGTAACGAAAAAGCAAATACTTGCTGAAGAAGCAAAAGCCAAAGGAAAGGAAAGATCTTCCATGCACACCCGCGTGCCCGGGAGAGGAACATCCCGCGTTCGGATCTACAGGAAGGAAGTGATAAGCGAAAGCCAGCGTTCCTTTCAACCCATGTCATGTGGTGGTTGTCGTCTGTACATGTTCATCTCCTTCTATTAATATCTACAAATACAAAAGTGCTGCATGTTTGGTATCAAAACTCCTCATTACGTTCGCTTGCTTGTCCTTCTCATTACCATTGGTGTTCTTGGTTTTTTCCCAATCCATTATATGATGTCTGCCCCCCAACCAGACTGGTAAGCCACACCCCCTTACAGCTTCTTCACACCATCTCCTTTGCTTGGGGCTGATCATGCATCCTTGCGTTTTCGAAGCTTTTGATTGAATGTAGGGATTCCGTCACGTCGACCTTTGTTGTCACGGTGATGTTGCCTATGGTACCGGGTGCATGGGCCTTTGTGTTCAACCTGGCGATGCTTTCGTTGCTACTTCTGGCTCGGCCTGGTGAGCTTAGCTCAAACGAGGCGCTCCTATTCGTGGCCTCAACTCCATGACCCCGAGTCGCATCGATAGTGGTGAGGGTGTATGCTTCGTTGCGATCACCGTAGTGCAAGGTCTCGCCGTCCGCGGCCTTGTCTGAGGATAGAGGACCGTAGCTTTTGCCCACTGAGCGCTGTTTTGTGCCTGATGCATATGGGTTCGAAAAGTACTTTGGTTGTGTGTTCTTACGCGAGCCGCTTCCGTAGGTAGACACGAGGATTGATCGGAAGAGAGGCTTGAGACAAGGTAGGTTGCCGGCGATGATGCCTACATTGCACTCGGTGACGGTCCACATGGTGAGGTTGCGAGAGTCCCACATGAGATCGCCCGAGCGGCCATAGGTGGGTAAGTATGAGAGCTTGACTAACGCGGCGGCTGTCGCAAAGGTTCCGAGACCGAGGATGCAGATAAGAGAAGCTTTGTGACGGCGGTTCATCTGTACTCCCCAGAGCATGGGAATCTATGAATGAGTGTTAGTGGTGTTTTCGATGGAGTGTTCCATGAGACTTGCAGGTATGCCGACTGAAAAGGCGATGTCAGTGCTGATATTCAGGCAGATGTTCAGATAGCCCAGCATCTTAATCTGCTTCACGGTCCAGCATGTGCCAGCTGCTGTCTGATCCCACATCAATCGGATATTTGTGCATTGCAAGAGGATAGTCAAAACGCTGCCGATTGTGTAGATTGTCATGAAAACTATGAGTTGTCAGCATAATGTTTCCCATATTCAAGTGACAGCCTACCCATGATACCGATGATCACGCGTCGATATATCGCTTTGACTGCAATTCTCAGGAGAAACAAGCCCACCGAGAGCTTGACAGAGCAAATGGCGAGGAGGTAGACCGGTTGTGATACGAAGTTCAGCTTCAAGCCATTCGAGAAATCGTGTGGTTTAATGTGCTCGATATGTCTTCCGGCCCCGTACACGACTTGCATTATTACGATGCATTGACCCACGATGCACTGCTTGTTCGTCAGCGCTGCAAGGAAGATAGATATTTGGATCTTACCAGTACGACCGTCCATAACATTACATAGTCCTAGGCAGTGAATGTCAATGGGTATCTCTCAGATCATCCCAGGAGCGCTCACATCCCAGCCCATGGCTCTGATCATGTTGGCCCTGACATGAAATCGCGCAATGGTAGTGAGCACGGCCACGATGGTGACAATTAGCGTTGATGCGAGGATGGTGGGGCCCTGATTCTCGTACGGACGCATTGGTGCGTCCACACGGGAGGCCAGAGAATGCATGCTGTTGGAAGTGACCGGGTAGAGTGTTGTACATTTGGGACTACGCTGGCTTCATAAGATAGCAGCGAGATGCCTGCATACCACCTGCCGACTGCCGAAACTCAAGTAACACATCAGGGGCGCTACCATAGAGACGCCTTCAGCGCCCAGAAACTGCTCTACAAGTGATGGAAGCCCGCCACCACATGGCTCAGGGCATATAGTTCTCGGTAGCCAACCTTATCTGTAACTGTCTAACCGTGAAGAACATCAATACCGGCTTAAGCGACGCATCCGTCATGCGTGAGTGGCAGGTCCGAACGGAGAGGATTCGGGACGTGCCTCATTAACCGGAAGCATGGGAACTACACAAAGTATTCAAACCGAAGGACTTGTCAAAGCATGACAGCCGGACGCCGGACGCACGTGGGGGGCGTATTTGGGCCCACAAGTAACCTGATACAAAGCAGTTTCTCTTACACATGGATTGTGTAGTAATAGTAGCGCGTAAGTGTTTAAAGAGAGGCGAGTGACGCATGAAAGAGACATTATGCGCACACTTGAGTCTTCTTATTCCGGCCCCTAGATCGCTGCCCTTGACTCTAGAGATGAAATGAAAAGCATACTTTGATCTTGCCATCTCATTAGGTGACGCCGAGGTCGCCCGATGACCAAGTTGTTGTGAACGCTCGCCAAGACAAGAGTAGACCCGAGACGGCTGCTACCATATGCTATGCGTAGTTTACGCCAAACACCGTTAGAGTGCATGTGATAGTCTGCATATCATACCGTTCAATGCAGGCTTTCCGTATATCGTCACGAATGGCTTCCATTCAGAGAAAGATGGAACTTGGCAATTCGCGGGCTGGGTAGTGAGCGCAGTGAGGATTTTGGCTATTATGGAATACATTTCGCAGCCTGACCATGAAGAGAAGGTGAACCGATATGTATGCGGTTTCCCAATTGCTGAGGTCCATATGCCCGAGAAAATTGATTCCAGGCGGGACGAAAATGGTACCGTGGGGGGTACCATGGTGCCATCCTCAGGCTATTGTGATACCGCCTAATATCGACCGGGAGATTGGTAGCGACGTGCCGAGTTTACGCCATTTGGTAAAAGTCGCACGCGGAACGTGAGCCGTAACCACTGAAGGCCAGATCAAGTGGCCCATCGGCGTGGCTTGCAAATACTAATCGCACAGCGAGTAATGGAGGTTATCTGATGATGGCGCAAAAGACGATACCGCGGAAGCGCCAGCGGGGAAAGAAGACGGGACGGGGAAACGGCTGATCCGGAACGGACCCCGCTACTGAACGGGCATAGCGGCATCGCATGATGCGCCACTAATTCAGTCGTCCTCCTCCCGACACTCAACACGCACGATATCCAAGAGAAGCCAAACCCAAAGTGGCATGTGTAGTCATGGAAGGATTGATATGCTTTCGGGATCTCCTTCTAGATGGAGGCGTTTGGGGGCTGTGAAAAACCTCCCATCCTTCTACGCCTCTTGCACGTGTCTGGACCGCGGCACATCCTGCAGGTTTAGAAAGACCCGATATTGAGGCGTTCACGGCACGAAGACTCCTTTTCACGAGATGTAGCTGACTGGCAAAGCACCGCGGCACAAGGAAACAAGATAGATCTTCTTCAACATGACTCGAAAAGCGTTCGTTCCCAAGGCCCGGAGACTCCAGATCTCGGGTTCTGCCTGTCTAGCTAGTCAGAAGCTGACGGCAGCGGGGCAGTAAGGGTCGGCGAGGCGACATGCTCAGCTCTCATTCAGCGAGAGCTGCTGGCTGCTTGCATCAACTCCCACTTACGGGCAAAGTTCACTTGAGGTTTAGTCCGCCACTCCTCATGATAATTCAGACAAGGGACTGCAGAACACTCGGGGCTCTATGGAATCCCATGCGCCAGGCAGTCTTTCCACGTTGGCTCCACACGTGGCCTCGCTTTATCAGACCTGCTAAGTGATTCGATGTCGGGATTTAGGTAGCGAGTCTAGCTGCGGCCGTCAACACCATTCCAGCAGGGCGTACAGAATTTTCGGTAAATTGCAGCCACAATACTCGGCAGTGAGGCATGAAAGACCCATTTACCTCTGAAGGAGGATAATCTCACACGGATATATGTATGCAGCATATCTTTGCTTTTCTCTTCCATACAGTCTTCAGCATTACTTCCTTCTCCAGTCGCTACTACACAACTGCTTCTGTACTCCCAAGACATAATGCGTTTCAGTTCTCCTCTAGCGTTGGCACTCCTTGCTGGGACTTTGTCAAACGCGCTACCAGCCCCCCAGGATTCAACACTAGAACCTTCGGCGCTACCAACGGAAGCCTCGAGCGACGCCTCAACTGCAAGTGGGCAAATCGAAAAACTAGTCGCGTATGCGCAACAGCAAGCCGAAGCTGAGCTGAAGGCCAACTCCAAGAAGCGTGGCACTTGCAACAAGAACAATATCGCCGTACGCCGAGAATGGAGCGCTCTTTCCAAGACCGAACGAAAAGCTTACACCGATGCTGTGCTCTGCCTTCAGTCAAAACCGGCCAAGACCCCTGCTTCCGTTATGCCTGGAGCTAAGTCACGGTTCGATGACTTTGTTGGCAACCATATCATCTCGACCCTGAACATTCACTACACGGGTAACTTCCTGGCATGGCACCGCTACTTTACCTGGCAATACGAGCAGGCGCTGCGCAACGAGTGCGGCTACAAGGGCTACCAGCCATACTGGGACTGGGCCAAGACTGCTGTCACTGGCCTTGAGAACTCGTCCATGCTCGACGGCTCAGCTTACTCCATGTCTGGCAATGGAGAGGCGGTTGCAGGTCAAGGAGATGTTGTCATCATCAATACAGGACCACCAGAGATTCGCATTCCCCACGGTACCGGTGGTGGTTGCATCAAGAGCGGCCCATTCAAGAACATGAGTAAGTCGACCCATCCCACTCCTTTCAGATGAGTACTGATCTAGATCCAATAGAGGTGAACCTCGGCCCAGCTTCCCTGAACTTGGCCAACGGAACCACAATCGCCAATGGTGACGGCCTAGGATACAACCCAAGGTGCCTGAAGCGCGACTTGACCGACTACACAATCCGAAAGTGGGCGACATCACCCCTCGTCGCCAGCCTGATCATCGACAACAAGGATATCTGGAACTTTGAGATGACCATGCAGGGCTGGCCGGGAACCCAAGACCTCGGTGTCCACGGTGGTGGTCACTACGCCATGGGCGGTGACCCAGGCCGCGATTTCTTCGTCTCTCCCGGCGACCCTCTCTTCTACCTGCACCACGGCATGATTGACCGCACCTGGTGGATCTGGCAGGCTTTGGACACCAAGACGCGTACCAGCGGCGCGGGTATTTCTGGCACTCAGACTTTCCTCAACAACCCTCCTTCCGCCAACACGACGCTTGAGGATGTTGTGGATCTCGGATATGCTGCAAGCCCGCCGGTGAAGATTGCAGACCTCATGAGCACAGTCAAGGGACCCATGTGCTACATGTACGCGTGAGTATGGCATCCAATGATGGTGTGGTAATGTACTTCAGTGTAAATAGACTTAATAGACTGTACATATGCTAGTATAAAGCTTTTCATTGTAATCTTGTATAAGTGGCCGATCGAAGTACTTGCGTGTGACTAGACCTAGTCTGGTATTAGTCTAGGTATTGATCTGGGTATTGGTCCATGAGCGAGTGCATGCGGACAATCGAGGACCTCATTTATGGTGTCGTGTTCTACATCGGATATAGATACCTCTCCTACTGCCTCTATATTTCCCTAACGATGCTGTGATAAGATACAACTATATAGTTTTTTTGAAGAGGTCACAGGTTCTCAGTAGAATTATAATACATGAAAATTGTTGAGACAAAAAGTGAACACACTTTGCCCCTGCGTTGATTGGTACATATACCTTCTCAACACACCCCCGCAATTAAGGCAGGGAGACAAAGTAATGCGAGTGGTTTGCAACGCAGGCCCTTCACGGTGCTGACTCCGGCTCTGGCCCTACTCGGCGCTGGCCTCATGCTCTGACCCTTACTCGGCTCTGGTCACTCACCCAACCAGCAGTTCCTTCGCGAACATGCTGATGCGCTGAAAGCGACCCGGGCTCATAACCTGTTGAGACAAAAAGTGAACACACTTTGCCCCTGCGTTGATTGGTACATATACCTTCTCAACAAAAATTGCATTTTGTCTAGTCACCCCCGCCCCCTTGGACGTCAAACTTTGCATTCCCATCCACCCTGTGATGTCCCAATTGCCAGACACGACCCTGAAATATGGAAGAAGCTCGCCAAGAAGATGGCAGGCCGGAGGTCCTTAGTGTGTGAAACCTCTCTGTTCAGGGGGACGAGGATAATGTTTGGCGACTACTAGGGGTCCTGTATACCTAGTTTTGAGGTCTAACACTTTGTCCGGCCTTGAGCGCTCTGCTCTAAGAGATAGTTGCGAGAGGTCACCTCACCAACGTAGGTGAAGGCGCCGTTGAATGAGTTAAGCTGAGACCAGACACAAACTGGCATGGAAAACATGATGATAGAAGAGCTGGAATTCCATACACCCTCCAGTGTGATGTCCACGCCCAAGACTGAAGCCAGCAACATGGTCGTGAGCCAATTCTTGAGATCGGAGACGTTACCACGGGCAACACTCTCATCTACATGCGCCGTGACCAAGATGCGTGCGCTGTCCGGTCGGATCTGTGGCGCCTTGTTCTTGCCTTGCCTGCCTTTTGTTGGGAGGATAACCGATTCTTTGCCTGGTTTTCTGTTGTAGAAGGGGATTGATAGCAGCCCATGTGCACGTCTGTTCACCATGATCTCGCTAAAGAGCATTACTATAGTGGTTGGACGAGAAGAAAGACGGCGGAGCTCTTCGATCAGTGCCTCCGTGAAGCATGTTGCGGGATCTGCCTCGGCCGGTTCATTCCGTGCACTTGCTCCAAGTATTTCGACTCCTCCATTGCAGACCTCAGCTGCAAAGCAGCAGTCAAGTATGTGAACTACGTCACATTCGCTTGAATTCATTGCTGAGGTTGCCATGTTCCAGTCAAGAGTTGGGGTCGAGGGCGTCCCTCTGGCATTCATGGCGCCACTGGAGATTATCAGCATTGATGTGTAGAACTTACGACTTTGATACTTACCAGAGCTTGAGGGTCCACCCATCGGCTCGTATGCGATCTTGCGGGGGTGCTAGGTCGCTGAGCCCATGGCCTGAGAAAACGAGGATGACCAGGCAATTCTTCGCGGTATACCCCGCCTCATGGAGTTCAAACATGGCTTGTTAGACAACCCAAATGGGGGTTGCCGACCGCGGAATTTCGAGGTGCTTGATATAGTCAATGCCGTAAAATTCTCGGAATGTTTCCGCGAGCTTCGTCTCTAGTCGGACTACCCCAATGTCGTCTTGCTCAATGTGGATAAGCACAACCACTGCTTTTTTGTACGGATTCACCCGACCTCCACCAACTGCAGATGACACCGCTCCCTGAAACTCATCCTGAAGCTCTTGCTTGGTGATCTTGCTTGGGATTGAGAAAGCCTGTGGCGGTAGGGGTCCTGACATTGCTATGGGATAGCGCGTGAATATGGGGATGTGGAATGTGGGATGTGGGATGTGGTGAGTGGTGAGTGGTAAGTAGGAAGTGGTAAGTGGGAAGTGGGAAATAGAAATTTAGGAAATAGACTAGAAATAAATCTTACTACTATTCATGTTCTACGGTAGCCAGCGCAGCATAACCAACGCCTCGCAAATTACGTTATGCGCCCCTCTCTCTCCACACGTACCGTTCCGGAAGTCGGCGTGTACTTGAATTCCTCACCGCATCCCTACTGCTTCCGAACTCAGCGGGATTCGTCAAGCGCCCGCAGCCACGGCACAGGATGGCGGATTGGTCCCTAGGAGAGTGCGGGTATGATCAAAGATGAATTGGATACAAAACCGTTGAGGTCTGAATTATACCTGACCATTTGAGCGGCACTGATACAATGTCAGCATGTTGCTTTGATAAAAGGCGCAAAACACTCACTATTCCGGGCTTATTGTTGCTGAAATGTCATCAACAAAAACGGTGTCGTACCCCTTGAAACCGGCATCTAGGAGCGTACCGTACACGCATTGATCCGAGTTTACACCTCCGAAGAAAAGAGTGGTGATCTGGTTTTCTTCCAACCAGAGACCAAGCGGTGTCTGCGCACCCCACATGCCGCTCACACGGTTTTTGTTGAAATAATGGTCCGTTCCGTTCTTGACACCTTGGATCTGCGCATCGTACAATGGCCCATACGGTCTCGCATTCCACGAGCCGCGCATCAACATTTGGCCCAGCTCGGTGCCGTCTTTCAGTTTCCCCATATCGCTGCCAAACGAATCTGCACGACTTAGTACTACCATAAAATACCCACGGCTCTGGAATACTTACTCGTAGGACTGTGCTTGGTGCTCGAAAATCCCGCAATGTCCGAAGGAGGCAGATCTCGGAGATCCTTTCCATCGAGGCCCCAGAAGGTCCAGAGCACGGGCATACCATTTCTACGAAAAGCGTCAATCATTTTAAGAGTGGGCTCCACTGCTTTCCGGCCGCCTTCGGCGCTAGGAGTGAGCTCTGGATGGAGGAAAAAGTTCTGCATGTCGATTATGATGAGCGCGGAACGCGAGGGTTCGATAATGGCGCGTTGCCGGGATCCGGTCATGGGGATGGTGACGGGCTTGGTCGTGGGTGCGATCATGGACCGCGTGAGATCATATGTATCATTTCCGAGGTAGATCCAGTGGTTGTAAATGTTGCCGAGGAGGGTGGTGTTGGTTGTTGGGAGCGTGATGTTTTGGTACGCTGTGATGATGGTTGACGACGCGAGGGGCAGAGCTGCCGTGGCGGCTACGATGGGCGCAGCGAGCTTCATAGTTCGCAGAATAGGTCAGTTGATAATAGATTGTTGGAAGGCGAGATGCGAAATCAGCTACGCCTTTGCAGTTACTTCCAGCAACCTTTATTATATAGCGCCATCACATGTGCTTCCCATCGGTTCTTGCATTTTTCATTGCCGACCTTGTCAGCAATCTTCCCCTTTACGAAACTTTAATATGGAAAGTGGCGTCAGTATCGGCCCGCAACATGCAGTTGACCGGAAAGTTTACCTGTACTTACTATGGACATGGGTGAAGTATCTATGCCAAACCTTGCTTGATCGCTGTGCGTGATATTTAGTAAGAAGGGTACACAAGACCATCAAGGTCCAGGGCTGCCGGGGAAAGGGCTGGCTGTTAGGGGTACTTAAGGCATTGTAATTACCTATGTATACCATAGTCAATAACCTAAGGCACATACTGTAGGCTTTTATTGATACCGATTTTGCCGGTCCGTGCACGCTAGCCTCCTGAAGGGTATTTTCTGAAATGGGCAGCTCGCTTCTCACTAGCTCATCCGGTGTAGAATGCGAGCCGACGGGTTCCGTGCGGGGTCGTTTCAAGACAATAACAATATGCTACATGCTATCAGTAATGTCTGCTTACTCGGGCCCACTTATTGTTACCACAACTACTGATGCTGATGAATTCAAGAGCTGAAGAAATAGCAAAACTGTTGAGAATATCTGGGTTCAGTCCAGCGTAGAAGGTGCTTGAGAGTCACATGATATGCTGGTGTGGCAGGCACTGCCCGGTGGGCAATAGCACCCACCACAACAGTCAAAGTCTGTGACACTCGAGATGATAGTCAATACAATACGTTGCAGCCACCCCGCCTTGTCCCTCTCACTCGGTTATCCACAGTAGTTATACTACTAGAGGGACCTTGTTCCAATAAAAACTAATACAATCAAACTCCTCACCCATACACACGACCCATCCACTCCCAACCCCATCCCAAAACACCTCCCCCAATTAACAATGCTCCGAGAATCTTACCCCAAACCCTCACTCCATTCTCCTGTCCCTCCAACACCGCTGCAGCCCCGACAATCGCCCCTGCAGCCACCACCCCCTCTATAATCCCTAAAATAAGTCTTCTCAACCCCCTATCCCTCTTCCCCAAGTAAATCTCCCAAACCATGGCATTCACCACCACTACGGCGCCAAGCCCTATCCCATAAACCGCCGCTAGCACCATTGCAACTACACCGTTCCCCCACGCCATAGGCGCAACTAATACAACAGCGCCCGCCAGTCCCGCAGCAGCAACGAAGATGGTGATTGCACCTATGCGTTTTACAACACGCATATTGCCGCAGAGAGAGGAACTAAGTGCTGCGGTGGCGAGGAGGATGAGCAGGGGGGTTGTTGCTTTATCTGGGTAAAGGAGGGAGGGGGGTTGTGTGAGAAGTAAGGGGAGGAAGAGGGGGTATACGGGGATAAGGGATGTGATGAGGATGTAGACGGGGAGGAAGAGGTACGGTGCTGCCTTCACGCAGGATCTGGTTTCCCTCCTTCCATCTTTCCCATCAGTGTCAGTCGTCGAAGCAGGATAAGGCATAAGCAAGATCAAAGCCACCCCCAACGTCCCCACCATAACCCCTCCACTCACCAATCCAGCCCACCCCTCATGCTCACGACTAAACCCAACCCTCACAACACTCGTATACACAACCGCCCCCAGCCCACCCGCAAACCCAGATTGTAACCCCACAACACCGGCATCGCCCCTGTAATGACTCTTGACAACCTCCCTACTAACTGCACCCACAACACCTAAACCAAATCCTATGCCTACACCTCTCAGCGCCAGCACAGCTGTATAACTCGTCGCCCTCTTCTCCCCTCCGCCGTCGTAAAAGGCGAGTGCAAACATACACCCACAAGCCAGTATAGCACCTAATCCAAACACCCCTTTTACTATCCCCTTCCCCCTCTTCCACCGTCTCCTCTCACCCTCCCTCCACGAATACCACACGCACCCCACCCCCAACTTCACACCAACCCCCTGCAGCGCCACCACGCCAGCGACCGCAACGAGCGAGCGTGTAGCAAACAACGTTGAGAAGTAGAATTCGAGGACGACGGCGTTGGAGAGGGGGATGCCGAGGGTGTTGAAGAGGACGAGGGCGTGGGCGTAGACGCTGTGAGAAAGGAGTGGGTTAGAGAGGAGGGGTTGAGGATGGTGGTGGTGAGGCTTACGATAGGTTTCTGTAGAGGGAGAGTTGTTGGATTGTTGGATTGTCTGGCTGCTTGGCGGTGTGTGGAGGGCTTGGTTGGCTTTGTCTTTGGGCCATGAGTGTGTGTGGGATGTAGTAGTTGTAGGATGTTGTAAGTGAGGTGACTCTTGTGCTTGGGGGTGCGCAGGAAGAAAGGAAGGCGTGTGGATGTGCAAACGAGGAGTGAGAAGGGGTATGTGATTGCGCAAACGGAGTATTGAAGCGTCAACAAAACGCCGATTGATCAAGTAAACGTCATAATTATTTGGCCTCTCATCGCGACAGGTAACCTAGAAGAAATACCAAACAGGAAAAGATGAGTCCCCTCCCCAAAGACCTAAAAACGCCAATCACAAAGTCCCCATATACCAACTCAACCCAAGACTTCTCACCCAACTCCCTCTCAAAAGATGGAGTTGACAATATTCCCTCCAATCGTAGCACCTGTAAAGACGGGTAAGCGTTAAAATATCCCATTAACAATCTTGCCACCAATAGTCGCACCTGCACCGAAAATGGCAGCATTGCCCAATTTCTTGCCAAACTTCTTGCCATTCGCCTCCATCTTGCTGGGCTCACCCGCCGGCTGCTGCTGAGCCTGAGCACCCGACGCCACATCCAGTGGCATATTGCCGTAGTTGCTAGGCGCAGGAGTAGCAGAAGGCGTGTAAGCGGGCATAACGGCCTTTTCCTCCTTGCGTACATAGCTAGCGGGGAAGATTCCCTCCATGCCCGTGCGCTCGTTACGCCCCTTCCACCACTCGTTGTTCATATACTCTGTGACGACGACCTTGTCGTTGGGCATGAGGGCCAGGTCGCCCGCGTCCTGCGCGTTATACTGGTACATGGCCGAGGCGTAGGCGAGCACGGGAGGTCCAACAGGCGCGGCGGGCACAGAGGGGTAGGCAGGCGGCGGGGCGTTGGTCGTCGTCGTCGTCGTGTCGGCGTAGTAGCCGACGTTGCTGTGCTTCTTCTCTGGCGGCGGTGTTGGCGAGCTTTGCACGCTCATCTGCGCCAGTTGCTGCGTTGGCACAACGGGGAGGGCGCGCGCGCTGTTCTCGGCTGAGACGGGCAGTTGCGATGATATGGCATCGTGTTGCGCCGAGCTGAGCACGTTTGATTCGACGAGGAATTGGAGGTTCTACCGCGTGTGTTGTTGGTAAATAGAGCGACCGAGGCTTATGGGTGATGTCGACTTACATTCTTGATGTCGCCGAGCGCCCGGTTGATCATCGCATTCTTGAAGCTGTCCGTCATGTTGAACCGTTGCCCGAATCTGGCTGCTATATCCAGTGCAGATGTAGATAAACGACCGTTTTGTTGGCTTTCACGAGCTTTTCAAGGTTACAGGGGGGTATATTGTTTGCGTGAAGAGCAGAGAATGCGGTGAAGACGAGTTTGGGCACCTTTGGGTCAACTTGATACAGTGGTTTGGGGGCGGGAGCTGCTTAGCGGCAACCCGACCCGGAACGACTGCGCCGCAATGGGGCTGTGCTTCGCCCGTCCGTCACCTCATCAACGCACGGGTACTGTCACCCAAGGTACCACGCAAAAATCAATCAGCAGCTTTTTATACATTATAGTTTAACCCTGGACCTTTCACAACGTCCCAAATCCCTACCCATCAGCCAGGGTCCAACTGTAACCAAAGTTACCGATATCGTCTGAACAGGGAACAACCCAAACCACGCACCCATGCACCCGAATGACAAAAGTCAATCAATCAACTTACATACTTACGACAGGAAAATCTGCTTATACATATCCTGTCTCTTATTCTCAAACGCGTCAAAAGCCTTTGTCACAAACCCCACCGGAATCTGCTCCTTGCCCTCGACCAAGCCCTTCCACGCTTCGTCTGTGAATTCGCCCAGCGGCATGCCAATGTTGCCGCCGTCCTTGATGTCCGGCTGGTGCTTGGCGTCGTGCAGTTCCGTCTGCACGGCTGGGGGGAAGATTTCAACCACTTTGATGTTTCCGGGTCCGTTTGCTAGTTGGTGGCGAAGCACCAGGATCATGTGATGGAGAGCTGCTTTCGACGCGCAGTAGTTGGGACACCGCGGTAGCGGCATGAGTGCGAGACCAGATGTCGTGTAGATGAGCGACGTCTCCTTGTCTTGCTTCTGCAGGAACGGGATTAATGCCGTTGTGAGATGCATGTACGACAGGTAGTTTGTCCTAAACTCCAATTCTAGCACATCCAAGTCCACCGTTTCGGGCTTGGAAAAGTCGAAGCCGCGCTGGATGCCCGAGTTGAGGAATACGCAGTCAAGATCGGGGTGCTTGCTCGTTACATCCTTGACGAATTGCGGGATCTGGTCGAGCTTGGTAATGTCCATGACGAAGCTGTCGACCTTGTCGCTGCCGTGCTTCTTCTGGAATTCGTCTAGCTTTTCTTGCCGCCGTCCGACGATGATGGCCTGTTTGCCGTCTTGCACAATCTTCTCCGCCAGCGCCCAGCCGATGCCGGATGTCGCGCCTAGCACAAGAACCTTGTTGTATTTGAGAGACATGGTAAAGGTATAGAGTGGATGATGGTGTTGCTATGAGTGTAGAGCTTGGTTGGACATGTCCATGTTTATACCAACTTTTGCAACCCGCTATTATCATCAACATCATCATGAACATCATCGCGCCGCCACAACCAATCTCTGACTTGGATCGCTCTAGATCCAAGTCCCACACTAAATTCTCTCGGTGATACCGGACATCTTACGTAGAGCGCTGCAGGTTGTCATGAACATCCAAACATGTCCAAGTGCAATGCAGACGTCATCGTGGATCGTGGATCCGCATTTTCGGCAGTTGCATCGGTCGCAACAACATCAACATCAACATCATGTATGAAGAAGAAGCAGCTGTGGAAAGCGAGTGTATTATTTATAATAGTTATGTAGTAGTAGTAGTAGTAGTAGTAGTAGCAGGGGTATCAATCTTAATCACAAAAGGCCGTTTATTCGAATGATGCTGCCACTAATTGCAAAGCAGCTTGCGCATCCATGCGTTGCCCTTCTCGGCATCGCTATCCTTGGTAAGCTGGCTGTTTGCACGTCCAAGGTTGACAAACTTTGGCCAAGTGTTGGTTAAGACGAGGTACTTGATCTCCTTCTCGGCAGCATCGAATACCATCTCGGTGAAAGCATCTGGAATCTCCACCTCGGCCAGCATCGCATCCTCATGCAGCTCCTCCATGTTGGAAACAGCCTTGAGGTTCGCACGTCCCAGCCTATCAAGGCAGACGGGCGTCGTAGGCGACATGGGGCTGGGCGGTGCCTTGAGCTCATGAGATGATGCGCTGCTGTTGCTGCGATCGCTGTCGCTGTTGAAGGGTGAATCTGAGGCATCATCTGGCATGACGTTGTCGAAAGGAGTGGCCTTGTCGCTGAGCGAAGAAGTAATCGAGCCTGAACGGTGGCTGTAGAGAAAGTGTGCAGTTTGCGAAAAGATGACATGGAGACGCTTCATCTCTTTGGATGAGATGTTGATGGGGAATTCGGAAAATTCAAGAGAGATGAAATGAGCGTAGATGCGTGTAGCAGCGACGAACTGGTGGCGGCGGTGCTCAGCTGTGTTCGACTTTGGTGTAAACCAGTAGCGTCGCCAATCGGCAACGTGGGTAAGGAAGCTGACGTTTTCGCCAGAAAAGTCCTTCAGAGCGGCAAACTCAAGGAGTGGCAATGCGTTGGTTCGAAGCGCGTTCTCCAAGGCAGTCATGGTCAAGATATCCGACTTGTGTGACTCAAATGACTGCATGCTGTAGCTGATATCGCCAGCAGACTTGACCGTGATAGTCGTAGTGAGCGAGTCACCAGTCTTGTATTGGTCGGTAGTCTCGTTCAGACCAGCGGCTGCTTGACGTGTCTCCCAGTCGGCGATAGCATCAAGTGTCTCTTGAGCAAGTCTCTTACTCCTCAGCAGGTTGACAATTGGGAAGCCGATGCTGAAAACCTCCATCATGCCGAAGCAGACGGCGAACCAGACAGGCGGAGGGAACACTGCGTTGATAGGGGCAAACTGGGGAGTGTAGAGACCAGCGAGCCAAAGAGGAGATGCGGGCAGGCCAACAAGGCAGCAGCAGATGGTCTGTAGCCGCCAACCGTGGACGTCCTTGATGCTGCGGGACTTGAACAGAATCCAGGGTGCGTAGACCCAGGACCAGAATAACTGCCAGACAATTGACAGCCACCACTCCCAGCCCTTGACACAGTTGGCCGTCGCTTCCATACCGGTGCCTTTGATTGTGTAATCGAAAATGCCCCAACCTGGATGAAACTTCTCTGATGCGAGAAAAACGAAGAGAACCAATAAAACCTTGCCGTCATGTTAGAATCGTATCAAAAAAACGTAAAACAAGTCACTTACCTGAGCTATCATGCCCATACCAATGAAGATAAGGGTCCGCTCGATATTGTCGGCACGCTCGACTCCATTCATGATGCGCTTCCACCGGCTGTTGGAAACTTCCTGGGCCTTCTTTTCATCGATCGGCTCGTGGTCCTTCAAAGAGCTCATGTGTGCAAAGCGCTTCTGACGACTGGCGAGGTGCAGAAACTGACTGTTGGACGCATGGAATAAAGCCATACCTAGTGGAACAGCAATCGACATCATCCAGAAGACGACTGAGCACGGGAAGGCTGCACCAAATGGGTATGCTATCGACAAATTAGCAAGGGGTAGTCGTAGAAAGCTGCGGGCTACGTACCAAGGCAGCAAAGAGTGCCGTAGATGTGAAGTGCAATGATGCCAGTGAACAAGACTGGCAGCCTGCGCATGCGAAGTGTAGGGTGCTGCCGGTTGAGCCATAGGAATGTGAGACCTGATGCCAACAAAGTGTTCCAAACAATGAAAATAGAGACATAGGTCCAACCTATGCGGTCGAGAGCGAGCTGGTACTCCATGGTGATGTGAAAGAAATGTTCAAGGAGTGTATTAGGTACAGCTGGAGAGGCTGATATCGTGATGTCCGTAGACGTTCCCCCTCGACCTTATACTCGACGTCTTCTGCAGGATGAAGATCATACAAAGTATAGATTGTCGGCGAAGTATTAGGTAGAAGGGTCTACGGCACCCTGCAGGCATTCAGATCGACAGTTACCTCCAAGTTCATTTTCAAAACGGGAGACGTTCGTAGGTCGACCAGGTAATTAAGGTTAGCGGCGCAACTGTCAACGAATAACGTGGCGCTAACGTGCACCGATGCCATGTGCTAAAGTGTTTTATGCCTACTAACCCAGCTAGTACACGATCTGGCACCTGAACACCCCCGTCTAGTTTTATACCAAAGTTTATCGCTCGTACCCCAGGATGACGTTGGCTCGCCGATGATGAGTTCATTCTGATGGAAGAGGGGGCAAAGGCTTGTTTGGTGTACCAAACTCTTGCTTTTTCCTTCGAGAAGAGTTTTGCTGCAGGGCATGGCCGAGAACCTACCTCGTGTGTGTGTACAACTAAGGTAGACTTGCGGAATCTGACGTTGAGCCCTGCTTTGGTGCCGTACGGTACGGCCAATCAGTCGTATCGGTCGCGGCAGAGAAAGTCGACACGGTGTCGCCGACCTGGAACCGATGTAGTCCTAGACGCCATCTCCTGTTGACGACTTCCACCGAGCATGGCTTCTCCCGTCACCGGATTGCGAATGCGAACTGTGTATGACTCGTCTGACAGTATGTGTCCCCGTGTCCGGGTTTTGGGTTGGCCGGCGCTGGGATCTTCATCACCAACTCCCTACTACCAGGTACAAGAGCGCTATCATAGTATTGCCGCGGAGTTGCTTCCTGACTTTCGATACTATGAAGCTTTACCTGAACATGGCATTGGTCGTGGACATGTGTTTTCGATAGTCAGCATCAACATATGCCTCGCAGACATGCGCAATGGACCTAGCAGATCGTCATAACACGAGGCGGGTCAGTGCAATCTCGCATAGGGTGAACTGTTCCTAAAAGGAGCGACAGTGAGCACGCGAATAGCGCCGAGCCGTGAGGTAGATTTCCGCTCGCTAGTGACGCATGAGGCGAAAAGAATCACAGCCACACACCAATGGGATAGGCGTCAGGAACTGCAGACCTCCGGTCGTATTCAAGGCAGTGAGTGGGTGGGCATGTCCGTATCTGCCGGTGCCTTGCCGATGGTGTACCTGACAGTCGACGATCCAACACGCGACGCCAAGCAGGACAGGCTTTCTTTTGTGGTCGTAGCCAAGGGTCCAATTCGTGCCTGTATTGCATCTCCGCACCTTGCATACCATGTGTCGTGGAACTTTATGCGGGAAATGCCGTATGGAGATGCATGTCGACTCTCGAAACATTGGCGCTTTATGTCGCGCACAAACATCGGTCAAATCCGGTTTCCTTGTTGGGACGGGAAAGCGCGCGGCTGCAGGCAGGGAATGCCATGGCAGCACGTTCAAAGACGTGTTCTGGGCCTTGTAGCAAGAACAGGATGTGTTTTGGAGAGACGACGGGAGGGGGAGGGGGAGGGGGAGGGGGAGGGGGAGAGTGAGACGGGATTAGCATGGGGTTTGCCAATCCTCCATGATCACCGCTCGGGCCCCACAACGTGGAAAATGACTCGCATGCAATATTTCCTCTACCAGTTCTCTTCACATGACGCTTGGCTACTACCTCCCACCACCACCATGGCACCTGCATCCTGCGCCCTATGCAACGTGAATCGTGCCCTGATCCTGAGGCCAAAGGATCACTCCAAGCTGTGCAAGACATGCTTCATTTCCGTTTTCGAGACGGAGATCCACCACACCATCACCACCAATGCCCTTTTCCAGCGGGGTGAAAAAGTTGCAATCGGCGCATCGGGCGGCAAAGACAGTACTGTGCTCGCCTCTGTGCTCAAGACACTCAACGAGCGCTACGACTACGGACTTGATCTTATCCTGCTATCAATCGACGAGGGAATCAAAGGCTACCGTGACGACAGCCTGGAGACTGTCAAGAGGAATGCGGAGCAATATGGCATGGAACTAACCATATTGGGATACGATGAGCTATACGGATGGACTATGGACCAGGTCGTGGAGCAGGTGGGCAAAAAGGGAAATTGCACCTACTGCGGTGTCTTCAGACGGCAGGCGCTTGATCGCGGGGCTGCAAGACTTGGGGTGAGGCACGTGGTCACCGGGCATAACGCCGACGATGTTGCTGAGACTGTATTGATGAACTGTGAGTACATGCATCATCGTTCCACTCCTGACTCGACCGCTAACGAAAGCAGTACTGAGGGGCGACCTACCCCGTTTATCGCGCACAACTTCGATAGTCACGTCCACACCCTCTGCATCTGCAAATCCTGCGTCCAACACAAACATCAAGCGTAGCAAGCCCCTGAAGTACGCATACGAAAAGGAGATTGTGCTGTATGCGCACCACAAGAACCTCGACTACTTCAGTACTGAATGCATATACTCTCCCGAGGCTTTTCGCGGCAGCGCGCGGGCTCTGATAAAGAATCTTGAGCGTGTTCGACCAAGCGCTATCCTAGATGTAGTAAGGAGTGGTGAAGACATGGCCAAATTGGTGCCTGGCAGCGACCAAGCATGTGGGGGCATGTGCTCGAGCAGCATACCCGCCGCCGAAGAGGAAGAGGGCGGGTGCGGAAGCGCTCAGGGACGCAGCACAGGCGGCGACATGGCCAGTGTTGAGGCACGGCTCAGGCAGAACGAAGCTGCTGCCGACAGCAACCTCGAGACCGAAATCACAGCAAAAAGTGTCAGCAACAAACAACACCTACGTCGCCAGAGCGACGCGGTATCGCTGGCGAACGGAAACAAGCCAAAGAAAGGCTTCACCCCAAAGAAGACGAGCAAGCAGGTAATGGGCCAGTGCAAGAGGTGTGGCTACCTTTCTAGCCAAGACATTTGCAAAGCCTGTGTTCTTCTTGAGGGGTTAAACAAGTCGCGACCGAAGAACAAGATTGAAGTCGGATACGAAGTTCAAGACGTAAGTCTGAACAGCCTTCGTGACGAGCTCGAGGCGACGACCGTTGGGGGAAAATGAGCATGCACACTCGATACGAAGCTCGGAACCTCCCCGACAAATCCCGGCACCACTTCCGCTGGTCACACGACAGGAGCCCGAATTACCCAAACTAGCGACAGGCTTACATTCTGTAGCTTGCCTCAACAAAACTACTCGACAGACTACTCAGATGTGCAGACAGCTAATCCTCTGTAGAGGCATGCAAGGCATGCGTCCATATTTGCCCCGCACTCAGCCACCAGGCGCAAGCCACCCGAACAAATGGCTTAAGTCCCAACGTCAAGCGACTATCAAGGTATCACAAGGCATACGAGGCGGTAAGGACTCGACGAGTCACAAACATGACCGTTGGAAAGATAGGTCTCAGCCTCGCGCACGAGTCAACCATCCACATACCCCGCACAAATCATCGCTCCTCAGCCGCCCTGTCTTACCCTCGCACTGTGACCATACTTAATCTGCACGATGTTGACGTAGTACGTACCGACGTGTCTGTCATATTCGCGTGTCTTGGGTTGTACCTGTGGTAGCACGGCAATTTCGAAACCATGCTTGACGGTATTGGAATGTAACAACGGATTTTACGCAGGATCAAGTATTGAGAAGGGCTGCCAAGGCAAAGGTCAAGCAGGCCAAGAACATGTAGAATGTGAAATGATGAAATTAGAGTCTGTAGGAATCTAGGGTAGCAATGCCGTAGCATGAACTGCCTCCCGCTAGTGAGCAACCCACTATCCAAATGCTCGCTTCATCTGAGATGAAGATGCCCGTACCTAAACGCCTTGCCATGCAGACGTGAGAAAAATGCCTCCCACAAACGCCAGCCACCTCATGTTTCTATCCAAGTGAGGCCCTTCCGTCCGTTACCCCAAGATCCAAGCCGACCCAAACCCCCCCCCAAAGAAAAAAAAGAGACAAGAAACCTCCAGGCCACAGCATCTACAACTGAAACCCAAACTCTCCCGTCATCTTAAACGGCCCCTTTACCGTAACAGTCCCCTTGCCCGCGTCAAACTCGCCCTTGGCACCACCCTTGTCCTGACCCAAGACAACAACATTGGCAACAGTGATGCTCTCCCCGTCCGCACCGCCATAGCCAAAGTTGCCACTTGCACTAAACTTGCCCTTGTCAAACGAAAACGATACCTCGCTCGTGGACGCCTGCTTCAAGCTCTCGCCGTCATCAAGGTACAACCGTCCCGACGCTTTCCCATCCGCACCAGGCGCAACAAGAATGCTAAAGTCCTCCTTACGCAGCGCCTTTGTAGTATTGGCGCTGTTGACACGCTGGGGGATGATGGTGCCGCCGCGGATGTGCACGGGAATATCCGTGTAGGTCAGATTGCTAACGGTGACGTTTTGGCCCTGGCCGTCCATCTTGGCAAACGTCCAGTAGTCGTAGAAGGTGTCCTTGGGCATGTAGAAGGTCACCGTGTCGGAGTAATCTGCCATGATGGGCGAGATGAGGAGCGCATCGCCGTAGAACCACTGCTCTTGGTTGGCGAACGTGTTGGCATCCGTGGGATACAGGAAGAAGAGGGGGTTGATCATCGGGGTGCCGTCTTGAGTTTGGTAGTATAGACCCGTGTAGATGTAATCCAGGAGCTTGTAGCGCGTGTCGATTGCCTTTTTCGCCGCGGCCGTGACAATGGGCCACTGGTAGAACTCTTGTTGGATGGTGCTCAGCTCGGCGTGGTTACGGTAGAAGGGCTGGAAAGCCCCGAGCATCGCCCATCGAGCACACATGTACTGGTCTGCGTTTCCGTTGAAGCCGCAAACATCCGAGCCGACCATGGGCATCTGGTGCATGGCTACGAAAGCCAGCATCTGCCGGATCGTGGTGCGGTAGTCCTCCCAGTCGGAGAAGTTGTCGCCAAACCAGTGGGCTACCTTGCGGCCGGCACCAGCAAAGGTGGATCGCGTCAGTACAAAGGGGCGGAGTTCGGGACGGCGGGCAAGCATTGATTCACGGGTTGTCGCCGCCATCATGTCACCGTACAGGTTGTGCGTGTCGTATTGCCAGCTACCATCGTAGTTTGTAGTGTTCAAGGGAATGGTTTGGCGAGATACGTCACCCAAGTGGCTGTTGACGTGGTATGCAGGTGAGAACCATTCACGGTCGGGGAAACCCTTCATGTTTCCAGTCGTCTGACGAGCAGCCAGCGACTTCTTTGCTTTGGAACTGCCAGGTTGGAAATCGGCGGGAAAGCCAGGGATCGGACGGCCAGTGTTAGGACGCGGTGCATTCGCGGGCTTGGGCGGGATACCATCGTCGATGGCCTTCTGGCGGGGATTGCATGTCGTCACATCTTGACAGAAATTCGAGGCTTCGTTCATATCGACCCAAACACCGTCAATGTCAATACCGGAGTCGGCGTTGAAGATGGTCTTGAACTGGTCGGTCCACCACTTCTCAGTGTTAGGCGCAAACCAATCTGGCCAAGCTACAGCACCGGGCCATTGGACACCGAGCATGTCGCTACCGTCGGCTGCCTTCAAGAACACGTCCATCTCATGACCCTTCTGGTAGGTGTCGTAGTTGCTTACAGCATGGACACCAGGGTCGAGAATCAAAATGTACCGCTGATCGCGGGAATGCAGAGTCGTGGTCAACTCGTGCATCTTTGTCATTGGAAAGCGGTCAGGATCGGTAGTGAAATCTTCACGAAGGTTCATGTAGTCAATGTCGGTCCACATGACCTCGAGGGGAATTCCAGCAGTCGAATAGTTACCAACAACCTCAGCGACCATGTTAACGTCCCAGTACCCGTACTTGCATTGGTGGAAGCCAAAGGTCCAGTATGGGTACATTGCTGAGTAACCGGCAATGTCTGCATATTGCCTGGAGACATCGGCGGGCTTGCTACCAGCCATGAAGTACAGATCGATGATGCCACCGATAGTGTTGTATTCCAGATAATTGTAGCCAGCGTCGGCCTTCTTGACATTGATCTGCATTGGGCTCGAATTGAGTAGAAAGACGCCATGTGTACCCTTGTCGCCACGGTGATCAAAGTAAATGGGGTGAGTTCCGTAGAGATTGGCGTTGTTAGGAATGTTTGGCGACTCCGCATTCAGCAACACACGCTCATAATTGTCGGTGGCAAATCGGAAAGAGTCGCTGTGTTCACCAAGTCCATAGATGTTTGGGTTGTCGGGAAGCTTAGTGCGGAGCCGCACGTACTGCTTCTCGAAGACCAAGGGAGTGGCACTGGTGTCGAAAAGGACCTCGTCGTTATCCTTGCGCTTTACCGCAAAAGAGAACGGGTTCTCATTGATACCGAATAGAAGAGCCGAGTTTCCGGAGGCTCCTTTCTCGTTCTTGGGGCGGGGAAAGACTTCTTCCTGGACTTGGAAGACCTGCTCAGCAGCGTCATAGATCTTCACGTGAAGGCGCTCGTCTGTGATGTTTTAGTATATGCAATTGGTTCAAGGCCGGAAAAGCGCCAGAACAAGGACAATACTTACTAGTCTGGTACTCGACGACCAACTTCAAGTCTTTGATATCCTCACTGTACAAGTTGCACGCTGCGCCTGCGAGAGTAAGGTCGGCGGTGAGGCTGGAGTCTGTCATCACAACATTCGAGGCGGAGTAGCCCGTGCAGTTGTCGACCGGGGCCCGAGCAGCAATGAACTTGGAAACCTCTGTGGCATCTTGCGATATAGGAATAGCCGCGATAAGGCTCGAGCAGGCAGTGAGCCCGAGCAATAGACGGTTGAACATCTCTGTTGGCTAGCGATACTACCAAAGCAGAGTGAGAGGTGTTCGTGCAGAAAACAAAAGAAGAGAGAGCGAGGAGGAGCGGTTTGTGACGGATTATATATGTGGAAGGGACTTGCCCGCCGGAAGGTCCGTGCGCATCTTTCACTTCACGATGGGCATCGGTAAGTGACCGGGGTAAGTCTGAGACCAAGGAACAACCACTTGACCCACAATATACTCTTTCCGGTTTGGAACATGTCGACCAGGTGATGCTAACACAAGAAAAGAGTCCATACTAAAGCGCGATGACGGACTACCAGCAAGTAATCCTGCATCGCCCGCGGGCTGCTGTGGGGAATAACAGTTGTCATGCAGTAAACCGGTCTGAAGGCTGTACCTGCAGGATTGGACCAAGAAACATGCAACAAACCGATTGCCCAAAGGCTGGTGGCAAGGCGGCGCTACACGAAACGGAACAAAAGTTGTTGTTTGGATGCTAGCATCGCTTCTCGGAAATGACGCATTGGCAAGTACCTCCTATCGTAGTATCCAATACCCGGCCTCGGCACCTTCTTAGAGTTTCCGGGGAAGCAAAAGCAGGAATCCCTACATCGGCACCCTTTCCGTCTGTCTGAGCATGTCGTCCAATGACACGTGCATGCCCATGGCCAAGATCCTTACAACGATCGTCGTAAGAGTTGGCGGCTTGGCCAGCATGTACTCATGACATGGAAGGGCCAAGCACAACATCAATTTTAGGAAGGACATGGATGAAAATATTTGTTTAGAATGCCACCGGTTTCGCATTCCAGTCATCGTGAGGTGTCTTCGTGACGCACGCGGAAATCCGTCAGATCAGACGCACGGTTCGCGTGGACTGCGGGGGCGGCGCTCCCGCGCTAAGCTTTTTAGCGTGATGCCGAGTGCCGTGTCACCTGCTCTCAATGGTCAGGCTCATGCATTTGCAAACCTCCGTCACCACCCGCCTTGCTCACCGACATCCGTCATCTCGAGTACACACACAGGATGCGCTTTGCGCTTTGCGCGTGAAAGTCGACTTTTGGATACTGCATCTTGAATATTCGCCACGTTGGATTTTGCACTGAGAAGGACTAGGTTCAACGCTAGGTGACGTGAAACAGGCATCCTTCTTTTGACGATACTAAAAAGAACATGCCGTGACCTGTTCGCGGCCTAAATATTATAGAAAAAAGAGCGTTCCTGCACATGGTACCAAAATTGAACGTGTCACAATCGTCTCGGAGCCATCATTCAATTCCCGGGCCTACCCTCCAAAGACTCTCCAAGGCGGCTCTATCTGCGACTCATTCTTCCATCGCTCTAAAATCGGGCCGTTGCGACCATTGCAAGCATCATCATTCACTCCAGGACTAAAGTTACTTTCGTGAGTGTAGTGGTAGGGTGTTTACCACCGTCTCGCTAAGAAGCACCATCCAGCATAGCGTATCGAAACTGCCAATAAGGGCACAGGCTACGTGCTGGCTCTTGTCTGCTGATGTCGTGTTCTGCTTGGCTACCAGATCTGTCGATCTTGTCAAAAACCCCGGTTTGTCTGATCCACGCTCATAATATGAGATTGAATACTAAGAACGGGAAATGTTTGCACGCAAAAGGCGATGTTACGATACAAGATACGACCTCCGTTTCGATACCATGTCTTCGATGAGGTCTGGATGCGGGAGTAAGACACATTGGAGATGTTTGCGTGATTGAAGGCCACAATGTATGTCTACCAATCCCTACAAATGGGTCGCTCTCGAATATACATTTCGATACGGCTTGTGAGTTTGAACAACAACACCATGTCTATATTGGTAAATGCGACTACGGTATGCGACTACGATTTCCAGGGACTTCCATCTACTCAGCACGCCCTATAGACTGTAGCGAAACTTCTTGTTGTGGAAATCCGTCACGTCTTCAATGTAATTCTCATTGCCCGGCACATCATCGCCTGCGTCCTGGCCTCCATCCGCTTCGCGATCACGTCGAGAATTCCGCCGTGCAAGCACAGCTCTCAGGACCAGCGCTAGCACCAGCTGGGAGACAGAGCATCCCAGTATAGTCCTCACCCCCGTCTCGTATATCGGAGCTTCGCTTGCTAGGAAAGCATGGGGCCCTAGAATCGCTCACGTTAGCGACCGCAACCAAGGGTGTAGCCAGGTTTCTAAAACCTACCAATGATGTTGCCAATGCAGTATGCCATGAAGACTACGGCTGTACCCGTGGTCCGCTTCGTGTATCCACCTACATTAGAGGCAGGCAGTTGAAGCGCAATAACTAGCGAGCCTACGTATGAACCAAGCTAACCAGATTAGCAAACTATCAGTTAAAGCATACAAATGGAATCACACCATGTAGTAACCCGCCAAACTGCCACCCAAGTTCGTTCTCGGCAATTTCCAAATCAGAGTGGTGCCGATGACGGTAGGACAGAGATAGAGGGCCATGATGTACGTGCGCGCATTCGGAAGACGGGAAGCAAGGAAGGGGCCTGTGAAGACCCAAAACACCTGGGCAAAGCCTTGTGGGATTCCATACAAGGTAGTGCGAAGGGGATCCCCGCCAGCAACATTCTTGATGATTAGCTTGCCGAAGCTAGCCATGCCGCCATTGATGATCTCGTTGAGCAAGACGAATAGAAACAGGATCCAAATCTGTGCATCTTGCATCGCTTCCCAAACCTGCGGCAGCTTGATCTTGCGATTGTAAACGCCGGTCCTGTTCTTCGCAGCGCGGGCGATGAGGAGGGCCTTTTCCTCGGTCGTAAAACTCTTGGCTGTCATGATATTGTTTGGGAGTCTGAAGAAGAGCAGAACAGACCAGAGCACAGTCATGCCCCCGCAAATAATGTAGATGATCTTCCAGATAACAAAGCTCTTTGCGAATCCCACGCCGTAGAAGAGAATGCCTCCCGTGGCACTGCCCACACCGTTGAAACAATAGAATATGCCTGCCCTGGCAGGCTGCTGCTTGGAAAGATACCACATGCTAACGATCATCATAAAGGCAGGCGTGACGACGGACTCGAAGATGCCGAGAAGGAATCTCAACGCCGCGAATCCCGCAAAGCTCTTCGTAGCTACCGTGAGCAGCATGATCGAGCCCCAACAGAAGCAGTAGCCTGATACCACTCGGCCGACCGGGAAGTGCTGCGCGAGGTACGCGGATGGCCATTCGGCTACCAGGTAGGCAAAGTAGAAGATTGACCCTAGCCAGGAGTACTGCTCGCTGGTGATGCCGGTCGTTTCGAAAAGATCAAACACTGCAGAGTAACTGAGTGCTTGCTTGTCGATGTATTGTAAAAAGTAGGTTCCACATAGCAGCGGTAGCAGTAGCAGGTCGACCTTCCTGGATACGCGCTTGTTTGCGATCTTGTCTTCGAGAAGCTCCGCGGTGTATTCTGTGGTGATGTTGTGTTCCCTTAGATATAGAGTGGCTTCGTCCAGGTCTTCCACCTCGCCCTCAATGATACTGTGTTGGGGCTTGAGAGAGTCATCCACGAAGTAGTTTGGTTGGAGTTCGCAATCTCTAGCTGTGTCTGGCGCCTTTTCGTCGCCCTTGAAGGCATCCGTAGAGACAGACATAGTAGCGCGAAAAGAGAGAATGACGATGAGTTGCAAACTCTACATTAAACCAGGGGTTTCGACATTAATACGAAAAGATACACAATCAAGTTTCCGCATAATCCCAAGGAGCATTGCCCTACCCCGCACTGCCAATCCCATGTCACATTCGCCATGCGGGTCTCGCTGCGAAGGAGTTGATAACAGTGATAAGTCTCCCAACATCATGTCATGGGTACATACCGATAGCACGTCCCGATCTTATAATCAGAGCGGCGCTGCGGTCGGAAAGAGTTTGTTATCTCTGTTTGGTAGATAATGTAGATACCGGATTTGTGGAGTACTGCGCAATTGGGGCACGGGTGCGATAGGTGGGGGGGGGGGATCAGTATGCTAGGATGATGAGTAAGTTGGGAGCGATAGCGACATCGGCTAGGTAGGCCGCGGCGAAACTTCGGTCCAAGCCGGAGTGGTGATTCGGGTTCTATTGCATTATCGTCAAAGGCCGATCTAAAGCTATTTCCCGCTTTGATGGAAGATTAGATAGGAAAGAGGCTACTATTTAGCCAAATGGCCATCTGCTTCTACTGTTGAGATAGTTCGACCCTTGACCACCAAAACTCGCTTTCCTTCTTTGCGTAATTGTCATCAATCATGACAGCCGGCTTTCCAATATTTTGTCCTCCAATAAACTCCTCGTTGTCTTTCCCGAAAATCATCACTCTCGGCTGTGCTTTGTTGTAAGACTGCCACTCTGGTCGGCTGCCGTACGAACCATTACGTGTATTCGGGCTGCCTGTACAGATGAAGCTAGTGATGTAAGCGTGTAGGATTCCCGACAACTCGTCTTGAGTCTTGGAATACGAGCATATAGCAGGATCCCTCATGCCGTAAAGCATGTTGTCTCCATGACGAGCTCCATCGACAACGTTCCGTCTCATCGCCCAGTGGTAAAGGTAAACGGGCACGTCTTGGCCAGCGAACCATGCGGTTTGGGTGACTGGAGCTACGTAAGCGTATTGTGCATATGCCGCCTCGATTCGCTTGTACATGGGACCGACGCCATGCTCCAGTCTGGTCTCCTTGTAGATAGAGTCGGGTACCTCGTTCGGATCGGGGTACAGCTGATTTATCGTCTGAATATCATCGTCGCTTAATTGCGGCAGCAGAGTCTTCCAAAAGTCCAGGAACTCCGAGGACTTTGACATCTTCTTGTTCACGTAGAGTGAACCTTCGTTGCCCTGGAAGCCAGTCATTATTGGCACCTTGTGCCATCTACCGTCCCGCCAGGCATCGATTGGACGACCGCGAATAATTTCTCCGTCAATCACTGGCTGGAACGCCCAACGCAGACTTGGATTGTACTTTTGGAATACCTTTGTCTGCGCTTTAGTGATTGCGGAAATTGGGAGCGAGCGTAGATAGTTAAAAGTTTCCGATGCAGACAGGGATGATGGACATTCGAGTTCCTTGAGAAAATCATCAAACTGCTTTTCGTGAATCTCCGCATCTGGGTTTCGGACTGCGCGGGATGTTGGGGCCCCGGATTCGATTATAGCACGGTGGAACTTGGGCGCTTTGCCCTCTTCATAGTTCAATATATGATGACCTATCTGTAGCATGGTGAGTTGAACTACGCGACAATCAACCGGATAGCACATGTACGTACCGAGTGTGCACCAGCCGAAAGTCCCATAAGTGTTACGTTGTTTTTGTTGCCCCCGAAGTGCTGGATATTCTCTTCAACCCAGTCGAGTAGGCAGAGCTGGTCCTTCAGACCCAAGTTAAGCGCACCCTCCTCCGCACTCAGTTTTGACGGGAGAAAGCCCAATGCCCCTATGCGATAGCCGAATGATACCCCGATGAAAGGAGCCTCTGACCACCCAACCATGGACGCAGTATTGTGCATTGCAGCATTTCCGCGGTTGAAAGCACCCCCGTGGAAGTACACCATGACTGGTAGAGTAGTTGAATTGCTGTGTCGCGCTTGCCGGAATACATTGACCGTCAGGCAATCTTCGCTCTCGTGAAGCGTAGGTCCGATTATGAGGAATTGCTGTGCTGGAGCTCTGGGACCAAACTTTGAAGCATCAATAGTATCCTCACTTGGTTGAACCTTCTCCGGTGATCGGAAGCGGCGTTCACCCGTAGGCGGCAATGCATAGGGTACACCTTTGAAAGCCTCAATCGTATGAGGATAACCCTCTTGTAAAGTAGTACCAACAACAGTTCCTTGCGGAAGCTTTACCTTGGGACTTGGCGTTGAATCCGAAGCTGCGGTCATGGCTGGCACTTCGTTAGCACACTTCATGTTTAAGTAGACACAAACGTTAGGTTGTATTTCTCTGACGAACCTTGAGACCCGGTATATACCATTTAATATCTGCGAGCAGCAATATAAAGTATTTTGGTTTTACAGATTGATGGTATCGCGTCAAGTTGATGATCAACTAGATGCGGTTCTTTAGATATCTTTCAAAGTGTTGATCAACTAGATGCGGTTCTTGAGATATCTTTCAAAGTGTTGATACTTGCCCCTGCAGCCCCGCCATCGGCAATTGACCCCCACCTTGTCACACTCGATACAGCGGTTTTAGACCGCACATACCTCTTTCAGGATGACTTTTGGATCCATCCGATGAGCTTAGTGTGGCGTTAGAAGTAGCTGCGTATCAATTGATAAGGTCGAGGCGGAACATTATCTATCGCCTTGTCTGTCGTATCCACTGTTCACAGAACATGTACTTTTAGTGTCGGCCGAAGTCCTAGTCATAAGTTTGTAATCTTTATAGATTGGTGCTTTTACGTCGCCGTCTTTTGTCAACGACATATGTACTCATGGATGAGCTGGTACTGTGCGGAACTCGCCCCAAACACGAGAGCAGACCCAAAACACCAGATCTACACGTGGCAAAACATCGGATACAGCCCACTTATCTTTACTACCAGCCCTGGATCGAATGTGACGCGTTTTTGTCTTCGCTTGTTCCTCGTTGTCGCCCCGATAACCATCTAAGGGTATCCGCACGGATTTCCAGGTGAGGATAGTTTCGCGATGAGACCTCGTCGCAAACCATGCCTCCTTCGCAGCTCGATGAACACCGAAAAGGAACATTCCCATTCGGCGCCCCGTCATAGCAGGATCACAGCCCTCAGCAGTTTCAACCTGTGTTGCGGCGGCGGTGGGGAAGACGTGCGGCTGCGGGAGAGCTGCACCGCATACGGAGGTGCCTTTCAAAAGTTTTGTCCCACGCTAATCTCGGTGCTTCGGCGCAACTCTTCTTGGCATGAATCTTACCTCTAACAAGCTGAATAGCTATAAGATTACTTTGTATCGTTACTATGTCTCCTAATACTGATTCTTACACCCGTGTCTTAACTGTGACGTTAAAGTCACCCCCTGTAGGCAAGTCTACGTCACAGATCTTAGAGCTGACTGGTGTTCATCCTCGTACGGTTAACCGTATCTATAGCAGAGCTATCGCTGCTGGATTCGAGCCGAACGTCCTTCCTCTTAAGATTCTCCCGCACCACGTACAGGACGCTCCTCGCTCTGGCCGACCCACGAGGCAGACGGAGGAGGTGAAGGAGGAGATAATCCAACATGTACGGCGTGATAAATATGGACGAGAGAAGAGCTGCGCTGACGTTGCTGGTGCTCTCAGTCTCAAAGGAGTTAATATCTTAGACACTACAGTCTGGAGGGTATTGAGAGAGGCGGGGTACAAGAAGACCAAGCCAACGAGGAAGCCTGGGTTGACACAGCAGATGAGGAATGATCGTCTAAGGTGGGCGATAGATCACAAGGATTGGACGTTAGAGGACTAGAAGAATGTCATCTGGACAGATGAGACGTCTGTAGTAATTAACCACCGACGTGGGGGTTATAGAGTCTAGAGAAGAGCAGATGAGAGAGTAGTTAAGAGCTGTATCCGTGAAAGTTAGAAGGGATACTCTGAGTTCATGTTCTGGGGCTGCTTCTCGTACGACAAGAAAGGTCTATGCCATGTCTATCAGCCAGAGACGAAGACGGAGAAAGAAGACGCTACTCAGAAGATTGAGCAGCTGAACGCAGAGCTTGAGCCTATACAGAGAGAGGAGTGGGAGCTGTCAGTCTATGAGAAGGACAGGGCTACGCAATAAGTCTGGCAGAAAACCTCAGTGGAGATGGACAGAGAAGACAGGCAAGCTGGTGCGTACGTCTGGAGGTGGTGTAGACTAGTGGAGATATCAGACCTGCGTTCTAATTCTAAAGCTAATTCCCTTCGCCAAAGAGTGTCTCCAAGATAGGCCTCAGACAGTCGTAATGGAGGATAAAGCACCTGCCCACGCTCACTACTACCAGAGCGTCGTATATCGTCTCTACGATGTCCAGAGACTACTCTGGTGTGGTAACTCGCCAGACTGTAACTGCATTGAGCCATGCTGGTTCTACATGAAAAAAGGAGACAACAAAGAAGGGAGCTCCTCAGTCAAGAGCTGACGCGGTCAAGATCTGGCAGAAATGCTGGAGAGATCTCTCTCAGCAGAGAATCCAAGCTTGGATTGAGCGAATTCTAGTACATATTCCAAAAATAATTGAGCTGCAAGGTGGTGATGAGTATATAGAGGGGAGGGATCGGCCTCGGGTGAGGCGGCCAGACTTCGGCTGAATTATTCTTGGCAGGACAGAACTCTTGAAAGGCACCTCCGTAGAACCTACGTTATGCCACATGCGTCTAAATCCTTGGCGGCATAGCAGAACATAGCCCTCCGCAGTTTCGTAACCGCTCAACACCTGTTAATATATTGAAACCACCCCTCGGGTGTGCAGAAGATACTGAGGTATTCCTCAGCAGTTTTCGATAGTTTCCGAAGGTAATATAAAGTTTCCGAGACGTGGTTAAGTAGTTGTGTTCCTATCGCGGTTAGTGCGGAACACCCTTACAGTCCTACCAGCCCTCGTAACCCATCAACACCTGTAAATATATTCAAGCCACTCCTCGGGTGTGTAAAAGATACTAAGGCATTTCCGAATAGTGTTCAATAGTTCCCGAAGCCAATGTGAAGTTCCCGAGACGTGGTTATAATTGTGTTCCTATCGCGGTTAGTGCGGAACACCCATACAGGCCTACCCTTTCGGTACGCCCTCGTAACCCATCAAAACTTTCTGAAGTTATCAAGGCATCTTAATCCTCATATTCCCCGTTTCCAAAAGTATGTACTTGATGGTGTGATGTTTCGAGACAAGCAAGAGTTCCTGGAGCCGCGAGCGGCCTAGTGCGGTCTAGTGCAGAATACTCCTACCATCCAGACATGCCATCGAAAACCCCCTGGGCCTTCAACGCCTCTAGAATCCTTGTATTTCTAATGTTATTGAATGTAGCTACACTTGAATATGATTTTGATAGCTACGAGTGTAACCGACAATTTCCGATAGTCGTATTACTGTATTCCTTCTGCAACCGCGCTAGTCGTAGTGCACAGCTACGTTTCCAACGCTCGAAAACGCTACACTTGCTCTGATATCCTCACAACTCTTGAAAATCATCCTGATACCCTACTGATGCTCCGATTAAGGTTTTCAGAGTGCTTGGACCGCAGCAAGCTTTTCGAGATGATACACTGGTAGAGTATGTGCTATACCAAGGTTCTGGGCCATGACCCTAGTTCCAATGTACGAACAGCTCCGACGTTCCGATGTTCAGAAACCTCATGTACCCTGCCGAAAGTCTCGACGTTACTTTGAGACAGGTCAGCTCGTATGCGTGATTCAGATGTGCAGCGGCATATGGCACTTCGATCAACTATCATGCGACCCAGCAACGCCTTCCGAACGGAGCATAGCGTTCACGTGTCTCATGCTCGAGCCGACACCCGGTCAGGCTAAACACACCACAGCGATCATTACTATACTAAGTAATGCGTAAACCGTAAACAAGCTACATGACATCATTCCAAGGGAGGCAACACAGAACACAACTGTGCCACCCGAGAGACCCATTTCTCGGACTACCTTGAGATCTTACAGGCTGTTGCATTTTAGCGATAGCAACCTAACGCGGGGCGTAATTATTTGTTTCAAGCAATGGCAAGCTTTCACGGTTAACTCGGCACGCGAATTTGGCCTGCGCCATCGGAGTTGTTCGAACAGAAGCGATTTACGCGTTATATTGAACATGGTCTTTCCAACACGAAAAATGCCCTGTCCATGACTACATGGAGGTCTTGGCGGGGGCTTGATTATTCTCTATCCATCTCATAAAGGACTTGGAGATCGCAAGTATGTCAAGCTTGCGAATCCTGGAGTCCAAGAACACGGTCACATTACATCTCTTCTTGGACATTATTTGTTATGTGTGAAGCATCTGCATATCTGCGCGAACATTCCATCCCAAGTCAAGATGCAACCCATCCATCCCTTTAGTAAAGCCGCCTCTGTACCACTCCTAGCATTCCCCTTCCAAGCCCTCGCGCAATCCACTTACACAAAGTAGTTCCACCCGTCCCCCACTCCCAACCCCTCTCCTAACCACCCCACAGCACAAACCTAACCCTCCGCTTCTTCCAAACCCCCCAGGACGATACCTGCTCCTTCACCAACAACAGCAGCGCCCTAACCTTCACCACATCAAGCACCCCCATCGTAGGCCACTGCTTCGACTTCGCCACGCTCTTCGGCGGCAACACGACCCAAGGCTTCGCCAACCAATCGCAAAACATCATAAACTCATTCGACGACACATCAAACGCCGGAATACACTGGCAGCTCGAGAACCTGGATACATACGACCCACAGGGAAACTACTCTAGTCTCCTATACCGCCAGCACCTAGCCTTTGCAATAGACGACGAGGATAAACCAGGCCATTACGCAAACCTCCTGGTGAACATTTTCCCAAGCAAAGGGTGCTCGGAGCTGGATCCGAAGAATTCGTCGCGGCTGCTGCCTTGGTATGGGTTCACTTGTTGGAGTGAGAATGAGGGCAAGTGTGGGACCACGGAGTATCCTATAGGTAGCTTCTACGTGTGGGATCAGGATAGGGAAGAGAAGGAGAAGGATTCGGGGGATTGTTATTTGTTTGCACGGATGGGGGCTTCGGCGAGGGTTTCTGCGTCTCTTTGGGGTGCTGTGGGTGCGGTGGTTGGCACGGTGTTTGCTGTTTGTGTGAGGGTTTAGGATAGCATGATGGGAGAAATGTGATGAGCGGCTGAGATGCAATTTCTATTGATTTACAGGATTTGGGAGGGGAGCATGTGCTGCAGTTTGATCCCCGATGAGCCTTTGTAAGCTCGATTTGATGAATGCCAAGTACAAAATGCAAGGAATCAATGGAACCATACCACGCAAGACACCGACAAAACAAAACTCCCACAAGAAATGCAAAATCACTTCTCGACCTTTGCCACAATTCTGAACTCACAAGCAGCACCAGAACAAGTCCTCACTTCATCCTGACGGCTCACTTGTACTGCTTGCAGAGATCCAGGCTCTCCTTGACAACCCCATCAAGAATCCTCCTGGTCTCCTTGACAATCGGGTCCAAGTCGCTGCAGAACTTTTGTCCCGCGGGCGTATCGTTCTCTTTCCTGCTCTTCATCATTTCGAAGACTTCTTGCTTAGCAAGCAGCAATTCATCGAGATTCTCTCCAAGGCCCCGACTGACTTTCCCGATGACTGCCTCTGCATGTGCCTTGGCACGACTGGCGATCTTGGGGAACGGTCCGTTGGGGCCGGGAATGGCGTTTCTGAGGTAGGCTTTCCGTGCTACATACAAGGTAGAGTCTGTTGCACTGAGTTAGTTTTAGATTGAAGATGATATTGGAGATCTTACTCTTGGTGGCACTTTTCGTGTTGTAGGCTGCTTCGTAGATTGGGGCCATTGCTTGCGGAAAATAGTCTTCCTTCTTGAGACTTGCTGATCGTACGTGAATTTTTCTACGAGTGTTAGTCTGAGAGCCCCAAGTTCGTTCCTGCTCACTCACGTCATTTCATTCGTGAGAGCTCTCGCTGCGACCTCAATGCTGTTTTCGACTTCTTCCTGAAGGCCAGAGATGCCGCCCTTGAAGCATATCTTGTATGCATTGCAAGCCAAAGCTCTGGGATCGTCTGGAATATTGATCAGTGAAGCTCATCCTGTTTCGAAGCCGTCAAACTTACTTTTGAGGTCGTGGTCTAATTTCCTTATGACTTCCTTGCTGGCCTGGGAAGCCTCAGCCTTGAAAGTCTCAACCGACCCATCAACGATTGAGCGAAAAGCTTGGTCGATGGTTTGTTTGACTGGAGAGAAGAGACTTTCATCCCAATTCAGGTATATGTGTTTCTTCTTTTGCGTATAGATACCTATACAGTGTTAGATCATCATGGAAGGTTAAGTCCGTCTGGCCAGTCATACCCTTCTTGTTACAGGCGGCCCTGTGTGTAGCTGCACTCTGAGATCCTGTCAGTGATCATGCAATGTAGCTCATGATGGAACATACCAAGTTCTCCCATATCCTCAGATTGTGTAGTGCACGCGAATCGAATTGAGCCTGCAATGTTTGATGTGACAGTGCATCATATAGCTGCTTGATATCCTTGGTGGCGAATCTCTTCATAAGCGCAAGCAGACTTTCCAACAAGCAAGTAAAGCAAGTCACCGCTCTAAACTTGACTTGCTTGGTTCAAACATAGGCTTTACTTGACTTGCTTGGGGTGATTTTTTTACTTGCTTGACTTGCTTGTATTACTTGCAAGTACTTGGATTACTTGACTACTACAAAGAGATTAAGCTACATACAAATTACCAAAACTCAGTGTTCCACTCTAGTATGTTGTAATCTCCTACAAGCTGCTCATCTGAAAGCTTAGCCTCGCTACAGCTGTACGGTTTATAACCAGCTCGCACCCATGACCTTACTAATTGAAGAGCTGCGAGTAGCTCACTGCCCAGAGCACGTCGTTTAGGTTCAAGAAGGTCGCCAAGCTCACTGAAGAGGCGCTCACAGTCGCTGCTTGATGCTGGGATAGTCATGATATCGATTGCAAACTGCGCTAAATGCGGGTATTTCGGCAGTAGTTGTATCCAGTATTGGACAGGATTTCCATCTGCGTTGTACTGCTCCTGCGTCCACTGCGGCTCTTGTGTTTTCCAGCGCTCAAACTCGTCAAGTGGAGCCTCTCGGTCATTGTTGCGGCTAAGTATAGCAATAATTGCCTCGTCTATGTTGTTGCTACTCGGCGCAGTTGTATACCGCTGGCGTGCTCGTTGAGGTTTGTATGCCGCCCAAAGCTGTTGGAACGACGCGTTGGCACTAGTAAGCCAATCAGCTTTGTCTGCCCACGCCACATCGCAGTAGTTCTTGTAGTACGGGTGTAGGCAAACAGCGGCGTAGTAAGCGGGCGAGTCGTCGAGCTTGTTGTAGTAGTCGTTGGCTTTGCTCCACGCGGCGCGGAGGTTGACGTTGAGGTGATCCTCTGGAGCCTCGGCATGAGCGTTGAAGTCGACGTGCTCGAACGGGCGCGCCCGGGCCTCAAGCTTGCTGAGTACGTACTCAAAAACGGGTATAACCTCATAGATTGCGCCGTATTTGCCATCCTTAGAGCGTCCCTCGAGGCGTTTTGTGGCGTACTTGAGCGGCTCTAAGCAGTCCTGGTACTCTGCAATCACCGCCCAGTCAGCAGCTCGGAGCCCAGTTGATCTCATCCAGTTTGGGGCGTCGGGCCGCTTATTATTCCGCTGCGCAGCGTGCGCATCTTCAAGGATAACCCTATTGATATGATGCTCAGCGTACAAGTTATACGCGGCTTGAAGCTTGGTAGCGCGCTCAAAAGCAGCATAGTATGAGTTCCAGCGAGTGACGACAGGCTTGACTGGCTCGAGTACTTTGAGACGCCCTTCAGCAGGCAGGTTGTTGTTGGCAAGGCGCTGGTAGCCACGAAAAAGCTCGTACTGTTGCGGCGTTTTGATATAGTTGATGACGTCAACTAGCACTCCAATAGGGCCATCTTTCCGCCACTCTCGCATATACTGCTCCTCGGTATTGTACTGCTCTTGAGTGTTGCCGTAGGCGTCTTTGTTGGTGCCAAATATAATAGCCTGGCCGATGAGGTTAAGCGTGTGACAACTGCAGCGGAGGCGCCGGTGAGCGGACTCAAATTCGTACTCGCGCGCGAGCGCGGCGATCGCAGTGTCGTTGTTGGTAGCGTTGTCGAGTACAAAATAGCCTAATCGGTCGCTTGTTATTCCGTATGCTGAGAGCGTCGTCGAGATAGCTTTGGCAATAGCCTCACCGGTGTGGGCGCCAGCGAGCTCAGGCAGATCGATTGGTAAGTCTCGTATTATTCCAGCTGCGTCGGCAAAGTGAGCGACTACTCCAAAGAAGCCACGTTTACCACCCTTTGTTGTCCAGCCATCAAAGCTTACGTGTATTTTGCTTACTGAGCCTGACAGGGTGTCGATAACTTGCGGTCGTATAGACCGGAACAACCTCATCACAAAGGTAGAAACGCTGGTATTACTTACCCACAACGCTGCCTCTGCCTCTGGGTTGGCAAATCTCATCATCTCTCTAAAATCAGGCGTCGTAAGTTCGCTGAGCGGGTGGTTTCGGTTAACAAGCCACATGACAGTGGCTGTTCGAAAGCCCTCTACGTCGAAGTTTCCAAACGCGTTAGCAGTGTTTTGTTGTACGTCTAAACCAGCGTCAAAAGCTTGCCGCAACGACAGCTGGCCTCGAGCTCTCTGCGCTAACTTTGGGCCATCTTTCGTAAGGTTGTGGCCAGGCTTTGGTTGGCTGAGATGGGTGGCTGCTGAGGTTGTAGCCTGAGTAATGTTAAACAAACCACCACGGCCAGCGTCGATAGTTTTGTGTACATGGCAGTACTTGCACACAAACCAGATTCGAGATGTAGCATGGCGCTCAACAACGCGGTAGCCATACTGAAAGATCCAACTTTTTGGGCGCTTAGAACGCGCCAATGGCTTGATAAAATCAGGTAAACGTGCCCAGTCAATGCCGTCAAAGTTCTCAACTAGTGCGCTGTTTGTCTCATCCTGACCACCCTCTCCAGCCTCAGTTGTAGCCACCGTGCCAGCTCGGCTGCCCTCGGTGGGCGCGACAATCTCAGCCTCCGCCTGCGACTCTAAGAACTGCAACTCGAAGGTAGGTATTGGCGGCGAGGCGTTAGCCTGGCTTGCGGCAGCTAGGGTTTTGCGAGGTGATCGACGCTGAGGTCTAGGCTTAGATGCAGGCTTAGATGCAGGCTCAGGTGAAGCCTCAGGAGTTGAGGCGACGTTGTTGGTGGCAGCGGCTACTTTCGTACGTTTGCTCCGAGCAGAAGTTTGTGGTAGGCGACGTTTGGCCATATTGGGGGTATCAGGGCAGTATAAATCACTGGAAAACGCGTTGCTATAGGGGATACTGCATTGCGATAGGCTTCTAGACAGGCGTACGTCGAGATTGGAGCAATGCGCTAGACTAAGGCTAACGTTATTTGATAGCCGCTTAGCCTGTTTGGGACTCAACCGAGGCAACTGCAACACTTCAAAACCATCGCGACATCTACCGTACAGCAGTTTTAGCACCCTCATCACAGTAACGCTAAAACAACCAAGTAAACCAAGTAAGCCAAGCAAGCAAAGTATCTTGACTTGACTTGCTTGCTTAGCTGCCCAGCTCTTACTTGACTTGCTTGCTTGGTTTAAACCAAGCAAGTCAAGCAAGTAATCCAAGTCAACTTGCTTTTTGGAAAGTCTGAGCGCAAGTATCCTAGCCCTTAGGTTCTGTGAGAGTTAATACTGAATAACAAGAGAATAGAATGTGCTTAAATACCTCTCGATGTCCTTGGACGATGTTTACTAAATGATCCACTCTGTTCTCCGTGGTCGTGGTGCAAGTCATCTGAATCGTGTTTAAAAGTGCAGGGATTGACACTTTAACGTGGTGATCTAAGCAGGCCGTTCTTCCCTTAGAGGGTGAACTATAGATCTGAGAACATAAATCCGGAAGCTGTGTCTGCTCTATAGTCATAGTTGGAGCGTGTCGGTCATTTGTCTTGTCGTAGCCACGGAGATGCCGCGCATACATGAGGTTGGATATACAATAAACCGCGGCTCCAGCATCGTCTCCGGTATTGGCGCGATATTTGTCGAAAGCGACTCTGCTCACTCGTGTGTTTCGGCACTCAATGAGAATACCATGACGTCTGGTTTAATTTAGCGATGAATAACCCAAAGTATTAATTGACTTACTGCTTCTCTAGGCTGTTCTTATGCGCTATCATTCTTTTCTTCCGCGATTTGAGAGTTTTGTTCGCCTGGTAGTTCTTTTGACTTCTGATTCATGAGTGCTATTTGATCTTCTGCAGTGGCATCCATGGATATTGTCGGATTGATTGTATCAATAAGTTCCTGGTCATGTTAGTCGTGGTCTTGGCCTGATCATATGAACCCCACAGTCCGCAACAATCAATTAAGTGGGTCCTAGAAGGTTCAGATTGGATTGATTGATTACCGCTTTAAGCCTAGTAGTTACCTATAGGAGTTTAAGCCCTACCTAGATAGGTAAGTGGGTCTAGGAGAGTGACCGGATTGAATTGATTGTTGCGGAGTCTAATGAACCCACATCTGATCTCGTCGCCACAAGGATCACACTTCCACTCCGTCGTCTGCGATAAGCCTCCATATACAAGGTCCTGAACGACGAGTCATCTGCGAGACGAAAAAGTTTCGCCACAACAATCGTCATGTCACAATCTTGTGAATAGCGCTTGGGGTTAGCCATGCGGAAATGGTTGATATTAGACCCACCAGGCATATCGGCTATGATGACCTTCTCTGCAAGAACAAGCTCGATTTGAAAAAACACCAATTGTGAAATGCAAGAAATCAATAGAACTGTACCACGTAATAAGCAATACTCCTATAAGAAATGTAAAAGCACTTTTTGTTAGAAAGGTATGTGTACCAATCAACGCAGTGGCAAAGAGTGTTCACTTTTTGTCTCAACACTTTTTAACTTTTGCCCTGATTCGCAAGTCATTCGGCCTGTTGAACAAAAACCGCCACTACACCAAAGCTGCTTTGCTCTTGCTCGACATATCATCCCACGGTTGCGCGACCTTTCTGAAGCCATACTCCGGGAGACGAAGATAGACCTTGCCTACACAATCTTCTTCCAATTGCTCAATGGCGCCCTCTTTAATCCAAACGTACTGTTTAGCAATCTTCAGCGGTGCGCCGTCCTCGTCGTCTTCCATGAGAATGTGCTTCTCGGTTACTTCTTGCCACGATGACATCTTGGCAAAGGCCAAATTGTGCGTATGCGCAATGGCGCCTTGGATGACGCCGTGGGCGGCCCTTTTCTGCGAGATGTCTTTTGGGTACCTTTCGTCGCGCCGAGAGAAATATAGTAGGCGTTTAGAATCATCTTCATCCGGTTTCAGATCCCAGGTCTTCACTTTGTCAAGATGAGCTAAAGGGACGTGAATCTCGACGGTTCGGCGATCTGAAACGGGGCAAGCATCGTGAATTAGCGCTGAGTAGTGACGTGCGACCCATAACTGATGGGTAAAGTATAGTCCACCCCTGCGCGCGAAGTCGGTTGGTCCGGAACTCTCCAGTCGGCCAAGATCCATTGAGCCGTCTTCCGAGATACATCCGGAGGCTCGGCTGTACTCGACACTTTTGAAAATGGCCAAATGGCCACCGGGCATCTGTGGTATGGTGTACTCGTCTTCTCCGCCTCCACGTAATGGAAGTTCTGCTGGCTCGCCTAGTTCGCATAAAATCCTGGCGTTCAGCTCCACTAAAGCGAGATAGTTTGTCTCGATGATAACCTCAATCCACCTGGAGAGCGTACATGTCCTCCGGATTCTCTCGTGCTCCTTTTTCATGAGCGCGGTCTGGATTTCGTCCTTGATGCCTGCCTCCTTCATGACTGTGAACCAATCATCAGTTGAATCTTGTGCTTTATCACAGATACTCGTCGCATGTGCCGTCGCATAGCCATCGATGTTTAATGTGGTATGCGTCTCCTGTTGCTTGAGGACGAGTGTATCGAAGATCTGCTTTGCCTTCTCTGCTGTGTAACAAAGGAACTCAAACGTTGAGGCCGACTCAAGTCGTACGGGAATACTGATGTATGTTTCGTCGACTAGTGAAGCTGAAGATGAGCGGGATGCCGATGCGCTGACGAGGCTCAAAGAAACCTTGCGTGAGCCGTTCTGCTCATCGGTAATCAGGTTTGCGCCTTGATTCTTGATCCTGGTGATGGTATCTTGCGGTAATAATAACGGCGAAGACATAGCTTATGGCGGGGTGTTGCTCGGCGACAAGCGAGAGATGTGAAGTCGGAGCCGGGGAAGTGGGAGATGGAAGATCGGAGTGGGGAACTGGAGGAGGAAACTATTAGAGTTGAAGGTTTGCAAAGATGCAAACGCCACGCTAACTTGGACCCTACATAGTCGCACTGCCCAAGCTTGTGTCGGAACCGAAGATGGCTGATTGAAATGTTACGGATCAAGATGATTGATGAAAGAGTAGGAGGATAAAACAAGAGAAGAAGGAAGAAGAGGAGATATCAAAGAGTAGTAGCCATGAACTGAGATAGCTCATGCTTGTCCTCGGAGATAGTCCCAGGTGAGAGAGTGGTGACAGTGCGAGAGTCGCGAAGACGGCAGGTGAGAGAGCCATGATCTGGGTCGCATACCAACTCAATGTTTTGTGTGATATTCTAAGCACGAAGATGTGATGGATGCTGTCTGCAGCTCACTTAATGGCCGAGTCAATACTTGCCTAGGCCTCGATAGTAGAAACGAGGAAATAATTACTGGTATGAAAGTTTGGATCTTGAAGGTAGACGATGCTCCAGGTGGGCACGACATGTACCGGTATACGAGAACGCTAGCTATTTGCGGCAATCTTGTCATACCAACTTCGTATTCGAGGCCAAGCCTTGAACCCTTTTGCTGACTGCTGCATCAACACGACCTACCATCTGCCTCAATGTCGACTCTTTAGACGCGGTGCCGCTTAATTGGAAGATATTCATTCATCAGTCATGGCATTTGGGCAAAGTCGATACGCGTCAGCGCCAAGGGCATGGTGCCGATTGCCGCCCCCTTAGCCTGTTCGGTGCCCCCGTCAGACCAGGGATAGGGCAAGTTGGAGACATGGGTTTCTTGGAACGTCTGCGATAGCCACAGCCCAGAGGCTACTTTCCTAGACTTCGCCTGCAAAGTGTCCTCTGGCAATCCCCAAAAACAGTTTTGAGGGCGCAGATGCAGCCTCGTACAGTCTTGCGATAGAAAGCTGCCGCCTTGTTTTGCGACACACGACACTCTTTTGCGACTATCCCACCGCCTGCCCACCATGGCAATCCGGCCGCTCAACTCGAGCCTCATCTTTGACCGGCGCGTCATCTTAGGTCTCGTTGCTGCCGTCGTTCTTGCTTTCACTTTTGCCTTTCTCTATTCGCCCGATCTGCGTCCCAGCACCGACTGGATGCCACCGTTGAGCACGAAACCTACCTCCCCCTTCACCCCGCCGCTGAAGAACAACGAAGACCCGTACGTTGTTGAGCTAGACTACCTAGCTATCAGACCAAATGTCACGGAAAAAGTCAGATCCTACTGGAACATACCGTATGCGGCCGACGCAGGTGGCAAGAACAGATTCCGGGGACCGCAGCCCGTGAACAGGACATATGGTATTGGCATTGGTGAGAAGCCTTTGGTATGGGATGGGGCGCTGGGCATGTGCCCGAGGATACAAAAGATTGACCCAAATCTGAGGAACAGGAAGGATATCTCAGGACCAGAGGTATTGGGAATCAAGGCACGTTCGACAGAGGACTGTCTGAGCTTAAACGTCTTCACCCCGTTCGATGCCGAACCTGGTGACGATCTACCTGTTCTGGTCAACATTCCTGGCGGTGGTTTCCATCTACCGGGACGCAGCAATGGAGGCGAGATGGTGGAGAAGGCGCGGCGTGAAAAGGGTGTCAACGGCAAACTCGACAAGGGCATCGTAGTAGTCACCATGTACTACCGCAATGGCATTTACGGCTTCTTGTCTGGAGAGCAGATTGCAAAGGACGGCAACTACAACAATGGACTCCGCGATCAGAGAGCGGCGCTGGAATGGGTCCAGAAGTACATTCGCTACTTTGGCGGTAACCCCGACCACGTCGTCATCATGGGCACGAGTGCAGGTGGCGCATCCGTAATGCTGCAACTCACTGCCAACCAAGGCGACAACTACTACCCCGTCCCCGGCACCGGCCGCAAACAGCTCTTCCACGGCGCCATCGCCCAATCCCCCGCAAGTCCGACCTTCTTCACGACCGAACAAGCCGAGAAGTTCTACAACGAGGTAGCCTCGGGCCTGAACTGTACCGACATTGCCTGCGTGCGCAATGCAGCCACGGGCGATCTCTACTACGAGAACTACCCCATGAACTTCCCCGGCCGCAACACTCCACCCCGCTGGATGTGGGCGCCGACCACCGAGCCCGCAGGCGGCATGTTCACAGCCCCCGCCCCCGCGTCTATCATGGCAAACCGCTACGCCAAAGTCCCCACCATCATCGGCTTCACCTCCAACGAAGGCTCGGACCAAGTCAAGAAGACCACCGACAACGAAGCCGAATTCAAATCCTACCTCAAAGACCACTACCCACTCCTCACCGACGAAGACCTCAACACGCTCGTAAAAACTTACCCCAACGACCGCCACTGGCCCGACAGCGGCAAATGGTGGGACGCCGTCGCAAAAGCCCAAGGCGACATCCGCTACATCTGCCCCACGTACCTAGCCTCCAACGCAATGGCCGAGCACAACCCGCCCACTGTGCCCACGTACCAATACCAATGGGACGTCATGTGGGGCGTCGACATTGAAAACGGCTTCGGCACCAAACACGCCGGCACCGTCGGCCAAGTCATGGTGCGTCGCCAAAACGAGATTTCGGATTACTTCATCTCGTTTATCAAGTTCCTCGACCCCAATGTCGAACATGAGACTATTCCGAGAAAGGACGTCAAGATTGCAAAGTGGGAACCGCTGGATGCGTCGGGGAGGAGGATGTTTTTTACGAATATCAAGGAGGGGGGTCATCGGGGTGATGGCACGGATATGCTGGGTCCGATGCGTACGGAGATGAGGACGAGGGATGCGGAGAGGGAGAGGAAGTGTGGGATTATTAGGGGTATGTTTAGGAGGTTGCAGTTTGATGGCGTTGAGGCGGTCAAGGTGGGCTGATTTTGGTTTGGTTTGGTTTGGTTTGGAATTGCATTTGCAGGCGAGTGTGTGCATGTTGGCTTTTTGGGAACATAACATAACCCTTTTTTCTTTTCTGGTTCTTTGATGCCTGTACGAATACTTTGGGTTTATTATATTAGACTTTATCCCTGTCCTGTTTTCTCTGCGCATCTCCAAGATGGTAGATATGCATGATAAAGTTTCGTAAAATTTCCAATCCTACTACTTGGTATTCCAATATCATCGCTCAAAATTTATAATGCTGCTATACTCATACATCCCAATCCTCGGGTACGACGTGTCATTACTTCATTTCTACCCCCTTGCCCCCCCCCCCCCGCCAATGCAAATCAAATCACAAAACACACCTGCGTCCTCTCCTTCCTCAGAGGGCCAAAGTTGATGACAAAAACGAAGCGCTCAGACAAATATCCGCCGATGAAAACCCCGCCCGTACTGACTAACCCATGCACACGATGCCGCAACCCATTAGTTCCCGAGCACACCATTAGCGCCCCCCGTTTCCGAACCCCATTCGCACAGAAAACGAAAAAGAAAACACCCAGCTACGCCCATGTCTTGCAAAGTGAATACAGGACCTCAAACCTGTCTCTTCTGTACATGCGCGACCAAATCCTGTACGTCGCTGTGGCTTAACGAGCCATCGTCCAAGCTCATACCAAGCTGCTCTTCTTTCTTGTCATCGAGATCGTCTCTCTTGCTGCTGAGGTCATTTTGGAAATCTCGGCGTGAACTCTTCTGCTCCTTATCGCAGCGCAGCGCACGCAAGTCGCCGGTTTCCACTCCTGGTGGTGGTGGTGGTGGTGGTGGTGGTGGTGGCGATGATGTTTCCCTGCTAGTTTGTCGTGCATGGTCGACAAGATCTCGAACGTCTGCGTTTGACAGACTGCCCTGGTCTACTACACTCATGCCTAGTTCATGTTTCTTCTCTTCTTCCTCGCGCTGGAGGGTTTCTACCCTGGTTTCGCTTTCAGTTGGTTTGTCGTGTTTGCGAGTTACCCAGCGGACGAGTTCGTCGACATCGTCTTCGGTCATGTGTCGCTTCTCCTTGGGTCTGTCAGCGGATTCCCTGCTGCGTGGGCGACCCCGCTCTTCCTCCTCAATGAGTTCCTGGATGTTTCCGTCTACCAGTGAGGCCGGTGCGGATTCGCCGCTCGTGCCATCGTGGCGTTTGAACCATCGGCCCAGCTCTGGGACATCGGAGTCATAGTGCTCTCCTACGTCTGAGTCGAGATCGTGCTTTTCTAGGTTGCGACGTACTGGGCCTGCCTTGGGGCCCTCCCGGTGCGATATCCAGCGTACAAGATCATCTGCATCTTCCTCTTCGCCAGAGGATACGTGATGCAACTCGCTATCCGACTCGGTTGGCGCATCGCTGTAACCAGAGTGCACTCTGACTTCTTTATCATCTTCGACTTCTCGATTCCGGCTTACATGTCGAACGAGGTCATCAACATCAGCATCTCCAATGCTTTCGTGACCGCTGTCTTCCTTTACTTCCACAACACCGCCTTTCCGCGCCTCGCCATCGCTAGGAGTATCCCGCTGGCTGACCCACCGAACCAGGTCCTCCACATCTGCATGGTCAATACTTTTGTTGTCGCTATCTTGACGACGTCTCGACACTTGATCCTGCTCGCCCTCGTTATCCGACGACGCTGTCGAAGCCCGATCGTTAAACTCGACCGGCGCCCCATCCTCTCTTATCTTCTCCATGCCTCCCGCATCTCTGGTAGTCATCCTGCGCATCGTCATCTTGAGCCTGCTTCCAATCCCGTTCTTCTGCTGCACGTCTTTCTCTGGCGTCTTGGGCCGATGCATTTGCCGTTCTTCGTGCTGACTTCTCCACCTGTCTGCCGAATTCTGCTCTTTCTGGCAATCTTCCTCCGTTGCCGTCTTTATCTTGTCTTCAATTCGCTGTTGGAAAAGCATGCTGCGAAGAGAATGAAAGCGTGCCATTGTTGGCTGCTTCAGTTTGGCTTTTGCCGGGCTGTCCTTTTCAGTACGTGTGGACGAGGATTTTGACTTGCCAGACCCTCTATTTGAAGATCTTGGATTACTCCTGCAAGGTGATAGAGAAGATGGCCTCGGTGCCTGTGCAGCGACGTGTTTTTGCTTGTTTTTGCGCAAATTTTCAATCGGGTCATGCTTTTTGGTGTGTTCAATAGCGTCTTGATCCTCATCGTCCGATAACCCTCCTTCGCTGCTATCACTGTCCGAATGCTCATCGCCTAAGCCCTCGAGAATCTGTGCCACTGCGGGTGACATTAAACTGTTCATGCGCCCTAATTGTTTGCGCTCGTCCTGGGGCAGCTGATCTATACATGTTGCGGTCGACGCCTTCTGCGGTGGGAGGTCGAAGTATGACGCCATGATCTTGGACGTTTTCGTTCTGTCGCTGCGAGCCTCGTTTGAAACCGAGCAGTGTAGTATAAACGAGGAACAAGATATAGAGCGGGAAGAAACAGTATATGGCAGGCTCTTGGGAAAGAGAGTCGGAGAATCAGAGCTGCGAGCGCAAAGCTAGCCTAAAGGCGCAAGGGACTGGGGTGTACCCCGCAGATCGCTGATGTCATCGACTGTGATTGGCCGTGCGCGACGCCTTAGTGAAGTGATGATGGCCGTGGCAGGCTTGGGTGACATGACCTTATCGAATCTTCACACGAGGATCTAGGCCTTGATCTACTGCCATAGTTGCGATCGCAGAAACTTACGCATGGAACAGAATTGCGATGCGTCAGCGTCGGCCGATGATGCAGAAAACGACACGGCAGGTGAGGGTTTCATACACGTTCGTATGCGTCGAAGATCATCGCTTGATCAACACCACTACTTCAGATGGCTACATCACTATGGAGTTTTCTCACGGTGCCTTGAAAGGGTCGGAGTTTCTTTAAAGTGAAGAATGTGAATGCTAGCCAACAGTATACAGAGGCTAAGACATGCGGGGTCCAGCAAGTCCAGCAACCTACTACCCAGACAGGAAATACATGTCGCTCTCTCAGCATTATATGACTCGCAATTGCTCACACCAGGCACTAAGCCCTGACGCTACGATCCCCCATACCCGCTGCTCCCCTGCGCACCGTTCCACGCCAAAAGGTTCACAGTATTTGCGTACATTGTGCTCGGGTCAATCGCGTCTTTTATAGCCATGCCGGCAATGATGCCACATAGGTTATCCGCTTTCGCCCCTAGACCCAGCAGATATGCGCCAATGCCAGTGATGTGTGGCGTCGCCATGCTCGTTCCCGAGAAAGTTTGGATCGCGCCGCCGAGCCACGTGCTGGTGATGTCAACACCAGGGGCCAGGATGTCGATCAAAGGCCCATGGTTGGACCATGAGGCGAAGGTATCGTTGGAAGCGGTGGCCCCTACAGTGCATACAGACGGCTCTGATGCGGGAGAATAGCCTACGGCATCCTCGCCGTCGTTGCCCGCTGCGACGGTGATAAAGAGGCCTGCCGAAGCAATAGCAGCGGCCTAGACAAATATTAGCATGCGCTGATGGGGATACAGCGGGAAGATTTACAGCAGCATTCATAGCCTTCGTCTTGTACCCTCCAAGGCTCATGTTGACGACCAAGCCCTTGGGACAAGCTGCCGCGCGTTGCGGAGCATCTTTGAGGACAAACTGCATGCCTGCAAGCACGCCAGCATTCGTACCACTGCCGTACCGGTCAAGAACTCTGACAGCGAAGAGGGTGGTCTTTTTCGCTACACCCCATGTAGCAGAACCAATTGTGCCCGCCACGTGAGTCCCATGCCCCATCAGATCCTTCCATGAATCCTCGCCCGAAAAGTCTGCCAAGAAGAAAGCGCCTAGCAGGGTCAGCGTATCCTCTTGCTAGGGAGTGAAGTTGCCTACGGCCTTGAAACTCGGGGTTCTCGGTTTCTATACCTGTATCAATGACATAGCTACACCCAGTTTGTTACTGAAGTTCGAAAGTAGTAGCAGCGTTTGACGTACACACATGTGCCCTCCCCGGCACTTTCATCGAAAAGGTATGTCGTCTCATACGGCTTCTTGTGGGAGATGCGAGCCAAGCCCCAGGAAGAGTTGTATTGTAAGACCATTGTTGATGCATGAACCTTGGCATCCTGCTCGATATAGTCGACCTATCTATGTCAATCGGGTGCTGCAATAGTCGGCCGTAGACATCCTACATGCTCAGATTCCTGTAGTCGGCTGAGTTCCTTACTAGTGAGGGTACCGGAAAAGCCTCGAAACCCAGACATTGTGTAGCGATAGTCGGGCTGACTGGAGATGGAAGCCGTTAAGTCGTCTTCGGCGAGAGTGGCTACTTCGCCCTTCATTTTGACAATCCATTTTCCGGCAATGGCATCCTCGGCCCTGGCCACAATCAAAGGTGCTGCAATTGCGGCAGAAAACAGCGTGAATAGTAAGAGTGTGTGTATCATCATGAAGAGTTCCGTTTAACGTGTGTGATCGAAGCAATGATGGCCGTCTGGAGGTGTCAGGGTTTCGGATACTTCGTACTGAGGCATCACTGCATCTATAGTATATCTCTTGTTTAAGTACCAAAATTTTAATAAGCCTTCACCATCGAATGGTACGCTGGAATATGTGACCGCCAGTTCCGCAGTCTGTAGTACTGGTAAATCATGAGCATTGCGCGTGCACACATGCTGTGCAACACATCACTGCCTATCCTCTGGCAAACAATTAGATTTCCAAATCCCCAAAAATAATTCTCGAGAGTACGAGGGATGGTATTCCTGGGGTGATATTGATATGTAGTGGATGGGTCGTTGACGGACAGCTAAGCGTTTGGTACTTCCCGGATATTGAGTAGCATTTTGTAACCTGCATAGAAAATAGTCTGGCTACTCACGTTGAGCAGCCGTTGTGCAAGTCATACAATAGATCTTCATAGAGTTTTGGTGTTCTCCGAGAAGAATATGCGATCGCTAATAATGGTATAGACCCCGGTGTCCAGACGGGAGGCTGTGGGTACACAATAAACGGAGGGCATGCACCAGGCTGCAGACTAGGGCAAACATGCAGTCATTACGGATTAACTGTCATCTCTCTGAAGGTTCGGGATCTATTGCTGTGATGTGGATGTCTGAAGACTGAGGGATGTGCACCGCAGGACTTCATGCGCGTAATTGTCCAATTCAAAGCTTACAAAGCGCACCTACGCCGCTCGATTCGAGTGGTAGGAAGACCGGGCAATCCGAAGTGGAACATGATCTACTGTAGCCGATCCCCTATTTGTTGCATTCGTTACACCAGCAGGGCACCAGCATGCCCTATCTCTGCTGGCATATGCAGACGGCTGGTGATTAAGCAGCGACCGTATCTGAAGGTACCTGAGTACATTCAATACTTTGGTAGTATGCGAAAACGCCTATCGGCCTGGGACTAGTCGACTGACGGTGATGATAGGGCACGGACAATGATCGCCAGAGCTAGAGGTCTTGGCATGTGAAAGGCTTTCCCGGTGGAGTTACGCGCTAAGCAGTCGCATATCAGGCTACCGCATGACTGGGTAACGTGCCCAGAAAGTCGCGTGCTTGGAAAATATGCCTTGCTAGTGGATATCTACAGCGATAAGCGTTGGCTCATGCGCGAATATCAGCCGTGCCATTGTATCGGGAAGAGGTAACCATGATCATGCAGGTAGACCCTCCCTAAGAGGAATGTTTGACGCGCCACGTAGATTGGTTACATTGTTTTCTTTGAGAAAGCGCGAGAGAGTTGAATCGATTCCAATTGATCCTGCTTAGGTGTCATGCAGGTCACAATGTCGGCACGATCCGGCCTTGAATCATTGAGTAGGCCTCCCGTCGATTCGTGGGCCCCGGGAGTGATTGTGATGTGGCCACACTGTGACGAGGCAGAAGAGATTGATGATGTTTTCTGAGACGGCTGATTAGGATGTAAACTTGCCAATTAAGTGCCGGTAGAACCAGGATGTTTGGAAGTCGGCAACTCGGGCAAATTCAGCTGGGGGTGCAGCCTTGCGCGCGGATTCGTATGGGAAGCCGTTTCTCGCAGGCATCATGTGCAACGAAACAACCTTCCGTGTGCATCAACGCTGTGGAAGCATCAGTCGCTGCAACTTTCATGCAATCTGGAATATCCGTTCTTCTGTTTTCCCGTCAGAACAGTGGCCTGAAAGTACGGTTAATTGGCGACCAATCTGCGGTAACAAAGCAATTTACGGCCGGGAAAATCTGCCAAGGATACATTGCCAATTGCCTTGGTCGGCTTGTTTAATGCATTGAGTTGAATGAAACAGATTGTAAATATCTGACGCCGATTGCAAACACGCTGAGATCGAAGCGCATACTCAGCGTCGGGATACGGGGATGTGGAGGTGATACTGTTGAGAAGACAAGCGAGGTCGGCGGGACCGGGCTTCTCTTGCTGCACGGCATCTGTACACATTAAAAACGATGAATCCATATGTCTCTGGAGATGGAAAACGGTCGTTACATGAAGCTCGGAGGCTGTTGGTGGCAGATGGTTGACGGAACTGATGATGCACGCGTCAATTGAAGACGCGAGATCTCTACGCTAGTCCAAATGCAGGGCAGGAGGGGACCTTTACATAAGAGCTTGAGTCTTGAGCGCATGCGGCTATCCAAGTACCGCTTTTCCCTTTATATGTAGATCAAAGCCTGCACCGTAAGCATTATGGCTAGGTTCGGGTGCACTGGATGCATCGGCCGTTGGCCAGCTGCTTTGTGGCCCATTCTCATGATGTCAGCGAATACCTCTTTGACTCTGAATGTTTCGGTACGCTGGTATCAGCATTGTCATACTAAGCAAGCCACTTCATCGGAACTTAGCCACAGCCGGAAGTCCTCTAGCGACGGTTGCACAAGGTCGGATTTCGTCATGTAATCTCAACCGTCGAAATCCGAACAATTCTTATAATGGACCCCAAAGGCTGAAAATTAGCTGTGGAAAGAAAGTCACAAACAATCAGAGGCAAATTGAATGAGCCCATTTGACATCTTGCATTCGAACTAATGCTACCTATGCCCAGAGATCAGGCCAACTCTAGCCACACTTGCAACAACAACAGCCATCATAAATCCGTAACGAAAAAAGAGAGAAAGATATCCATGTACATGAAAGCGGATCAAGCTATCACTCAAAAGCGAGAAGTGATCGCAAAGTTTGGTAGAAGAAGTAACCGCTTAACCGCTGGGGTTGCCGTTAAAAGCGAGGTAGTTCTTGGTGCTAGAAGGAAGGCCAGTGATCTTGTTCTTGGTGGACAAGGACTGAATGCGGGTGGAGAGAGCGGCAGGGGTCTTCTTGCCCTCGAAAGCAAGAAGGTAGGCAGCGAGACCAGCAACGTGGGGAGAAGCCATGGAGGTACCAGAGATGGTGTTCTATGAATTGTTAGTTTGTGGAAAATGTGTTCGGAAAGAATCAAACTTACGGTACCACCGTTGAGCCAAGTGGAGAGGATAGAGACACCGGGAGCGAGGATGTCGACGACGGAGCCGTAGTTGGAGAAGGTAGCCAGGCGGTCAGAGCTGTCAGTGGCACCAACGGTGAAGACAGTGGGCTCAGAGGCAGGCGAGGAGTTGGCAGCGTCTACGGCAGAGTTACCTGCGGCAACAGCCATGAAGACACCGGCGCTGACAGCGTTGGCAGCGGCAGAGTTGACAGCAGTAGAGCGGCTGCCACCGAGAGACATGTTGGCAACAGCGCCGTTGGGGCAGCTGCGGGTCCTGACATCGTTGGCAACAAAGTTGATACCAGCAATGACACCAGAGTTGGTTCCCGAGCCGCTGGCGTCAAGGACCTTGATAGCGTAAAGGGTGGTCTTCTTGGCCACACCGTAGCTCTTTGAGCCGATGGTACCGGCGCAGTGGGTTCCGTGGCCGTTACCGTCAGTGTTGCTGCCGTCACCGGCGAAGTTGGCCAAGAAGGTAGCACGACCCTCGAACTCGGGGTGGGAGGTGGCGATACCAGTGTCGATGACGTAGGAGCAAGTACCCGCACCGGCAGTGCTGTCGTAGGTGTAGGAAGAGGTACCACGAGCGACGTGGGAGATACGACCAAGACCCCAGGTAGCAGAGGACTGAGTGACGTAGGCCTTCTTCTGGAGAGGCTCAGAGGTGCCAAGGTTGGCCTTGACAACGGCATCTTGCTCGATGTAGTCAACACCTTGCATGTTGCGGAGAGTCTCGACAACGTCGTCGGTAATCTCAGCGGAGAAACCACCAAAGGCGCCGAACTTGTAGACGTGGGCAGGGTCCTTCTTGATGACCTTCAAGGCAGCGGTGATGAGGTTGTCGAGGTTGTCGGTCTTCAAGTCGTTCCTCATCTTGACAATGTACTTTCCGGGGATGGGAGCACCCTCACGAGGAACAATGACTGGGGCCGGGAGGGCCATTGCCAAAGGCAAGAGAGCGATGACGAGTGAGAGCTGCATGTTGATGGTTGGTCAAAGATCGATGTTGTTGGAACGAAAGTCGGGAAGAAGATGCTGTTGATGGGCTGAGTGTTGCTGTGCTCGTAGCCTGATGTTTTGAGAGGGCGTCTTGTATCCCTTATATAGACGTGTTGGGCTGCTCAAAGTCGACACGATATAACAGGATGCTATGGCGCCTTCCGCTAAGATTAGCAACGCCGACGAGTCGATCTCGTGTAGGCCGGCCTATTCCTACCACAGTGTGGGTTGTCGCTGGTCGCTAGTGTGGCTGGAGATGGGGGTTGTAGACGTCCGATACCTAGTTTGGGAGGTGCTACAGCGTGTCCGGCACTACTAACTTCCAAGACACCGTGGTAGTGTTGATGGAACGGGCGCAAGTTCTCAGAGAAGGAGGAGCATAAACTGGGAGTAGAAGGTCAGATGTCCGTGCCTTGGCGTGATGCAGTTTATATTAAGGCTGCTTACTGGTTTAGGGATGTCAAAAAGGTCGCGTAGAGAACCAACGTAGAAGTCGATATAATGGTGTGATTGGGCGGGGACTAAGGCCCTTGTCAAGGCCTGATAAGGGACTGAAGATGCGATGAGTGGGCCAGTTGCAAGGCGAGTATTATTGAAGCTGTTTCATGCAGCATTGCCACCTGAGCTCTATCCGTATGGGCCACCTGCCATTGTTTGCTGGTTGCAGCTCCGCATATCCCATTGGGCTTGTATATCGGACGGGCACGGCATGCTAGCATGGGCGGGTCTGGACGGTTTGGCACGTTGTCCATTTCTTTTTCCACCCCTGAAAGCGAGACCCAAGACATCGGGACGACCCGCCGTTGTGCTGGTTGGTACCATCATGTCCGCGTACTGGGGCTGTCGCGGCTCAAATGCTATACACGCCAAGCTAGAAACAAAGAAAGACGAGGTTTCGTGACCACGCACCGTTTTATGGAAAGCTTTGAATACACAAAGTCGTAGGTCATTGTGACAGTCAGCAGGCTGAGAAAGTAGGCGAAGATGATACCGCGGAGGCTGCCATAATCGCAGGGGCAAAGATGCCAATTGCCGGGCTTAGACGTTAGATGATAGGCTATGATGACATTACGGGAATGTCGTTTGCGTCTCTGAGCTCTTGGCAACTAAGTCGCAGCTACCTACACCGATGCCGTTTCAGGCGAGAGCAGAGACATGCGTCAGGTTTGGCCAATCAACGATACTCGTTTGACTTTATTGACGGACTTGGCACTGTTAAGCTCATGGCCTTCCTTTTGGGGCGATAAAGCAAAATGCTCAGGAAGGGCTGTATCATGACATGGCGATTTCGTCCGGGCCCAGTTCTATTGGACCACACCAAGGGGTGGACACAATTGACGTGCGACTTCGGTTGCAATCATTTGCAGCAGTCACAATACCGTGCATCCGCTGACCACCCAAGACCCGCTAGCATTAAGCTTAAAAGCACGTTAAGTGCTGAAACCACCTCCTTCTTTGGGATCTAGCATGATGCAGACCAATATAGCCGACCTTGCCATTAGCCACACCGTAGATAAGAGGCAACAGATCAAAAAGCTTGGCGAAAACGCTGGTGGCCTTGCCGAACCTCGAGGGAGTGCCGTTATTGTCTCGCAAATGGGGCGCTATCTTGCGCAATCGCCTTGCGCTCTGTAATAAAAGACATGAGAAGAGAGTAGGTTTGACTGAAGAGATACAAGCACAAAAAGAAGTAGCCCGGACTACAAACTGCAGTGTGTTGCGATAGGAAGGAGAACCTAATCCCACGGATAATGCAGTGGGCGCGCTCCTTCAAGCCTCGTCCAGAACATCTCGGGTCCTTCATACGTGGTGTCTAGCCACTGTGTCGATCGCAAGGCCGCAAGCGAGTGACGGTCGTCTCGAGGATCCACCTGCCCCTTGTGTCAAGCACTCCGCCCACCAAGAGGACCTACAAGCCGCCTCTGGGGTCGGCTCGACTGCTGTAGCTGGACGTCGGTTTGTGGTGTTGTGGCAGTGGGCGCCTCGCGTCGGAGATTCGGAGCTTTGTCGGCGCCTACAGGGCTTGGCGTTCTGAGATCAAACATCCCACTAGCATGTGACGTTGTTCAATAGGTACCGGTACATGTGTCATTTCGGACCATCTCACGACCTGGCAAGCGTAAAAGGTATCAAAGAAACGCGTTTCATGTCAGGTTCCACTACTTCTTACCATTGGGACGGTGGTAGCCCTACGTCTCCAGAGCCCGGGTACGCTCCTGAGTCAAGGGTCAAGTCCACGCGCAACTTAGAAGGTGCACAGCAGCTCATCACTTGACTGGTAGACATCTTGGCCAGCTAGCTCATTGAAAGCTTAGTTTCTCTTCAAATACCGTGGCGGCATGACACAGTGGAATCCCACTCACTAAGCAGCCTTGGATTGTTTTCTCTGCCACAGACCCAGTCAGCATATAAGTAAACAAAGCGATGATGTGGCTATCGGTATCAAAATCGACATCGGCATCGGAAATTGACAGAATCCAAGGAGCAACTCTCCAGGCAGATTATGCACTTCGGCATGGCTTAGCCAACATTCGGCTCATGTGCGTCATTCACCACATATGCATCTACCCACATGCATATCGCCTGATTTGCCATGGCTCAAATTTCCCCGGTTGCCGACTGAAAACTACACTAATAGCTCTCTAGTGCCCGAAGCAGGAGCCCGGAGATCAAGACGTATCTGAGACCCTGCGACGATCTACATACAAGCTTTAAAGACCTTCCCTGACCGTCCATGCTCCGTTAATGCCAAGACCTTATCGTGTCCAGCGCTTATGCCGGTTCTTGACCCCACTGCTTCGCCGTTGTGTGGATGCACGGCAGTGCTTTAGGTAAGAATACAAGGGGGTGGCGGCTCGCGTTAGCTTACTCCCTCCAGGTACGCTCGGGCATCCGGGTACCTGTCTACATCTCTCGTGGCTTCAACATGTGCGGTTCGAGATCCAGGTACATCTTGAACTTGGTGGCCAGTTGATATCATTAGGCGGTCTCGTACGAAAAGTCTCGTATGAAAATCGTGAGCACCTCCATGTCCAAGTGGCAATCTACTGTTGCGAACTGCCTTCCTCATTGGTATTCAACACGCCATTGGATCGATCGAACAGGTAAAACCCTTCTTGGGAAATTGGCTCCGATTGCGCAAGATTCGCCGGCTTCCATCAATAGTAGTTTTGCCAAGTCCGATAAGTGTCGAGAACAACGGAGCACCTATCTATAGTCAGCTGCGCAAGAGCGATTGCTCCTTCCTAATCCTGATTGTCGACTATCAGACATCTTGGTTACTATCCAGATGAGAGTATCACGAGACATGCAGAATTCACAACAAAGCATTATCCGCAACAGGTGGCTTATGTCACTATCTGAATAACTCACCGATTGCTCTCTAACAGTGCTCGCGGTAGAATTCAGAGTGCCTACATGTGAACCCATCAGATCTGCGTGTCGTTCTCACAATCTGGAAGATCTTCCGCAAATGATCTTCCCGGGACCATCGGATGTGTCGATCAAGACTATCACTTCCTGTTCCTTATCGCGAATCACCCGCCAGTCTCCTTCCTATTCTTTTCATCCCGCGCCGACGTAATAAATATATGTTTTTCACCAGAACTTCACTATGCAGTTCCATATGGCCACCTTGAGCACCGATACATTGTTATCATATAGCCACATTGACCACTGAAACATTGTTATCTCCGACAGCCTTCTGGCTATAACTGTAAGGGGCTAGACCCCAGCGGCTGTATCGATGACGATACACAGATGACTGATCAAGAGATGCCTTGTAACAGAGTGGATTTGACAAAGAGCTACAAAAGGATGCTAGCTGTACATAAATACAGGAGCGGACCGAAGATGGGCCGAAGTAGAATTAGATGGATGATGACAGAAACCTATAGATGTATCTCGAAGGAATCGCATGACGACAGCTACGCACACAGCGTAGCGCATGTAATAGGCTCAGCCTGTTACAATAACGGCACCATATATGTCAGCGCGTACAGCGCCACCCACACCAACACCCCCACGCAGTCCAATGCCATGACTTCCATGTACCTTACCGAAGAAGAAGGTCCCAGACACTGCCTCATGCAATATACCACTGCACCTTCCCTTGGCGATGCTTGGTATCTTTTGATAAGGTACGCAGGAGTGCTCGTTCGGTTTTCGCCTTCCAGAAGCATGGAACGGCCCGTTCGTGGGTGTGAAGCTGTCTAGCATGCGCATCCTTCATTTCCATTACCGGACGCAGGAACGTGGGCTGGACATTACGGATTATGCAAGGTCCGTACTGCCGAAGTTAAGATGTGGTGGCGAATGGGCTTGTGGTCTGTATGTATGTTTTGTTGTTTGGGGTCATCGTGTAGGAGGTGTGCACTCAATGGTTAGGGGCGTGGAATTGGATGTGGGATGAAAGGTCGTGCATCATAGTTTGGCCATTATAGTGTTGGAATCTTGACCCTTTGAGGTTCTGTATGTGTATATGGGATGGTATAGGTTTAGGGTTCTACTCATAAACCGGCATCTGGCATAATACACTAGCACAACCGGAACAGAGCATCTACTTTCCAGTTAGCAGAGTTGGAGGGTTCGATAGTTTTGTGTCGCAGGAAATTCATTGTGTTCAATGAGTGCCTGTTGTTCTATAAATTGTACTCTGAACAAGTCGAATAGATGGTAGCATACCACACGACAATGCAGTGCGTAGAATGCATCTCGAGGACGAACCATAGTTCAGAGTTTATACATCACAAGTGGATGTACTTACATGTTAGTTTCAGGCACTAGTACAGAGCCCGCGCGGCCGTCATGGTGAGGGCTGTAAGGATAGCACAATGAAAATGCGATATTCTAAGTACGTACCGTGGCCGTTGTATGTTCAACCCCTCTGTTCTTATTTGCTTTTAGTCTCTTTGATCGATTGTTTTGTGGTTGTCTTGTAATTGGGACTACTTGTTTGCTCATTCGTTAGTAGTGTTCAGTGTTGCGCGCTTGATGATGGTTTTATCGCCAATCTGAACTTAATCAACAACAAAGTACTATTCGATCTAGAGCTTCTTACCGGTGCCACAAATTGTGATAGAAACACCAGGCGCAATCATGTCATTGAGGCAGGCGTCACAGTACTGCTTGTCTATTAGATGCTATGTAGGCTTCACTTGTGCTGGTTCCTTGGTCGTTGTCGTTGTGACCACTGCCTCGTACTTCGCCTATAGCCTAGTCGGCATAGTCGTCAACTGGCCTTATTTTTCAAAAAGAATCATTAATCTCATCTGAACTTAGTCGAATCATTGACTAGGTGTTGCATCAAGTGGAAGTGTGGGAGTGTGGTCTTGTTCGGCTTTCTCCTGCTTGGGTGCCTCGCGTTCATCTTCGCATCCATCAAAACATTGGCCATCTTCAGTGGATCATCCGTATTACTTTATGGTAGCGCGAATGTGGGCAATGTTAGGTTGAAAAGCGACTTGGATACCATGTCACTTACTGCGTACCTAGGTATACCTGTAGCACTACGCCCGTATAGTTTTTTATTTACACTATTAACCACCGTGGACACATTGTAGTATACGTGAAATTGTCCCGTTATTTATATTAGAACATTTACAATTAACTGATATCTCGTTTTAGGAAGAAATACAACACAATAGTGGTGTTGGACCAAGCCCACACTAACCCAGATCGGTTACCCCGTGATCGACAGGGCAGCCGCAACGCCATCTACTGCCTCAATCACATCATCCCCCAACTTCCTCTGACCGCCCAATAATAAATCCGCCGCTCGTACATCCATCAACAACCGGCACTTCATCGGCATCGCGCGACACAAGGTCCCACACGTCACTCCCACTCACTGGATCTTCCTAGTCTTTGCAAAGTACCTCGAAGTATCACCAAGCGGCAATTCAACAATCGAATCTTTAAGCAACAGATGAAACATCATATACCTATACCTGTTAGCTTCCGTCGTCGTGAAAATGCTGCGAATGTAAATGTTTTACCAGCCGATTATCCCAGACACGAAGCAAAAACCCCCGCCTCCCTTCTTGAGCGCAAGCGCGCTATTTGGGTGGCCGTCGGCCGCAGCAAAGTAACTCGCAGAGGTGAGCAAGAAACCCAGTTCCACGGTGAAGAAGATGGCGATGAAGACTAGGTTTGTGGGTAATGAGGCGATTAGGAAGGTGAGGGTGAGAACGGTCCACACTATGAACTCATCAATATCTATCGCATTTATTCTTCGTTCGAAGAAAGCAGGGACGTACTGATCATGAAGAAGCCGAGGGCGTTGTTAAGCTGCTTCTTATCATCACCATAGGCTTCGATAACACCGAACGCTGGTGTGAGAATAGCGCCGAAGCCCGCGTAGAATAGACCTGGGATAGTTATGAGTTGTTATTGGTCTTTTGGGCATTGAGGTTGAAACGTGGCGTACCGAAGGAGCTGAAGACGGTGTAGGAGAAGCCGTTTCCGATGGATAGTTCCCACTGTGCGGTTATGACGAGCCCGAAGGCAGCGGCGAAGAAGAAGTTTGCGATGAAGGCGTTGTAGATGGTTACGCCGCGCCATTCCATCAGGCCCAGTGATAGAGTTGTTAATGTTGTTGCGAAGACGCCTATTGGGAGTGCCGTCTACCACAGTTAGCCGGGCTCATATCCGAACTTTCAGGTAGACTTACGCCAGCGCCCAAACTCTTCGGTGCTGCTGCTGGTGCAGAGCCAAACTCGACAGTCCGCTGTTTCTCAACATCAGTGAGACCCACGCCAGTCTTCCCATTACGTTCTAAATCGTCCGTCGAAGTGTAGGTCGCCATGCTCGATTGCTCTGTTACAGCACCCCCATTTCATCATCGATCCACCTCCTTTTTACTTGTGCTTCTGACTATCCCGCCTCTCTTACGTTCACAAAGGCCTAAATGACGTGCTGCAACCATGCAACTTCTACTCCAAACGCGGGCCTCTCAGCCATGGCGATCAGGTCGAGAAAGGCTGAGTATCCGGGCCGTTGTGGATAATCGGCGCATGGTGGTGTTTGTTACAGCGAAGAAGTACCGAGATGTGACGCGCGCTACAATGGCATGATATGGCCATCATTCACAACCGCCAAGGGGAGAAGCATATCAATTACACGAAAGTTATCCAACGAGGCTTTCTACAAAACTCAAGCAATGTTACAGAAAGAACAATTCTCATTCTTAACTATTTGTCTATCTTAAACCGGCGAATAAGCGGTCAAGATACCACATGTAAGCCGGAAGTCACGGATAAAATAGTCTGTCGACGGTTTCGTAAACAACCACACCAGAGATGCAGCTTTTAGCTAACACTCCAAAAGTATACCCTGCCTATTTTACTCCAGCGCTAAACTTATTTCGCTCTACAATCACACCACCATTATATCTCCACTAACAACCACCCATCCTTAACAAAGCTATAGAAAAAAACCTGGTTTCCTAGTGCTTGTCAGAACGTAGGTATACGCCCACTACGCTATGCAACCAAAAAGGTACGTATGATCAGTGAAATCCTGATCATCGTGGTAGAATAGTATATATTGTACACCTCGCATTGCGTAGGCCTGACAGTGCTTAACCGGTTAAAAACTATAAGTAACAATAAGGTGTGGGTGACCCCCAAAAGAGGCCTAAGTTCAATTCTCCGATAATTCGAGGAGATTGTTTCGTCTTTTTTGCTGTTTTTTAATGTAGAAAAAATGTAGTCAACTAGTTAGGTGTTGATTTATAAAGCCGTAGGTAATAAGCCTATGTAGATGGAGCTTAATAGCCTAATAAATGTAACAACGAATACAAACTGAAAATCGTCCTTTTCCCAAGTAAAGTATAGAGTATAACTAACTAACGTATGTAAGATCTTAGCCCCAATCCCCATGAACGCATGTACCGTACTCCATACCCCGCATCCCATGGCATGATGATCCTAGTCCAAGCACGCAATCTCCTACCCCAATGCGCACATCACGTCAAAGCGGAGTAAAGGACGACGTGTGGTGGTGGCGCCATCTCTCGACATCATGGTGCAAAACCGTTCTTTTGCAGGATTGGAGTAGAACACACACGTCTGATTATTGGATTTCCGTTTGACTATATATATGGTTGTAGCACATAATGGCGACGCAACATACACACAAGAGAGTAAAAACGCAACATACGGATACGGATACCACAATGGCGGAGAGCAATGATAACAACAGTGTCGCGTATACACCCGCCGAACCACTACCTATAAACTCGGATCCAAACCGCGTGTTATTCGCGTAAGTCCCTCCCCTCAGTAAACTCAACACCCTCTCCACCACACCCTCAACTCACATCAACAACCAGATACTGGGCCCCCAACGTATCCGGCGGCCTCGTAATCTCCAAAGTCCCCCAACGAACAAACTGGGACCTCCCCTCCAACATCCGCTACGCCCGGCTCGCCGAAACGCACGGCTTCGAATACGCCCTCACGCAAATCCGCTTCACAGCCGCCTACGGCGCGACCAACCAACACGAAAGCATCACGCTGTCGCAAGCGCTGCTGCACCACACGGAGCGACTAAAAGTCATCGCGGCTATCCTACCAGGTCCGCTCACGCCCGTCGTCGTGGCCAAGCAAATCGCGTCCATTGACAACTACACCAACGGGCGCGTCGCCGTGAACATAGTGTCCGGGTGGAATAAATCCGAATTCATGTCCATTGGCGAGTGGTGGCTGGAGCACGCGGAGCGGTACCGGCGGTCCAACGAGTTTATCCGGTGTTTGCGCGGGATATGGACGGCGGGGGCGGACGAAGGGTTTACGTTCAGAGGAGATTTTTACCGCTTTACAAAGTATCATCTCAGTCCGAAGCCGCTGCAGAAGCCACACCCGGAGATTTTTCAAGGTGGCAATAGCGATGATGCGAGGGTGAATGGCGCCGAGGTGAGCGATTGGTACTTTATGAATGGGAACAACTTGGATGGTTTTCGCGAGCAGATTGCTGATGTCAAGGCGCGGGCGGCGAGGGTGGGGCGGGAGTCCGAGGTCAGATTCGCGGTTAATGGGTTCGTGATTGTGAGGGATACCGAGGAAGAGGCGTTTCACGTGCTGCGTGAGATACAGGGCAAGGCGGATACGGAGGCGGTGGCTGCGTTTGCGCATGCGGTTAAGCAGGCGGGTGCCAGTACGGGGAATAAAAAGGGCATGTGGGCGGATAGTAAGGCTGAGGATTTGGTGCAGTATAATGATGGGTTCAAGACGAAACTGATTGGCACGAAGGAGCAGATTGCCGATCGGATCTTGCTGCTCAAGGCGCTGGGTGTGGGCTTGGTGCTTACGGCATTTTTGCACTACGAGGAAGAGGTTGAGCGGTTTGGGAAGGAGGTGCTGCCGTTGGTGAGGCAGTTGGAGGCAGAGGGGAGGGGGAGGGATGTAGAGGATGAGATTGCGAGGACAGGGTGGGTGTATGAGAAGAAGTGAGGAGTGCGGTAGGAAAGGCGTTGAGGAAGATGCTGAAGTATGCAAATCTAAAATCTAAAAGATAGTTCAATAACACATGAAGAGAAGCGTGCAAGTGTACATGTGGAAGAACAAAACTGATACCTTAGCGGCCCTCCAGCCTCAAGCGATCCCGACTTCTGCCCTCGTCCCGCCTTGCGACGAGAAACCACAAACTGCTAATCCAACAAAGCACTACACCAACCCATGTCTGTGCTGGACTCTTGAACAGAGTAATAGCAACGAGTTGAAACGCGCCTCTCGGAACAGCCACAAAAGTTGCTGACAGCGGCGAAGTGGCCCTGACCAGCAGCAGCATGCCCGAGAAGACGGCCCACGATCCCATACCACCAAACAACATCATGGCCCAGAAAAAGGGCACATCAAGGAAGGGAATGTTGTGGTAGATGTGCGGGACCTCGCCGGAGAGGACAACAATGGGCGTCAGAATCATCAGCGAGAGGATAGAAGTGTAGTGTAGGGTGCGGTAGAAAGCGCGAGTTTCCTCCCTATTGCCTGCCTCTTCTCCGCTCGTCGGGTATCCGGTGAGGACATCGCCCGACGGCACGAGGCCGGCGACAATAGTGCGGTATGTACGGAGAAGGAGAATTGGGTATAGAGCGACGAAGATGGAGGAGAAGACGCCGGCGACGACCGACTCCCAGGTGACGCGGACGTTTGAGCGGTACGAGGCGAAGAAGAGGTTTAGGGTAGCGACGAGGGCGGAGGAGAGGGTGCTGGCGTTGAAGTTTTCCTTTTGGAGGACGCAGGAGAAGATGATGGCGAGGGGCGTTATGCCGATGCGGGCGAGTTGGTAGGTTGGGAGGGGCGCGTAGCTAGTATGTGTTAGTCTGTGTGGGTGTGTATAGACGCGAACGACATACGCAAACGAAAAGTTGCTCAGTAGCACTTTTACGACAAAGACTACGGCGAGTGGAAGCACCTGCTTTGCAACTTGCCAATCAAACTCGAATAGACCGCCGCCTGCAATGCCTCCTGAGCCATTCGACAGCCAGCGTGCGAAGGCGGAGATGCCAGGCTTCCTACTGCCTCTAAAGGCTCCCCCCTGTGGTGCTGCTGGTTGCGAGGGCGGCACGGCGGCCCCGAAGCCAACGAAATGTAGAGGGTTGCTGGAGAAGCGCAGGAGGCTCGAGATGAGGATGAGGAGGATATGGGTGATGATGAGCTGGAGGTACGACTGCGTGAGAGGGAATGGGAATCTAGTCTCCTGTTAGCCTATGCCACCCACTTGAGACGTATTCCCTCACTTGTAGACGCCTGTCAGCATGATGAAGCGGTTCATGAGCAACAATCCAAAGCTACAGCCTCCAATCCAAAAGACCAGCAATCCAATCCACAACTGCCAGCCCTGCCACGTGCCAAAGAAGAAGGCACCTGGGCCCCCTTGTTGCCAGAAGCCTCGAAAGGCGCTGCTTCCTTTGCCTACATGATGGCTGACTAACGGCCGTATGCTGCTCGCCGCTTCATAGTCATCGTCCTCGTCCTCGCTCTGTGCGGCGCTTCGATTGCGCGGGTATGGGCTGTTGCTGCGACTCCCAATGTCAATCAGCGGCACGGCAGGCTGCAATTCCGACTGCGAGTTGTGTGTCGAGTGAGAGCGTCGAGACGTCTCCATTTGGGCGTAAAACTCGACGTCGGAGTGATCCGTGTCGTCGAGAGAGCTGGCGCTGTTATTGCGTCTACGCGCATAAGTGTCCTTTCTCTTTCTGTCCTGGGCCGGGATCTGTGCCGCCGCGCTACGTGAGAGATTGCTGAGGAAGTCGAGGGGTTTACGGAAAGTGTTCTGGGTCGTCCGAGTGAAAGCACGCGTGGAATTCATCATGGCCGCTGCATTGCGCAAAGGAAAGAAGGCGACGACATGCTGACGGTTTGGCCCTGGCCTGGTCATAAAAGTTGAGCACAGGCAGATACGAGGCCATTGGACCCTGACCTCAAGCTTGGCCTGGGCTTATCACGTGTCCTCGCGAGGAATGTGGGAAACACCAACATGGCTTAGTCCATTATTTGACCATCTTCCGATTGCCCTCGCCGACGGAGCGGGTCGCTAACTTGACCGGGACCGGAGATTTATTTTCTTTGGGTCGAAGGATTCGCTTGCACCTTGGGCGGAACATGCGCCAGACTACCAACAACACTTCAACATTCCATGAACATCAGATTATCATTGGTACAATATCTTGCTGGCCTTTTGCGATTCCACAGCATCCACCTCATGAAGCTGGCCATACGCGACCGGTCGCGGCATCCCTGTACTGCTCTTCCCCCTCTCCCCATCCTGACTATCGTGTCTCTCCCTGCCATCCTGCTCCTCAAAAATCACCGGATCCACACCCTTCCATCCAAGCGCAATCTTCTCCTCGACCATCTTTACAACCTTGTTGCAGACCTCCCTATGCGCCTCCTCCATCTTCCCCTTGACAAACGGCATCAGCCACCATGAACACGTCACTTCCACGTCCTCGACAAGAACCCATTCCGCATCGCCCACATCACCCCCCTCTCCCTCAATCTCACTGCCCACATCCCCTCCCCGAATGACCCTAAACTCCGCCCGCACCGTCACACCCGCCGCCGCATCCGCTCGCGTCTTGATCCCATGGCGCGTGTCCTGGAAGCTAGAGGGAAAGGTAATGTACTTTTTGCCGTAAGAGCCGATACCAGGGCACCACGTTATGCACTCTGTGACGTTGTACGTCGAAAGTGGGTACTGGTCTGGAGGATACCAATAAGTATCTTTGAGCGTCGCGGGAGGTGTGGAAGGCGCCTTGGTGTGTCCGCATGTTAGGGCTTGTAGGTTGAGTGCTGTAGAGTGGTCATGCAGAGCTGCCACGACGCATTCTGGTGGCATGTGAGAGGGAATTCGATGAGCGACATGGAGGTTGTGTTTAGCGCTCATGACTGGACCGGCTGAGGCTGCGAGATTGATCGTGAATATAACCTGGTGGTTGAGACGGATTTGCGATGACAGTATGGTGTCGCGAGTAGCGAGAGTTTGGAGTCGAGTCAGCCGTGTTGCACGCAGTGGGACAAGTCGTAATGGTAAGTAATGCGTATTTCTCCAATTAGAAACTACAATTAACAAAAGCTAGTAGTTTGATAGTGTGATGTGATGTGATGATCGGGGCAAGCAGGAATAGATAAGCCCAAAGCCCGAGGATGAGTGAGCAAGGGGGCGTGGCTGTGTGTGGAGAGTGCTAATGCATATTGTGTTGCTGACTGAGGCGCTGCTAACTAGAGGTGAAACGGGACTTTCGGCCTTCTGTGACAAAGTTCCATCCTGGTCGAAGCGCACATGTCATGGCGCGCGGCGGCTTCTCCGCTGTACCTACCACCCGGGTGTTATAAATTACTGGACATAGTAGTGTAAAATAGCCACTGTAGTCGCCAGACACGTCTATTGGGTGCTTACCTACACTGTCCAGTGTTTTATGTCACCCAGGTGCTATTGTTTCTGGGGCGAGTCGTGCACACGTCGTGGACGCACGTGACGTCACAGTCTGACTGAAGCTGATACACCGCTCTCGCCCACATGTCCGCATCTTGACTCTATGCTTTGATGTGGGTTCTGCTGTGTCGTAGTCGCTGTCACCAACATTCATGCTTTACGGTATGTCCCTCGAACTTCTATGCACGTTATTTGACCCAGCGACGTGGCATCGTCTAGGTGCGTCATTACTACCGGCGGTACAGGCATGCACCTAGCTTGTCAACACTTCAATCAGGCTGTGAACGCACTAGAGACACCCAAAAGAGGTTGCTTTTTGTGTAATAGGGCCGCACCGAGGTCAGCACAGACCCTGACCCGAAAGCGGACCCCATAGTATCCGGAAAATGATTGATAGTCGTTTACTGTCCGGATAGCGCTATAGTTGTGGTAATATGACAAGGCACGTGTTTCTACTCTGAACTATGCGCAATATGCTGACACAATAGAGTCGCAACAGATTGGCGAGAAACACAGAACGAGCAAACATTCCACTGCCGTGTGACAATGTGTGAGCATGGTGATCTGAAACGGGGAGCTCCCATATGCTGTGTAACAGTGACTGCGCCTCGCTCGTGCTTTCAAGTCGAGGTATTGCTGTGCGGGACAGTCATTCCTCTCTTTTGCTCAAGGTCGAAATCTATTCATCTCTTCCATAATGCTTGAGAAGGCATCTAATCTGGTGGGAAAGAAGAGGAGGAAAGCGTCGTCGCCATTTACACATGCCTGGAAGAATCATCCGCGGGGGTATCCGATGTTGGCGGAGCGCATCGCAGTAAAGCCCGAAACAGGTATTTACCGTCGATTCGACGCCCTCAATGCTCGACACCTACTCTATCTCCAAGCAGAACTTTGTATCCTGGAGAAAGACATACAGGAGCAGGAGAAATCGGACAGAAATGATAAATGCGGGAAACGGACGACCTTCGCCACGGATTACCAAAGAATGTTGGAAAGACCGTCAGATGAGGAGAATCCACAACTCGAGTTGATTCAGGAGATGCATGAAAAGTTGAACAGGTACAGTAAGTGAGTACACCTGGACTCTGACACGACAATTTGTTGACGTTGAGGTGATGTACAGACAAAGCGCTCATACAGCTGTCTATACTCCACAAGTTGGAAAGGCCGGACAGTTTCGACCTCAACGATATCCAGTGGTTCCTGCAAAGCAAGGATCTTGAGCCAGACTTTCTCGTAGGCGGGGACTCAAGGACGTGGGGCTTCCCGGACGAGCCCGATGACCACCCACCCGACCTTGTTGGCGTCCGTCAGCGCAAGAAAGAAGACGACTTCTCTCGCTTCATATCGGAGAATGCGATACACCTCTTCAAGTGCGGCCTCGGCCGTCTAAAAAAGGACGACGCACATCTGGGTAGAAAGGTGTACTATGATTCCACTGTGCTGAGGGTAACATCTTGGATGACGTGTATCTTGGCGTCGATGCTGCCTATTGCTTCGATACTAGTCCTGGTACATCTCGAATCGCTAAAGACGAAACTCTTGGTGGTTGGTATTTTCAACGTACTGACAAGCGTATGCCTAAGGACGTTTACCGGTGCTACACGCTCTGAGGTCTTTTCTGTGACAGCTGCGTGAGTGTACCTTCTGTGTTACGTGTATAGGCTGACAATTGTAGTTTTGCTGCTGTTCAGGTTGTGTTCGTGAGCGGAACAGACAGCAAGCTCAGCGGCTGATCAGCCCGAATGACATTGCGGTGCCCACAAGTGACCTCGGGATCGTGATGCTTCTCGCAGAGACGCGGGCAGGTATACGGATCGATCCATCCGTCTGAGAAAAGGAGCGAGCAAAATACATCCGTCGTTTCAGTATTCGAAGAGAGGCGAAAGACGTCGTTTGGAGAATTCGCCAAGCACAGATATACCTAGGTACCGAGGCAGTAATCGACGGAATGAAAGTAGAAATAGGAAAGTCTAGATTCTAGCAACGCATTTCAACGTCTTATTGCAAGAAATGTCCTGATTGCGCCAATCAAACCATGTCCAGGTGGAGCCTTGGACCCTGACATCCGAGCGTTCCATGCCAAGACACCCCCAGTCGCGCTAAACTACCCACATCTGACCTCTCCCTGCTGCGAAAACACCAACCGCAGGCCACTCCGCTCTGACAGGACCGATTGCATCCCATGAGCGCCAGGAGTGCCTCGTACGTGATGTCGCTTACTATATCACCACCAATTACCCAACTGGCCAATTCCTATGGAATCATGCCAGAAACTAGTCGGCCCGTGGCCATGGCAGCTACTTGGCTAGGTCGTCACATGCCATCAAATCTCTCAATACCTTCGCATACCCCCTATGCCTGTTACCACGATTGAATACACACACAGTAAGGTGGAATGTCTACGATACGAACCGATCTGATCTTATGTGACTGCAACCACGACTTGATGCCTGTAATGCCGATCCATCCCAACTCCAACATCTGATCCAGGATCCCGGACATCCGCAATGCTAAGAAACGTCAGCGTAAGCCAAGTATAACCCCGCAATCTGGCCATTGTACCGTATTCTGGGCAGGGATTCTGAACATATCACCATGTGTTCTCGGGTGCCACAATTGGGTCTCAAGACTTGTCGCAAGGTTCACGGTATTTGAATCAGGCGCCAACAGCTCGGCACGATACCGATCGGGAGGCATTGCCTGTGACATGCATAGCGGAACCCTATGATTCAAGGCGCAGTTCCCCACCTAGGGCATCTCTCCTAACCCCAGATCCATCCTACCGATATTGAAGGGTTGGGTTGTCTCGGACCATATCTTTTCACGGAAGCGAAGCTACGGACCGCCAAGTTTTATGATGCACCTCCCCGGAAAGAGGCTCGGAAGAGCAATACTATTGACTAAAACTCCAGATCTACGCCGATGATCCTGGTCGGTGCCGTGTCCTTATAAGGAAATGGATGTTCGCAACACTGACAAACTTTCGGTTGACGTCTCTTCAACTCTCCCCTATACTTGCATATTGATCCCTCACGACTGAAGCACGATGAGCGACCGCGAATACAAAGGGTCGCAAGACGAGAAGGAAGAGGCATATAGTCCGCCTGCCACATACAGCAATGCGACGGACTATGAGTTCGACCAGGTTGAGGAAAAGAGGCTGATACGTAAAATCGATTGGAGACTACTGCCCATTCTTGGCGCCCTTTACTCCATTGCACTGATTGACCGAACCAATGTATGTCATCGCTCTCACAGCATTGTTCAACCACTGACCCGACTTAGGTATCCAACGCGCGAGTTGCAGGGATGGACAGGGACCTAAAACTCTTCATCGGAGACCGATACACAATCGTCTTGGTTATGTTTTTTCCTACATACTTCCTGCTCGAGCTTCCATCCAATCTGGTTCTGAGGAAAGTCGGAAGCGCCAATTGGCTCTCCTTCATTGCCTTATCGTGGGGTGCTGTCATGATCGGGCAAGGTTTTGTCAAGAGCTGGATCTCGCTTACCATATGTCGTGTGTTGCTTGGAGCCTTCGAGGCGGGCTTCTTCCCGGGCTGTGTATATCTCATTACCTGCTGGTATAAACGATACGAAGTACAGAAACGGTAAGCCATCTTCTCCTCGCCATCCTCTAATAATCACCACTTATACCATGTCCAGATTGGGCGGCTTCTACCTCTTCTCAGTTGGCATTGGCGGCGTTGCAAACATCCTGGCATACGGCCTCATGCAAATGGATGGCACTGCCGGCATCCGCGGCTGGTCTTGGATTTTCATTATTGAGGGGATCATTACATGCGTCGTCGCCATCATGGCATGGTTCATGATTCTGGATTTCCCCGACAAGGCCGAAAAGACAGGCTTCCTCACCTCAGCCGAAGCGAAAGCGATCCTATACCGAATCGAAGAAGATCGAGGAGATTCGGTAGCAGACCCCCTGACATGGCCCAAGTTTTTCGAACACCTAAAAGACCTAAAGCTGTGGGCATACGGCACACTCTTCATGGGCGCCACAATGCCAGCCTACGCATTCTCCTACTTCCTACCCGTCATCCTAATCGGCATGGGCTACTCCGCCGGCGCCGCAAACGCTCTCTCCGCGCCCCCTTCCTTCGCCGCCATGATCGTCGCCTTCTTCTTCGCCTGGATGGGCGACAAATACCGCGTGCGCGCCCCCATCATCGTCACGCAATGCCTAATCACCATGACGGGCCTCATGATTGTCGCATACTCGACCAACAACGGCGCCCGCTACTTCGGCACCTTCCTCGGTGTCGCCGGCTGCCAGGGCAACATTCCCGCCATCCTCGCCTACCAGAGCAACAACATCCGCGGCCAGAGTAAACGCGCGGTCGGTAGCGCTCTGCAGATTGGCTTTGGTGCTATTGGTGGCATCCTTGCGTCCACGACGTTTAAGCAAAAGGAAGCGCCGTTGTATAGGACGGGGCTTTGGGTCACGGCCGCTCTGCAGTTTTGGATGATTTTCGTGCTGGGCTGTACGAGTGTGTATTTTTGGAGGAAGAATGGGGTTGTTGATGCGCAGGCGGCGAATGGGGAGGCTTTGGATGAGAGGGAGGGGCAGGCAGGGTTTAAGTATACTTTGTAGGAAGTTGGGGGATGAGATATCGGTTTTTGTGTATATATGTTTGGCATTACGATGAAGTGTTTTTTGTGATCCGAACTATGTTGGTATTGTTGTTGTAGAGTGGAGAGTGTGCTGTGTGCCTTTAGAGTAGACTGAGAGTAGTCACGCACCGTGATCGTCGTCGATCATCGTATGCGACATCTCGATGACCCTTTCTCTTTCCGAACCCATTACACTCAGTGAGGGAAATTGTCGCCTGGTAGATATGCTGCTACTTGTGTTATACGTGGGCTCTCCCATTAATGTCATCATTTTCTGAGAATGTTGTCGTGGATGGAGCAGCAGATATCATCACACATAATACTGACTGATTTTCACCGCGGACTCTAGTTTGCGCGCGAAAATATTCGTGCTATATGACAATTAAGTTTCTGAGCCGTCTCGCCTGTATGTTTGATCTAGCGAGAATCGGGGATGATTGTAGTGACTTCAACACGTGTCGCGAGCAATCGTCTACGCTGTTCATGCTCATTCGAACGTGAACAAGATCATCTGGAGTGATACGGAGCATGATATGGTATAGCAATCTGATATCTGCTACATTGTATATGAAGAAAAGTAGAGTGCAGCTATGATATCAGCCAATCCATTGTTCAGGACCTTCTCACTAACGACTTTTCTAGATCCATGGCAACAGCCGGCCACCGAGGGCAAAAATTACAACGTGCTAGTCAAAAGAGTCTTATAGGGGCAGACAGGCAAAGGGACTTACTAATAAAGCTCCGGAACGACGCCAAAGCCCTGCCGACAGGCTGGATTTGTTGTGGACTGACTCAAGCGACACAACCAGCCGCCCCAAATCACCGCACCCAAATGATTCCAAGCAGTAGCAGAAGCATCCCGGTTTCGAGCAGTAGCAGAACTATCACGACTTCAAGCAATAGTAGACACGTCCCGACTTCGAGCAGTAGCAGAAACGTCCTTACTTCGAACAGTAGCAGAAACATTACGACTCCGAGCAGTAGTATACACGTCCCGACTGCGCAGGCGCAAGGCCAGTCAAACATCAATCGAACAGTCCAGCACTTCAACGACAGCAGAGATAATAGGAACTGTGCTGGCCCAGGATGTTCTCATCAAAAATGCCCTACATGCATCCTGGTCAGGTATGATCGAGCAACCAATGTGGATGATGTTTTCACAGAACAAGACTATTATATCCATATCCCAAACGCCGGCGATGCAGATGGATATGGCTGGGCTCACAACATAGCCGGTTGTCTGGGGTACCACAAGACTTCCGATCCTCCCCACAATTGTAGAAGATGTGGATCGACTGTTATGTACCGACCGCATATTGTGTTTACGCGAACGGTAAGATCGTAGTGGTAGATAATTCTATAGTCATTCATTTCATGAATCTTAAGAAATTCGATCAGCGAATAGGTGTCCCTAGATGCATCTTAATTAATCCTCACATCTCCTGAATCTTGTGAAAAGCGTTTACTACACACTAAGAGCTGTAAGGTCAAGACTTCATTGACACTGCATACTGTAGATATAATCTCCAACCAGCATCAAACTACCGTATCTTATGCCACTCCCCGTAGAAAATCTCCGGTACACAAGTCTCAATCGCGAATTTTCCTGCTATTTCACTGACATACACCAGCCTAGACGACTTCAGCACCGTATTTTCAAAGTCTCGGAGACGTACACCACATTTCTAACCTCCAGCAGTTTATATTCAAGACCCATATCCCCTGCACTGCATCACATCGTCTTCCTCGCTCGCGTATGCCATCCCAACTCTGAACCCTTACCCAACCTGATTCAAGCCAACCAGACATATGCCAGTATCTCTCCCACTGAACGGCGTAGCTCAAAGCCTCCATATGCAAAATCATTTGCAATCAAAACTATCCCACCATGGAAGCAGGGCGTATCGGGGCCGCATGTGCATGGAGACACGATCTTGCATACCGCGTCGCGATCTAAGATTCTATCGGTTTGCCGATGCGTTAACGTGCGGCATCAAAGCGCTGCCATTCGACGAGGCACGTGGTTTTTTTTTGTTGAATGCAGGGTATCACGCACGTTGTAGACGCGATGACTTAGTGTTCGATGTGATACCCTTTTGCCAGTGTAGTGGACCCTTAGAAAAGAATTGTTCCCGGCCGCTTTTCAGCCACTGGAATGGTTGGGCTGGAGTTTGTAGTAAATATTAGCATGAGGAGCTGTCTCTGAACTATTCTCATTGCAGGCAAGTCTCCGGACTGACCTGCTGATCGCAACCGTTCCATTACTGTAATGTTCGAGATGGGCTTTACGGGGTCCGAAAAGATCAAGTACGCAATTCAGGCCATCAGGCTATCAGGATTGCATTCAAGGGTTCACCATCCGGTCGTAAGGGGTCCTTTTCAATAGCTCCGTTCCGTTCCTTTCCCCTAGCTTCACATGCAGCTTACACGGCATTACTATCTGGCACTTGAACATGCATGAGAAAAGTGCTTGTACATAGGGCATGTAGAAGACGCCACGTCACGCTACAGTAGTTAGACCGCTTGTCCAAGTTGGTAGAGATATATGCAGGTGCGCAGATGGTGATTCCGGCTTTAGGATTGGATTATCAGAACGATGGGTGATCGCGCTGGAGGTTACCCTGGTTTTTACGAGAGGGATAGTGTGTTTGGTTACGTATGGGAAGTCTCAGGAGGGATGAGGGGTATACTTTTAGCCGTCCTGGTTGGGTGTCTGATAGTGCATCTGATAGCGCATCTGAAGTGAAAGTACCTACCCTGAGACCACTTACGCAGGGCAGCAGCATGTAGTCCCTCACGGCAGCGTAGCCGTAAACCCTTTTCCTGGCAGTTAAAGCAGCGTGACAGCCGTAAAAAGACGATAGACAAGACGTAATCATCTTTGCAGTAGCGCGTATCGGTACTGTACTTTTGAAAGACTTATACGAGCATAATTACACTTGTACCGTGATTATACTGATCGCGTCCACGTTTTTGCTGCTAAAATGGTAATTTGTCTCATCTTTTTCCCCCTGGATTGGTAGGAAGGGGGTATCTTTCCAGGCCCTTATGACCACAGCTCCATATGCCGAGGGTACCATATAGGCTAGAGCTTCTCTTCGATGCGCAGATTCGCTGCGTCGATGTAATCTTTTGCAGTCCTTCTTGCTGCGGTAGTTTTGGACACCTCGTCGGGGTACGTCGGGGTACCATACACCACACGCCCTGTGCAAGAAACACCCCCGAACACTCTGCAGAAAAAACATCCATATCGCTGAAGATGAACAAACGCCGGTTGGTACCAATAATGGGGCGACCATGAACCTGTTCCGAGCAGGGAATCTGCCTGTCTACTCGCCTTGTACCCATCTCTTGGGACCTTGCTAGGATCGCAAGTTTTAGATGTACCATAAATCGCACGGTACACAGTCACATTCCCACTCGACTAAATAAATACCCGTACCGTACCGTACAGCTACCTGCGGCACCCATACACCCGCCAACCTCCCAAACCACTCTTTTCTCCCTCCATCTATATATGCGTATCGTTCGTGATCTCCGCGCGCGCGGAAAGTTCCCTTTTCAACGTAAATTTGGTTGGCATCGGTAGATGCAAATATCCATGGATGTAATCAATTTCTGCTGTAAGGTGTGCGTGAAGCGGAGATGCTGATATTTTCTTGGTGAGAGGGGGGCGGGTAAGTGGATATGGTATTTTAGGAGGGGATGCTAGGGTGGGGGAGGTGTAAGGGGAGGTGTGAGGGGGGTGTAAGGTAGGTAGGTAGGTAGGTCATAGAACATTCCTCCAACTTACCAGTAACATAATAGTACCCCCCAGCTCTCCGCCTCCTCAGCCGAACGAGTCCACAGCATAAACACATCCAGTAACCCTCTGTTTCAGCATTTGTTTTTGCGCGTGCAATGCCAAAGTCTGAAAGAGAAAAAAACCGGAACAAAGTTTCCAGTCTGAATTTGTCACAAGTTTCAAACGCGTGGGTAAGTAGTCGAAAAGCCAAGCTGATCAGAACAACGTTGCAGAGCGCCAAAGCCAGCTGGCTGTATAATAACAAGGTTTATTTATACACGTATACACAAAGAGGACATAGGGGAGCTAGAGTATATGACCGCCAAATCTAACTATAGCGCTCAACACCAGCCTCAGCGCAACGAACAACTAAAAAATCAGCTGATCATCGTACGCCCTCACACTCTCCAACCTCTCCCTCACCGCCTTAGGATCCTTACAAACATGTCTACTATCCCACCCATCGCTCCCCCCATTATGATCTGGGAACGTAGTTTCCAACCCTTCCAGCGCCATATCCGCACTGCACATGATGGCCTGACGCATGTAGTCGAAGCAGTGAATCATGTGCCAGTGGTGGTCGTCTTCGAGGGTGTGGCCGGACGTCATACCTGAGTAGACGGCGACGACGGCGTAGAGGCAGTGCAGTTGGTGCGTCATTGATGTTGTGTAGACGGTGGCGTTGGGCCAGGTTATGGGTGTGGGGAGGTTGTTGTAGTCTTCGGGGTTGGGGATCGATTGGAAACCCATGCCGACTGGTGGGGGGGTTAGTGGAGGGGGAGTGATGGGTGGGGTGGGGTGGGCTTACTGGGCATGAGTTCGTTCCATGCTTGGAGGACTTCGGGCTTGAAGAACTCGGATGTGTTATAGGGGGCAAAGGTCTGGTTGATCTTGAATTGGGTGATTGTTGTAGGAACTGGATGCGGTTGTGTTAGTTTTGTGTTGGGGTTTGAAGTGGTGTGCGGATTCGTACGATGAGGTGACCACCCTGTGATGTCTCCACCAACATCGTGTTCGCTGGTTGAGGGCGTCCTTCCAAGCGAAGATTGTAGCAGTCCTTGGTCTCTTGCCAATAGCCCGATGATGATGAGTTGTAGTCCAATTACAAGAACCCATTTCAACGCAGCTACCGCCCGCAGACACATTACGTTCCCTCTTGACGGTGGTGCTCTGTTATGGTAATCGCCAGCTTGCCATTGTTTTCCTCCAACTAATGATTCCACCTCGGTTGATGAGTCGTCGTCATGGTGTTGGTCCTTTACGTCTGCGTAGTAGTGCTGTGGCTCCATCATGTTGGTATAATGAATACTTGACGCCTGGTCAGTGTGAAAATAGTTATTAAGAAGAAAGAATGAGCGCAGCTGAGGAACCAAAGGCTGCAGCCTCGCGGCTAGAAGAGTATATACGTGCCAAGCATTTCATCCAACACGGAACTGTTGCCGCTGTCGCGTTTTGCACTTTTACGTTGACGTGCTCCGGGACGGCTGACCAGGACTCGTATGCGTGTCACACGGGCTTGCGGAAACCAGGAAAACCGAATGCGCACTGTGCGAATAATCCTTGTCTCGTCAGGATGGTGGTTTGAAACTGTCGATGAAATCGCCAAGAGTGTGAGACATCCCGTCTCCCGTCTCCCGCTTTCCAAGCGAGGATAGCGTGAAACCCAATGTGGACTTCGCTAGCGTACGTTTGTACGAGGCAACTGGAAGAGAAGCCAATGAGTTTTCTAGACTACACGCAGGTAGAAGGGCGAGGCTCCACGAGGCTGATTTCATATGAGACAAGGACCGTTTGGCATGCCGGTGGGCGGGGAAGACGACGAAAGCAGTAGCCTACTGAGACGGCCTCGTGCGCCATGGAGAAGGTGATTGGATTCGTGTGAGGATTTTGCTAAGTTTGTGTGTTCACGGCGGCGAAGAAAACCGAGTTTTGTGTAAGAAGAAAGAAGAAGTAGTAGAGGAATGGTGTGAGTCAAGATTTGAGGATGTATTTTTTGATTCGATATAGCTGTAGGTGGGTCCAGTGTGTGTGCTGCCAGCATGCACCATACAAAGGCGAACCAAACGCCCAAGAGTTCTAGAATCCCGCGACACGTTTAGGGTCGACGTGACAGCTGTATCCATACGTTACTCTTGACTTCATTGCCGATGTTTGCGATGTGTTTCGTAGCTTTGCGACACCGAGGTCACGCATCAATAGGTCAAAGGTGAAGGCGCAGCGACAGATAAAACGCGGCCCCGTTTATCTTTCCGCGCCAGCGACCAGGCTCGGAAACATCGCCTAGATGATGCGGCTCTCAGGTCATGCGTGATGGGACGAAGAATAGACTCACTATTTATATATAAGCGGTCGCGAAAGCGCGTTGCAGCAGGCTTTGGATTGAAATTCTACCAACAGATAATCCTATGCTGCATGCAGAAAGAAAAAAGTCGGGAGAATATACTGGCGTACGTACGTACGTTTGCTACACGCATGAAGAACAACGCCACGGGAGATACTGACGGACGTACAAGTATGATGGTCAGTTGGTGTAGGAGAAGGCAAGTAAAAGCGTCAGGCAGTACGGGTGAACACCGGCAAACACGACTGGCCTCCTCCCTCTCAACGCTTGACACACAAGTCGGTTCTGATGACCCATTTCTCGCCGCTGGTGACTTCACGTCCCTCGTGCAGCATGCAGTCGGCGCCATGACGATGCAGCAATGCAAGTCCAACCTGAAGCCCAACTGCAATGGGATCAGGAGGTGGATCCTTGCTCTTCTTCTTTGGTGGTTCTGGATAGAAGACTGTCTCTCCACCGATGCATCCCGTGGCGGGCGAAGTGAGGTAGAGAAGCAATGTCCAGGTGGTACGCGTTGCCACAGGCGGGTTGCCCGGCATGGTGACGTTGTTGGAATCATCATCTGCGTCGGTTAGCGCGACTCGAATGATAGTGGGAGAGTCATAGCAAGGTACAGTGTTGGTCGAAGAACTGTCCCCTGGAGTAACGGTAGATGCGAATGTTGGGATTGAGGCCCACGACTTGGCCGCCCCACAGCTCCTTCCGTTGTTCGTCGCTTAGGGCAGCGCCGGTGATCAGACCCTCGAGCGCAGTCTCGGTCCATAACTTCTCTGCAAAGGCAGCGTCGTCGATCTGATAGCGGTCGTTCACTCGCACCGCGTCGCCTTTCTTCGGCTTTCCTGGCGTCGTGGTCAAGGGGAGCGAAGAGAGGAACGAGACGTAATTCCTGCACAAGGATGCCGTCCATAGGTTGGGGATGGTGACAATCTGGTTGGGAACCGACTCTTCAAGCGCAACATCCGACTCTGGTATCAGAGGGCTCAAAGCAGGCCAGTTTGGTAGCTGGCGCGTGGGCTGGGTTGAGCCGGGAAGAGATGCGCTCGCTGCACCTGACGGTGTCTTGGTCTTCTTCTTAGGAGCCATACAGTTTGTTATTTTGGTTCAAAATCTTTGACCCTTCTCTTGTGTTGCGCGCGATTGGTGTGCTAGTGAGGGCGATGGGAGAGGGTCTGTCTAGTTCGCTCTTACTTGGAATCAAGAAGCGCATTCACTCGATCTATGTGCCTCTCCCGTCCGCCCGTCCTTGATTCTATGGTATTCTGGCCGCGACCCGATATTTTTCTTCTTCCAATCCAGGCCACTTCCTCTTCTCATTCGTAACAATCGCCGGAATATTGTATAGACTAATTATCAGCCATGGGTTCTCCCGAGGATGCAAATAAAGTACATCCGGCAATATTCGATATCAGTTTCCAACAATCTTTGAGTTTGTACTCGCGACTTGGATGGGAGAGTGTCTTTGAAGGTCACATCAACGACGATGATCGTGGTGAACGCCAAGCTGCACGTGCAGGACGAGTAGGGCCGGCGCAAGCCTCTCACAGCCAGGCTCGACCGACGTGCTCCGACGCCCTCAACTCGCTGCCACCGGAGTACACCAGCTTCTCACGACTGGAAAACGAGCCTTGGCCGGTTTGCACCCCTCTGGCCTCCCTTCACCGTACTCGTACGTATTGCGCCGCACCGAGACACAGCTCACCGGCAGTCTGGGCGAAAAAAGAAGCGCGCCGCTAACCTCCAGACAAGCAGCTGCAGAGGCCCTCATCCACCCGTGGGCCGCCAACTTCTCCGACCATCATACGCTTCTCAGCCACTACGCAATCTTCGAATATGGCGGCGGCAGCATGGCCGTAGCCCCTTCTTCAGTGCAGCAAAATCATGTCCACCCCCAATATGAAAGTCCCGACGCCAACTTCCTGTCTGCCCCCCAAGAGCGCATTCCCGACATGGAAGCCGCGACCAGCGATGCGTCGGCCATGGCCGCAAACATGGCCGACGACACCAACACGCCTGCCCATCACGACGTGATGGACCAATCGCTCACAACCGCCATGCCGTCGCTCGATTCCGCAATCAACTTTGCGCAGCCGGCCCAGCTCAACAGCGCCGACATGAGCAGCATGCCCATGGACATGGACATGACGGCGCTTCAGCCCATGGAGCAGTTCCTGCCTCCCACCACCAATGAGCGCCTCACTGCCTTTGCGCGTCTGCGCTTCGATGACGGCTCCTATTACATGCACACGTATCAAATCACCCTCGGTCGCAACCTTTATCTAGCCCACCGGGACATGAAGCGCCTTGCCAAAGCTGATGCCCTCAACGCCATGGGCCAGCCCGAGGCGGCAGAAGAATATCTCAAAGGCAGAGAAGACAAAAAGGACAAGAAGAAAAGGCGCGATCGGCGCCCAGCCCGCAGCGTCATTTCTGAAAAGGGTGGCATCGTCAGCGCGCCCATTGAGCACATGCCCATCGAGTACCAGCAGCGCCGCCAAAGCAATGCCTCGCATTCCCTCGGCTCCAATTCTCACCCCACTGGCGAGACTGGTGAAGAGAAGCCCGCTGAACGAGCGCCTCAAAACATCATCATGCAGGCCTTCCCCGAAGTGCCTTCGCAATTTGATGGGCATGTCCCCGAAGATCCCAATGACTGTCCACTTGTGCCTATACACCCGCAACACGTCAACAGCTCGACGGGCCGTCTAGGTCCCAAGGGTATTTCGCGAGAGCATGCGCGAATCTTCTTCGACTTTGACGCTGGCCACTTTTGCATCAAGGTGCTGGGTAACAATGGTCTGTTTCATGAGGGTGACTTTTATCCGCGCGGCGCGACCATACCCCTGGATCACGGCGACCACCTTAGGATAGGTGCTGTCGACATTCACTTCTATTTACCCGATGTCGCCCTCACCGAGGAGCAGCGACGGCGCCAAGACTCGGGTTCACGTCCCATGAGCTTCTCCTTTGAGAACGGGAATGGCCAACTAGAGAGTGACGAGCACATTAGTTCCGAAAGCGAGGACCAACGAACCCTCAACCCTAAGCACATGTACTACCAAACCCCTGCCATCGCTAGCGACGATGACGAAGCGTTTGCCGATGAGGACATGGACGAGTATGAGGAACCTGCGCCGAAACCGCGACAAAAGACAAGTCTCAAGCTCAAGATTAAAAATCTGTATGTCCAGCACTTGAAGCCGCCACACTACGTATAGCACGCTAACTTGATACAGGCCACCAGTCGCTCCTGCAAAGGAGAGCAAGAAGGCGCACAAGCGGAAGCATCACCACCGAGAACTCACTCCCGAGGAGCCTGCCCCTAAGAAGGTTAAACTCAAAGTCAAGGAAGCAGCCAAGAGCAAAGAAGCGGCTGCCCGTGTGTCTACGAAAGAGCCAAAAGCACACAAGGAGCGGAAGGAGCCCAAGGAAGCAAAGGAGCCTAAGGACAAGGACGCAGTTCCATCCAAAGAGCCAAAGGAACCAAAGGAACCAAAAGAGCCAAAAGACAAGGGCAAAGCGCCTGCCAAGACACCCGCGAAGATACCTGTCAAGGCCGAGACGCCGGTGGAGGAATCCGTAAAGGACGTATCCACGACTGCAAAGCCCGAGCAGCCGAGCAGACCCCCACCCAACGACAGCCCACCTTTGCTGCGCAAACCGCACGAAGGCGAGCTTGAGGCTGGGGACATTGAAGGTCTCATTACGGAAGAATTGGCAGAGAAGCATAATCTGCCCCGGAATCTCATTGGTCACGTCGTCGAGAAGAGAAAGGGGCCTGGTAGACCGCCAAAGGACGGCATCATGTCCAAACGACAGCGATCTCAGCTCATCAAGCAAGTCAGGGATATTGAAAGGGCCAAGGCGGCCGGTATTGACCCTGCCGATATTCCCATCCCAAGCATCAAGCCCAAGACGCCCAAGAGGAAAGAGTCGAATGCTGGCGATGGCGAAGACGAGGGTGTCATGGAAACTACAGAGCAAGGCGATGGTACAATGGCAGGCCTCCAGAAACAGGCCAAGCCCATCAGACCCCCACGAACCCCCTCTCCCGAGATGCACATTAGTGATTATACCGAAGAGCAGCTGCAACGCCCCACAGCCAACTATGTTGTTCTCATTCACGAGGCGATATCTTCCTCTCCCACTGGTGCCATGAACCTTCAATCAATCTACACCTATATCGAGCGGAAATACCCTTGGTATAAGTTCAAAACCACCACGAGCGGTTGGCAGTCCAGTGTAAGACACAACCTCGGTCAACACCATGCTTTTATCAAGGACAGCAAGGAGGGCAAGGGCTGGCTGTGGCGTATCAACCCCGAGGTTTCGATTGAGAAAGAGCGCAGAAAAAGGCAAGCTAGTCCTCCACTCAACCATACTCCGCGACCACCTTATTACCCGCCTCCAAATGGATATCAACCTTATCCTCAGCCCGGGTATCCTTACCATCCCGGTATGGCGCATGCGATGCCACAGGCCCCTCCAAGACTCCCCCCAAGCCTCGCTCAGCCTCGCCTCCCACCCAGTATGGCTCGCAGCGAAGGAAACGCAGCTTCTCCCGGCGCGCCGCAGAACGCACCCCATCCATCACCGTATGCATCTCCTTGGGGCGGGGGTGTTGCAAGTGGCAGTCCACCAACGCCTAATCCTCCACGGCCTTATCCGCAAACCAACTCGCAACACCCACCTGCTAGTTCCGCACCTGGATCCAGTGGTCAATATGGTGTTTTGTTCCCCACAGCCGCTCCACAGCAGTCGCCGTATAGCGGATCCTCAGCTCCAAGTCCATATGGGGGACCATATGCTACTGCCGGCGCGAGTCCCTATGGCCCACCCCGCGCCTATCCACCACAAGCTCCTTCGGGCCAACAGCCGAATGCGCCTTCCCAACCACAACCTTCAGCATCACCTCACGGTCAGCCCCCTCAGCAGCAGACTTCTGTCGGTCAGCCACCACATCCGTCCAATGTGCAACAATCTACTCAACCTCAAGCACCTTCACAACAGGCGCCGCCGCCGACTGCAAGTTCATCAAATGATGCTACAACTCCACATCCCTCTGGGCGGTATCCCATCGGCGTCCATCCCGATCTCACCCGACAGCTTGAGGCATTCCGTAAGGTATACCTCGACAAGAGATCAGGGCCTGATGAGCAGAGGAAAGTAGACAACGCAATCAGGGCCTGTGTAGACAGAACGGTACCCGAGGCGACATTGACACCGGCAGAGATCATGGTGCTCGATTCTATATGCGGCGTACCGAGCATCAACAAGTTCGTGAACAGAAGACCCGCTCCCAAGAATGAGTCAAGGTCGGCCACTGTATCCGCGACAGTCGAGGACACTGCAGCGGCGATGGCTGCTGACGCTGTAGCAAACAATCTAACTCAGCAGGACCAAGCGCCGAAAGACGACACGTCTTCAGCAAAGGCACCATCTTCGGCACTGGTACGAGACAGCGAACCGCACAAGTTTATGCCGAATATGACTGGTCAATCATCAGCAGCACCGTCGAATACAGCATCAGCCCATGGCAATGCCCCTTCCCATCGCCCAAGTGTTGAGCCAATAACGCCAGTGCCGGGTTCACCAGCAATCCAAACCGGCACCCCTTTGCGGCGTCCTCTGACCGAGTTGAACACAGATAGCACATCTGGGGCCGAAGAAGCCACAAAGGCGGAGACGAGCGGAGAAACATGACTGATGGAGTGAGTGTCTTGTCATTCCTGAAAGAAAAAGTTTGAGGGATATTTTTTACTGGCGTAGTAGAAGTCTAGCGTTTGTTTTCTATGGCTTGGCATGTTCTCAACTCTTTACGCGTCGCTGATGCGTTGGTCACATTGGGCTCTCTGGCGTTCCAGGTAGGCGTGTATACCTGGCCGGTTTTCATAGATACCCTTGACAGCGTAGCTCGGTTGGGGCCAAGGACGGCGGTGTTATGGCTTTTGAAAAAGTGGCATTTCCGCGTACGCTTTGTTGCGCGGATCACGGGATTCATGTGTTATGGCTTACATGACTATTTTGCATATATGCATAATATGGCGGCTCATCCAGTAGTACGAGACAAATACACATGTGCTTTGTATGTTATGTACTTTGTGTGTGAGACCAATGTAGTGTTGAAGTAGGACGATGAAGAGGCACGGTGGAATACTACAAGGACAAGTTTCCAGCACGTGCACCCTCATTTCGCTTCTCCACGGCCTTGCTATATGCTGCCAAATCAAGATTACCAGCGTCCCAGATGCAAAGCGCCTGCACAAATACGCCCTCCTTGTCGGTGATTCTGCGTTGGACGTAGCCGATCACATTGAGCCATGTTCCTACATCCACCTCGTGCCGCTTGACTCTGTCTAGCACATGTTCAATGTTGAGATTTGCGACAAGTGGCGGACTGGAAACGGGATAGTCATGCTTGAGACGCAGAGTCGCCGTCTCCACTATGTACTCATCTACACTGGCCTTTTGATCAGTAAAGCGCAAACGCCACGGCGTAGATGCAATGTACCAGCCCAGGAAGCGGACTTTTGTTCCGTGGGGGCATGTGGGGAGGTCGCGCAGGAGCACGAGGTTAGATGCAACTGGTGTACTGGACATTGGGTGGTGAAGTGAGACAGTGGTGGAGACGCAGAAGCTTGGAAAGCGGTGGAAACTATTGCCGGGGTCCGATGCGCATGGCACGTGCCATTGGCTAGCGCCGACGACATCATAGTCTCGCCCGTGCATCGAGGCCCGATTCACGACCAGCCAGGCACCCTTCATTCACGCACATAGGCACCACCCGGAGCTAGGCACCACTCCCAACTAACTTGTTCTCCCTCTCCGCTATCTCGAGCATATTTCGCTTTCTCGCACTCTAGGTAATCGCCTCCTACCGCCCCGCAACCCCACCATCCCACTCTTTGGAAACGTCCGAGATAGCGACCAAAGGTTGCGATAGGCTTTACACCAAGCTTCCAAAACTTACACTGCATATCCAGCCCTACATCGAAAATGAGCGGTTGGGGCCTGGGATGGTTTGGCGGAGGCCAGGCGAAGAAGGAGGCGCCCAAGAAGGCCATCCTCCAGCTTCGCGGCCAACTGGAGATGTTGACCAAGCGGGAGAAGCACTTGCAAAACCAAATGGACGAGCAGGATGCCTTGGCGCGAAAACACGTTTCCAGCAACAAGCAAGGTAAGAAAGGGCGTCTCGCTGGGGTCTGGCCGCGTCGCTAACCATGATGACAGCCGCGAAAGCTGCGTTACGGCGAAAGAAGCAGTTTGAGCACTCGCTCGAACAAACGAGTGCACAAATCATGACGCTAGAAAAGGAAATCCACTCCATCGAGACGGCAAACATCAACAAGGAGACACTAGACGCAATGAAGAATGCAGGCAAAGCCATGCAGCAAATACACGCCGGTTTGACCATCGACAAGGTAGACACTGTCATGTACGTGACTCCGCATCCTCCCCCCAACACCATACTATATCTAAAGCAAGCAAACAAACTAACTCTACCCGCAGGGAAGACCTCCGCGAACAACATGCCATCGGCGAGGAAATCAGCGAAGCCATCACCTCAGGCGTAATCAACAGCGGCATCGACGAAGACGAACTCGACGAGGAGCTCGCCGAACTGCAGCAGGAGAAACTCGACGAACAGATGCTCAATACGGGTAATGTACCCATTCACGATGCTCCTTCGAGCCAGAAGTTACCGCAAGCGCCCAATACAAACATCAAGGCCTCGCACCGTGTTGAGGAGGATGATGAGGAGGAGGAGCTGAGGAAGCTACAGGCTGAAATGGCGATGTAGTTTTGGGGTGTTGTTAGTCTCTTTGGACAGACGTCAAGGGCGGCATGGGTTATAGCGATGGCGAGATGGAGTGGTGCTTGGCTTGGCTTGGCTTGGGCTTCTGGGGCGTAACGGCGACTTGACTTTTGGTTGGGGCAGAAAGCGGGCCTTTTTTATGGCTCCCTTTTTAGCTATGCCTGTTTTTCTTCTCTTTATCTATCTTATAATCGTCGCGGTCGGACGACTTTTTGGTTACATCCATGTGTTGCTTCAATGTCGCTATACGACGCGTGTGTATGTACTTTGCTTGGATGAAGGGGATGTCTGTCGGTGAGGAATAGACATGTCGAGTATTAGATTTGTGGAATTTTGGATACTGAGTTCTTGGGCGTGTGATTTGTATAGGGTCATGGGAATATGCACATGTGGCCATTCGACGACGTTGGGATTGCATGTGATATCCACGGGTACGAAATCACGTAGACTAAATATCAATGCCTTTATACATGCAGCTCACACAGACGCCTCTGTTGCAGACCCAACAAGAGAAGGAAATACCCACACACATTCCCCTTCCCCCGCTTCACCTACCAACCCACTGATCAACCACGCCCTCTCCACTCCACAAACAGTCGGGAGCAGGCAAAATTCCCCCCTCCCCTCCCCTACTTATCCCCCCCAGTCCTAGCCTCATCAAGAACAACGCTCAACGCCTTCTTATCCCAAAAAAAATACGTCTCCTGCTCCCCCCAGTCCCAGCAATCACTCTCATCTTCCAATCGGATATCAAAACTCCACAGTAGACGGGCGAGGACGAGGCGCATCTCTTGATAAGCGAGTTTTTGGCCGATGCAGGAGTGGCGGCCGAGTTGGAAGGGGTAGAAGATGGCGAGGTCAGCGGGAGGGACTGATGGCTGGGAGGGGTCGGTGGAGGGTTTGGAGGGGGGAGAGGAGAGGAAGCGCTCTGGGATAAACGAGTTTGGGTTAGGGAAATTGTAGGATTGGCGGTAGGCGGAGAATTGGTTGAATGTTACGTAGGTCTGGATTGTTTTAGTTTTGTTTGGAGATGGAAGGGGGGTGGAGGAAGTCATGGTGAGTAAGGTGTGTGAGCGTATCTGTATGATGATGATGATGATGATGACTGGAAAAGAAGATGAATAGGTATAAAACTCACCCCTTCAGGAACCCATCGATCACATATTGTATCCCCACCCTTTGGCACCACCCGCGGAACCCCAATCACAACCGGTGGACCAAGCCGCAACCCCTCATCTATAACAGCATTCAAATACGGCAAATTACCCGTAGACGAAATAGTAATATCTGTTTCCTGTTCAAATGTATCCCGTATCTCAGCCGCCAAACGATGCAAAACACCCTTGTGCTGAACGAGCAATCGCAGTATAGCAGTCAACGCACTAGCCGTAGTCTCACTACCTGCAAACGCAAGCACCAGTAGATTAAGCCACCACTCCTTATCCGTAAAATGGTCCTTCAGCTCGCTGTACTTCTTCGCCGGCGTAACCCAATCCGGGCGGTCGTCGTCGCGGGCGATGCGTCTCTGGGCTTGTTCGTGACTCATCTGGCGGTGATCCATACTACGCTGTACAATGCGTTTGGGGATGATAAACCGGAGTAACTTGTGTACTGGGGGATAAGCATTTACCGAGGCGATGAGCGCCAGGCCTTTTCCAAAGTCCGACGAGATTTCCACCCATGGATGTGCTTCACCCTTCTCCAGACACCGCCATGACTCGCCGTACGTGAGGTCGCCCGACAGGTCAAATAAGAGGTAGTTGAGCCATTGAGTCAGATCCACCTTCTTGCGTTTCTTAAGCTGCTCTATAAACAAGTCGACATAGCCTTCAATCACGGGTGCCTGCTCCCGCAGCGCCTTTTCAGAAAAGGAATTGGCAAAAGCACGTCTATACCGAGCGTGGTCGCTCTCGTGCCAATACAGTATCGAGTTGGGCTCATCGGCCTCCATCTTCTTGAAGGACGTGGGGTTACGCTCAAACAGCAGGTGGCCAGGCCGATTGGCGTAAATGTCTTTTAGTGCGCGGCTGTCGGCATATGAGAGCTCGTTGGGGGCTACGCGCACTATGGGTCCATATTTTGCGTGAAAGGACGTGAAGCGTTGGTGGATGATGCCGCGTTGGGTGGCGATGACGTAGGGGATGCGGAAGCTGCGCCAGAGGAGCGGACCGGGGTATTTCCGTAGAGGGTGGAGGTGGGCGTTGTAGAAGGCGTAGGTGAATGTGAGCTTTTAGTCTTTGGTTAGAGTCGAGTCATGTAGTCTGCAAAAGGAGACTGACGAGTGAGGTGAGGAGGAAGCATGCTAATATTGGGTGTGTGATAGCTTGCGACAATAGTGCTGCGAAGCTTCCGGTCTGCTGGTAACTCTCGCTTGCCATGGTAGCAAGTTATGGTTCTTTCTCTGATGTTAATTCTGTTTGGAGGGCGTCATTGTTTGGAGTGAGGATAGCTACTCGGAGTCGTGTGGCTCTTAAGTTAGTTAAGATATGCACGTGCACCCCGCTTTCTTTTTCGGCCACGTCGTGCATCAGTTAGCTATAGTCATCCTCGACCAGTGAGATCACACAGCAGCTAAAGTTTCAAAGGTGTAGTTATCGGGCATGCGTTTAGATTACAAGACTGGGATGGTACAGTAGCAGTGATTGATAACGAAGAACACTAGTATGGTACGCTTGTACAAGCTTGGACGTCTTGACTAAATCGCTGTCCAGATAGGACGGCAAACATGTCCTTCACTTAATGTCCACATCTTCTCCTACAATTACTATTTACAGTATCCAACGCATGGTCCGTGATATCTGAGCTCTACAGTCCATAGTCATGCTTGAATCTAAGCCCGTGAAACATTCTAGTCTCATCCTGTCGCTATCTATTCGGTCCTTCCGATCTCCTATTCGAGAAACAGCTTTATGCTACTATATAAACGATGAAGGCTACAAATACGACGCACTGGAATACGAAAGAACAACTGTGCGTTTGGATCTGTGTTGGAAGGCAGCTTTTCTGAACATCGAGTATATATAACTTGACCCAAACATCTTGAACACGTATCTCGATAAGATGTAACCAGTTGGTCGTTAAGCAAAATCCATGAGGAAGCGAAAGGGCCGAGCTCGTATTTCGTCCACAGTGAGCAAGGCAAGTTGACCGAGGTAGGATGTACTAGCAGGCGAAAGAAGAGGGGTACACTTAAATATAAATGTCAGGATTGTTTATCAGTTAGTGAGAACTGACCAAAAAGCCCATTATTCACTTTGTTGTTGTCGTGACTATGCGCGCAGTCTTCGCGGCTCGTATTGCTGTGCCACAGCCAGATGGCGGCTGCTGCGTTCGGTTGATGTACCGGTAAGCGAGTGTGTAAGATGTCAGTGTCAGTCATCTGTCGCTATGCCAAAACTTAACCTGGCGCGGAATGATTTCTTGACGGGTTTATTTGTTCTTTCAAATCCTCGCCTTGCTCGAGACATGTCAACGCCTGATGTGGCTGGCGACCTCGCGAAGGCGATGTTGGAGGACAGGATCCCAGCCGGAGCAGCGACCTGTTAATGTTGCCCAATTCGTTGCGCCACCTGCGCCTCAGCATGCGCCGACATTTGGAGTCTCATCTTTGCCATTCAGCGCGAAAGCAGATTGCAGGCGAACTCCAGAATGGGAGACGTGTGCCGTCACGGAGGGTGTCACAATCTACAATGCCACCACCATCACATGCAGCCCAATGCAGGAGCTGCCTGAGGTTTGAGAAGCACCACAGAAGGCTGACAGGAGCGCGGTATCCCGCATACACGAGCATCCCCAATCAAACTGAGATCGCTTGACCTCCAAAAGCGTTCGGCCGACGTTCATCATGCTGGGGAAGTTGTCGCAGAAGCTGGCGGGATGATCGTTGAAACGGTTCGGTTGAACTCTGACACAGGTCATTCTGCGAACTTCATGGGTTTCGAAACAGCTGACAGGTCGAAAATACTTGGTCACATCCCGTCACTCACATGTTTGAACGAAACATTCGGCCCACTTTCTTCCGCGCTGTCTTCCCGCAATGCATCACGAGCATCTCTAGGCCGGCCGTGATGCGGGCTTAATGTGGAGCGAAAAAGAAAGAGGCCTAATATCGCTGCTTTGGTGGCCTTGCAGAAAACTAACATGCCAACATTACCCCTCCTCTTATTACATACAAGAAGGCATATATCATGTCTAGTCAGCCGATGGAAGTTTGTTCTGCGACTAGTACACTCCCGGCTCTTCTACTCCGCGTCCGCAGCGTAACGTCCCGCCGAACATACGTGTCGGCAACCAAGATCAATAAATGGCAGCGCTTCCCTTATCCATGGATATTGCCAATTATACGTGAAAGAGGCAAGTGTAAACCTCCCAGAGTCAGTCAGTCTCCAACATAGCAGCCTTCAGAAGTTGCGCTTAGCCGTGATGATGCGCAGTATTCTCTACAACCACATCGGATGAGACACCCACGAGACCCGTGCCGCAATCCCAAAGTTAGTCGCAAAGTACCGACCCAGAGCTTGCGATTGCCGCACCTTGCGTTGTTCTTGGCCCATGGCCCAGTTAATTAGCCAACATTCGGGCTTGAAGCGGGGCTTTCGATAGTGTGTGCATGCCACTAACGGACTATTAACTGGCTTTGTTTGTTCACATCAGGTCATATTATCAGCCGTGTACATGCAAGGCGTCTGCAGTGCACAGACGGCGGGTGATTGTCAGGGAGGCCGGACTTCGATCCAACCTCCCGTTCGGGCAGGCGAGCGCAAACCCAACCTCCGGGCTTTGGGGTCCCTGCCAGTGTTTGGTCTTCGTCTGGAGGGCCTGACACTGAAACTGGAAGATCCTTCGTTGGTAAGGCCGGCGGTGACAACAACAACTACGCCGCCTCCCTAAGGCAGAATCCATGGCTTGGTGTCATGACTTCACATGGCGGTGGAGGCGACGTTCAAAGAACCAACCACCACCAAAATCAAGAGCGCGAATGGAGGCTCCAGACGAAAAATAGGCAGCGCCACGGGAATGCGGCTCACGACCAAGACAAGGAAGACGCATCGTATCGCTGTTGGAATCCCTGCATTTGATCCCAAGATTGCACGTATCAGCGTTTATACAAGACACAAGCATCAACTCTGGCTTGCCGCTCTCGGCAAGGTGTAATGCGGGAAAAGGGCCACCCTGAGACGCTCAAGCCACGTCTAGGTCTCACCAATTTGGCGTGCATCCCGCTTCAAGGATCAAAGAGGATATCCGGGTTGGTCTGTGTTGACGTACACACACATGGCGGCGCATGTGGTCCCCTGTAGCCCGCCTGTCCAACGGCCAGGCGCGAGGGTTACGGGAGAAGGTATAAGTCTGTTGAAGCGCCTGCTCTACAAGTCGTGCAATAACGAACCAGCCTCGATATCTTGACCCTAGCGGAGCAATAGGATTCCTCGTCCTCAATCATCTAAATTTCATTCTTTTTTCTGGCGGCACTTTGTTATATCGCATATCAGATAGTCTCAAGCATTTTCAACCTGTTCACGTCAGTTCGTCAATATGCTCTACTCCACAATCGCTACGGCACTCCTCTTCGCCGCTTCTGCTACTGCAGCTGCTTTACCTCCTCCTCCCGGCCCCCCAGGTCGTCCCGGCCCTCCACCACCACCTCGTGAACCATCATACGTCCCCGCTCGCAAACTCGACAACCTCGCCAAGCTATTTCCACAAAGCTCTCTTGCAAGCCCAGGAGATCTAGACTTGAAGTACGTCGTCCTCGGCATCGGTACACAAAACTACACTTGCGCGAGCTCAGACGACAGTGCGACTCCGGGTACCACCGGTGCTTTCGGTAAGAAGACCCCTCGATCCCTCATACACCACTGCTAACATTCTCTAGCCACATTATACGACATCGGCTCCAAGCTGCAAGATGACTGGATGGCCAAATGGAAAATCGGATCCATCGCCCCCGTCGCCCTCGCCCTCCAAGAATGGGCCCCCCAACTCGTAGACTGGAGCCTCCAATCCCAAGGCTTCCAACACGTCACTGGCCACCACTTCTTCGCCGACGTCGCAGGAAACAACACACCGACCTTCTCCTTCGACAAGCTCAGCGCACCCTTCCCCATGATCCAAGTGGCCAAGCTCGGCGCTACTGATGCCCCGGCAAATGCGTGTCGGGGTAAGAACGGGCTGCCTGCCGTTCCGTGGCTGTATCTTCAACATCAGGCTGGTATCACACAGGGTGGCATCAACACTGTTTACCGTGTTGAAACGGCTGGTGGAAATAAGCCTGCTACGTGCAAGGGTATGCCTCCGTCTTGGGAGGTCAAGTATGCTGCGCAGTGTACGTTTTTTACTCGAAACATGTTTGTTTAGGGTGCAAGATACTAACGTTTTTTCGTAGATTGGGTATACGGTCCTAAGCAGTAAGCGCTGAGCTGACGACGCGCGTTGAGGTTGTTACGCATGATATCTCTGCTTCCGTTCCTTTACATGCTTGGACATCGGTCGCGCGCGGTTAGCATCGCCCTCATTCATCATATGATGGTTGGCGACAGGGCATGGTTTCTTTCTTTCTTTTCTTCCTACTGTTCCATTTTTCCCTACAATTTTTCCTTTCTTATGCATGATACCCTTTCACATGCATAGTCCACAGGACTATGTGAATGTGTCGTAATTGCTGTTCGGGGTATTGGCATCTGTTTATGAGGCGTCCACGGAGATCAGGTATCGGGGTTATTATCATTATTGTGATTGTTGCTCAGGAGGCGCTCTTAATTCATAAAACAGAACACCAACTTGTGATATCAAGTCATTTTTCTCTAATTCGCTTTTCTTCGTTGCTCCAGTGTACAAACATAGACATGAGATCGTTACATCCACACAAAGCAAGCCTACTTGCAACCACTTCCCATGCTCAACCATCCCACAACTAAAACCCACCCTCATCCCAGGATAAGAAACAACCTCACACAAGCACACCCGTGCCACCTCCTTCCCCACTACAACCTACCCCCATGCAGCACATCTCGCGACCACCCAGGCCTCCCTCCCCCAACCTAACCGTCCCGAAAACAAAAACGCGGTGCCGCAACACACCGATAGCGATGCTGATGCGGCAAAGGCAGTCTTTCCGAAAGCTTCGCCACATGCGCCTTGCATGGCTTACCGCGCTACTAATCCTTTGACACCGTTTTACCGTCTTTCCCAACAGCAAGCTAATCCACTCTTCCCACACACACACACACACACACCCCCCAAGCCACTCAGCATAAATCTACCCTTTACTGCACAAACCACCAAGCCACCTACGCGCTCACATCCGCATCACGAGGCCTCAACGGCTTGTCGCGTTGAACAACCCCCGCTCACAGTCCTCCGCGGTGTTTGTTTGGTGAACACCCTAGAAAAGGTCTACCCTGGAAAGTAAGACGGTAAGACGGGTGCGTACATGGATGTCGGGGGTAAGCTGACACTGATTCGTTTGTGATACCTTGGGGCAGTGGGGGCGGGTAGAGGGCTTGGCGGCGGGTGGGGTTGTGAGTACGAATACGGCATGTCTGGCGGCTAGGTGGATGGAGTGGTGAGATTTTCCCTGGGGGTGGACATGGGATGGCGCCCTTTTGTGGGAAGGAATGATTGATGTTTTTTGAGAGGCTGTTTTAACGTAGGGGTATGCGCTGGGGTGTGAAGCGGTATAGAATGGTACTGTTTTTGACTGAACAAGTGCAACTCCACGACAGAAACATTTGACTGTAAAGGAGGCCTAAAACATTATTTTTTTAAAGATTCCTACAAAGCTGCTTCGATGGGTGGTGCATATTAGTAATAGCCCGTTGACTCTCTTCAACGCCCAAAGTCCATGTTGCGTATCGATCAGCATACCACTTTGAGACACCATCAAGCCCCTCCCGCTCAATCGCTTCCGCAAGAGTCAAACCATCAAGAATAGCCGCATTTGCCCCATTGCCTCCCACGATAGGCTCAGCATGGATAGCATCACCAACGAAGCACACCCCACTCTTTGTCAGCACGTCCTGCAGGCTAGGCAATGGCGCCGACGTCGTTCGCATGAGCCAATGAAGCATTCTATCATTGCGCATCTTTTCTGGGTCGAACACTTGAGAAAATGGCGTCGTGAGGTTATCGAAACTGCTTACTTCTTCAAACAATTCGTCTGGGATCTTTTGCGCTCCTTCGAGAGAGCGGTTGGGACGATGCAAAGGGTCTGTGCCCTGGCGTGCGGGCCGCGAATATATCCAGTTGATGTAAATCTGGTCGACTTTCTTGTCGTTGATGCTGACGGAGAGAAGGGAGTCGTTTTGCTTTGTTTCAATGACGCTCGATTCCTCCATGCCAGATCCATACACCTGTCCAAAACTCTTGTGATCAGTCTTTCGTTTTCCGTTGAATACCGCGTATGGTAGAATATCGACAGCTGCTGATGGTAATAGTAATTTGCGTACGCTGGAGTGGACTCCATCAGCGGCTACAGCGAGCTTTGCAGAGCAAGAACTCCCATTGTGGAATTGCAGCTTGGCGCCTTCTGGAGTTGTTTCTACACTCTGGAGTGTATGCTCCCATTGAATTTCAAGACCCTGTTGCAGTACTTGCTCGAATTTGGCTCTGTTGGCGCGAAATGAAGACGATGTGTCGTACAAGCCGTTGTGATTCGGCAGGTGCACTTCCTGCGCAATGGTTCCTGTACCACCAGTTTCGCCATCAACAGCAACGCGGCGTTTAAACGTGACCTCGTCTATACCAAGGACACTCAGGAGTGGTCGATAAGCCGATGCATGTAGGGTAATTGCGTAGTTATTCCTGGGCTTCGATGATGCTTTTTCGTAGAGGATGAAGGGAATGCCGCGATGGAGAAAACAGCGACCAAGCGTCAAGCCAGCGATGCCTGCGCCAATGATGGGAATTGGCTTTGTCATGCCTAGGTATTGAGATGGACATTTCGGAGACGAAAAGTGATGTTTATGGAAGTACTTGGGTTGTCAGCGGCCGTGAAGCCGCTGGCGTTGACTGGAATAGCTCATGGTGTACCATGATCGGGCCAATCATGTTTGGGCGGGAGGTGGATAGGTACCTTCCGCTTTGGCTTAGCAAGCGCCGTGTTCTGGACTCTCCCCCAGGCCTCTTCGACCAACTCCTTGAGCAACAACAAGACACGACATGTGAGGTCGCTGTTAACTTTATGTCATTACAGCGTGGCTATGTATCATCTCTCTTTTAGGCCATCGTTTAATAGTACATATAACAGAGCGGCTCGCCGCTCACAGTATCCATAAGATCCTCAATCGGCACATCATCCACATTCAAGTAATTCATCGAAATCACATCCTGAAGCGTGGTCTTTTCGGCCGTTGGTGAAAAACGGGTCCGTGTGCCCATTACAGTGCCAGCCTGATCGGGGTGAAAAGCTTGCCAGAGCCAATACGCATAGTCCAACATGGTATGATGCAGAAAGAAAACGGGGTCGTTGGGGCTACTATAAAAGTCTCCTGCGTCACCGTTGATGGAAAAGTGGCCTGCAGCATGAAGACCCAGGAAGCCGTCGGGGAAACGCCCTTGTAGCTCGTCCTGGAAAGTGCCGACGTTCAAAGACGCTGCTCCAGTGGTAATGTTCAACAGATTGTCGATGGTGAGCCAGGTAGATGAGGCGTAGGTAGTAAGATCTCTCTTCGCGCAGCGTGGGTTGTATCCAAGCTCTGATGCTGATTTGTTCTGGCCATCCATCGTTGGACTGATGGGACCAAGATTGAGTTGTAGGCTAACATGTTTAGCCGCTGAAATTCGATCGTGGGGTTCGAAGAATACTCACCCTTTGAAGGGGCCGCTCGAGATACAGCCACCGCCCTCGCCCGATGGGAGGTATATCGTTCCACCACCACCAGTACTTCCGTTGTGCTTGACAAAGGTACCGTCACCACCCATGCTTGTCTCGGATCCATCGAAAATCGGAGATGCCCTCAGATTATCTTGATAAGTGAACCAGTTCCAATAAGGCTGGTAACCGGTGTAGCCACACTCTTGCCGTAGCGCCTTTTCATAGGCATGCACATAGTATCTATGCCAAGTCAAGAAGTTGCCTGTGCCATGGATCGATCTCGTCTGGTTGATGTGTTGCGCAACAAAGTCATCATATCGGGTTCGAGCACCCGGTACCAAAACTGGATCGGATTTAGAAGGCGAAGAGACCATGCACTTGACGGCGCTGATGTATGCTTTACGCTCTTCTGCACTCATCACGTTCCTTGCAGATCTTAGCTAACAGTACGTCTAGTTATGAAAAATGAACAACTGACCAGTCTTGTCGAGCAGGTGCTTGGAAGAGCGAGCAACCAGCTTTCTTCTCATGGGTGTTTTTCGCTTCCGCCGCTTCAAGTGCCTTGATTGCCTGATTTCGCAAATCCTTGAGTTCATCGCGAGGCTGCACCGCCGCAGACTGAACTGCACCCACCAAGGCCAGGGCAATGACCGGAATACCACAGGCACGCATTTTATGAGGGGGTTGGAAAGAAGACTGAGTTGGTGAGAAAATCAATCTTTTGAAGATCATGCATGGTCTAATATGGGCTTCTACAATATCGCCCCATGCCAATTTGCATGCGCATGCAGTGGCATGGGTCGGTAATCTATACCTATAACGATCGCCTTGCAGAAGCGTAGGATCTGGTTGATTATAATCCAAATCCAGGGCCGCCCTTGTTCTACCTATTTCAGATCTGGATACGTTGATACTGATTCTAATCATCCGTTGGCAATTGCAACTCGTAGTTATGTCTATGTCGAATCCCGTAAATACGGGCGCTATGGGTCTGGCGTCTTTCTTCCTGTGTGTAGGCATACTTTACCGCGCTTCACAATATCGCAGGATCGGTCTAGCCAACAATCGCAGGAAGCCCAGCAAACCGTTGAATATGTGGCAGTCCTGAAGAGCTATAGTACCCGTAGCACCACGGCACGTCCACGCCGCATTCTCGCAAAAGAAGATGGAGATTAAAGCCCCATTGGCTTATACTCCAGACCATTACCGCCCCGTCGCAGGGCGAAAGATTTCCCCACCCACACGGCAAATCCTAGGCTCGGCTCGGCTCGGCTCAGCGACCAATGCTTGTCTTGGCGATCCTCTCAAAAACCAGGAATCGGGTATTATGTCTTTTGAGAAAGCCAGGAAAAATAACCCGATATTAATGAGAGGAACACTAGGTCTTCCCCAAGGACACGACATTGAATGGCTGTTACAGACGCGCTCCGCGAAGGCCGGGACGGAGCGGCGGGTCAAGACAAGGCTGGCAGCAAGGATGATCATGGACGATAGCGGCATCTTCACCGAAGCCCCGGATGATCAAAGACCCGCCGGTTGATTCCTGTGGGAGGCCTTGACGCCCTGCATGAAGAACACGGCGACATTGCATTTCCTCCGTTCAAGACCTTGACCTACACAGAAAAAGCCAAATCAAGTCAGAAAAGCTAGAGGAGAATCACCAAACATGTCCCTTATGAGAACCGTTAACACCAATTGGGAGATTTTTCACTCACCACTGCTGTAGTCCTAGAGATTGCCTCTCCTCTTCTCCCTCCTCAACTACCATATCTCCAAGCAATATCTGCACTAACGAGATCAAACCATCTACTCACAACACCTTCCCCCGCGTACCTCACACCCATGTCACAACATCCCCATGTCCGTAGGATTCCATTCAAGGAGACCCCCAGAAACAGATATAGTGGCAACCAAAGTAACGGATTGCGGCGTGCGTCACAACCTTGGCATCTTTTCCTCCAGCAAGCAAGCGACGGCACAGTCAAAGGGAACGCATTGTAACATGTAAAAGCCACGAGATTTCCATGTAACACTTCGCCACCTCGCTCTTCTCTCCATGTTATCGTAGTAAATATCCCCCACTTCCTGCTGGTTAACTTTATGGCACCATTCACACCCCCAATCCAACATCCTCTCCAAGCCGCATGGGCGGCACAAAGCAATCTCCCCCGTATAGTGGCAGTGATGAGTTATCCTGCACATCACCGCGTTGGTGAGCGTTGGCCTGCGACTATATGTGCGAGTGGGCTTGTTGCGGTCACCGGAGAGAGGTGATTTTTTTGTTGTTTTGTCTGTTGTCTGTTTCCCCTCTGCCCTATCCTCACTCCTCCCCCTTTCTACACCATCACCTCCCTTACTTCCTATCCCTCCCCTCCACGACTCACACCCCACCCCACCCCACCCCCAGCTCTCCGCATCCATAGGCCTCATCTGCTTCATCCTCCAAGGCCACCACGGCCTCGGACGCCACAAAACCACTATCTCTCACCCCCCGACAAGATAGCTTTCGACAACATTAGTTTTTACCAAAGCATTGTTTCCGCCATTGGGGCGTGGGGTTTACTTGAGATATCGATTGCGGTGTTTTTGCTGCGGTTGCAGAATAGTCTGTTAAAGAGGTGGTATGGGGGATGTTTGTAGGGGTGAGTTGGTGAGTTGGATTGTTGTTGTTTTTTTCGTAAAGGGAAGAAGGTGGGGGGTGGATGGATAGATGGAAATGGGGATAGAGATGAGGATGTGGGATTTGGGCTGAAGTGTAACAGGTTTTATAACCATGTATACGATTGGTGCGTGGCTTAGTTTCTTCCTACGCTGTGTTCCCATATCTGCGGATTGGACGGGGGAGGGGGTTGTGTTATCCAAGGAAGGTTTTTTGTTGCTGTTGCTGTTGCTTTGACGAATACTGGTAAATGTCCCTTCTTCCTTTCCTCAGCCTCATCCTCTACTGACTACAACAGCATTCAACATCTTCACAGACATGTGCTTCGTCACGCTTCCCATTCCCCTTATCTGCAGTCTCAAGATGATACGCATTACACGGATCAACCTCATCGGCGTGTTGAGAGTAGGCTATGTGTGAGTAAATTAAACTACCCGAGGATTCCAGACCGATTTCGATCCGGAGGAAGAGGCTGAGGGCTGACTATTCACTACAGGGCCGTAGCGCTAGGAATAGCAAAAGCAAGTTGTCAGGTCCATCGACATCAGGATAAGACGTTGTGAGTGATATCCCCATCCCCATCACACTCACCATCTCACCTACCTATATGTTATACAACTGACTAACATGTCCATCAAAAGTAACCAATACCTAAACATGCTCGGTTTGTACGTCATCCCTTCCCTTCATCCTCTCCCCCCTCTCTCTACAAACAGTCTCCAGCTCAACGTCGGAATAACCGCCGCCTCAATCCCCACGCTAAAACCCCTCTTGCGAACAACACAAAACTCACCACACCCTCACCGCCATAACAACGAAAATGCAAACCAAGCCAACCCCTACTCAAACCCAACACCACACGTCGCGACAATCGGTAGTGGTGGCGGTGTGAAACCGAACCCGAAACCACAACTGCATTTTTCTAGTTTTCTTTTTCGTAGTACGAGGAGTGCGTGCGGGGACTACAGCGACGGCGGGGGGAAGATGTAGAGATGGAGACGGTATCGAAGAGTTTGCAGAGCAAAGTCTCGGTATTGGAATTTCGGGGAAGTGGTGCTGTGGATGGAGGAAGTCAGGAATGTGTTCTTGAAAGAAAGGTGAGGGTATGATGTAACATGGTCAGCGAAGTGAGTCATCACCAAAGTTTGATCAGTTCAATGATTTGATAATTGCACAGACAAAGTGTAGAAAGGACATGAAGGATCCATGCATTAAGCTCATCTTCATCAACCGTAGTTGTGTAAATGTCTAGACAACCGAAGCAGTCAGGCTATCGTAAACTCATGAGGCTTTCCTCCGTCAACTCCTCCATGTAATTCGCTTTTCTGTCAATGAGAAGTTAATCTCGACATGCGAAACAATTTGTGTGGGAGTTGTCTACCAACCTTCTCCACCTCCGCCGCCGCCGCCGTCGCCCCAGGAAGCCTCGCCACCAGTAGCAGCAACAGCATCGCCGCCGCCGCCACCAGAGTCTGCGCCCCAGGCACCGGCAGATACATCGCCACCCTCCTCGGCCTTGGGAGCCTTGCAACGCTGTATCATGTTAGCTCAAGCTACTCTGAAGTATCAGGACGGATTCAAACTTACAACATGAGTGTGGCCCATCTCTTGGCAGTTTGAGCACTTGACCTTGGAGTAGTCCCTAGGCTTGGGACAGTCCTTGGAAAAGTGACCCACCTCTTCGCAGTTGCGGCAGGTAACGGTATCGGGGTTGCGAGGCTGGTCGCACTCCTTGGCAATGTGATCGGCGGATCCGCAGTTGCGACAAGTACGAGCAGCGACGTTGGGGCACTGTGGTTGTTAGCAAGGTTCATTCAGACATGCCGGATTGTCCACCTACGTCCTTGGAGAAGTGACCGGTCTCATTGCACTTGCGGCACTCGACACCCTCAGCGGAGCGGGGCTCAGGGCATTCTTTGGCGTTGTGGCCCTCCTGCTTGCAGTTCTTGCAGGCGAAGCGATTGACACGCTCCTTGGGACAATCGCGAGCACGGTGACCGATTTCCTGGCAATAGACACACTGAGTCTCAGGCTGAGGGTTTTCGCGTGCAGCCTGCTCCTGCTTGCAGTGCTGTTCATGAGTTAGTGTATGTAAGTTGGAGAATAGTACAAGGGCCACTGACCTTTCGAACATGACCCAGCTCGTTGCAGTTGCCGCAAAGTGGAACACCACAGTCCTCGACGAATCCACACGATGCAAGACGCTCAAGGTTCTGTTCGACGCTCTCAGGCCAGCCTACTGCCAGCTTCTTACGACGAGGCTTTGCGGCTGTCTGGAAGGAGAGAACGTACTCGCGGTCCGGGTTACCGATGAAATCGATGATGGTCATCTGGGGCGCGATCTCCTGCTTCTGGGCAATCAGGAAGACGCCCAAGCCATCATCGCGAATAGCCTTTTCGATGGCGG